TTCACCTGAGTCCCTCTGAGAGGTAAGATGGGCAGGTTATCACCTGGGACTTGTCATTTCTAGTTTCGGAACCTAGTTGAAGTGAAACTTAGCAAGTTTTCTTGTTTAACTGTTTTTAAAACCTGGCTCTGCCTGAAGCGAATCCTTGAGAAATAAAAAATAATCTCTGTTTCAGGCTCTCCTGGCTGTGATTGACCTTCAGTTATACAGAGTGGGAACAGAACATTATCAGGTCTGAGAATAGTGAAGCAAATATTCCTTTCAGGACATTCATGCTGATGTCCATTTTCTTTCCTTTCTGTTTTTTTAATTGAACAAAAAATAATATTTTTATAAAAAGTATTAGATACCTAAATGCAACATGGTTTTTAAAATGAAATCATTTATATGTAGTCATGTTCATAAATGCAATAGTCAAAAGCTATACAACATTAACAACAAATCCAAATGAAGATAGTCTTCTGAATTTCATGTTTTATTGAGCATCAAGACCCACCAATCTTTTAGTCGATTCTTCTACATTATTCTGTATTCACATTCTTTGCATCGGATTAGACCCCTTAATTTTGTTTCATTTTCTGTGTAACATTCCCCACAGATCTATATCATTGGCTGCTGCTTTGGGAGTTCAACATCCTTCTGGGTGTTCATTGTTGTCCCCACGTAGCACGGAAGAACTTCTCTGCACTTCGAAACAGATTCTGACTCATTGCTGTGTAAGTCAAATGAGGTGATTCATTTACTTAGTTTAGTGGCTGAAGGCTGCTTTATAACTTGATGGTATGCAACTTTTATGTTACTTGGCATCCTTCCCCACCCATGTACATACTGGTGTATTCAGTAAGTGAACAGACACATACAACAAATAACCTTAATTTTAGAAAAGCTTATGAATCAGATTTGCCAGTATGAGTGCCTTTTTCTAGGGAAACCACCATGAAGAACTAGTCATTGTCTTTAAGAAACTTAGAATTTATCTTCAAAGATAGAGTAGTAATTGGGAAATAAATTTTATGAACCTGTCTGTAAATAATTGCACAGGAGAGAAAATGCCTATGGACTGTAGCTACTGGACAAGTCTTTATAGTACAACTTGAAGTGTGACCTGGCCTGAAGTGAAGAGCATCCTCTTACATAGTGGAAAGAAGGATGTGAGGGGCTGTGGTATGTCTGGGCAGTGATGACTTGTCTGAAGGGAGCCATGATTCTGTGTTTGGAAATGAATTTGGAATGAGGGGTACAGCTCTCCAAAGCCATGTGCATAATAAGATTGACCCAACTGATCAAAAAAATCCATCTTTTGTATGCTTGAAGCTTTCCCCAATAAGTCAGTAACAATAAAAAAAGAGGGGAAAAGATTTTAAATAGCATCATGCAACTTTATGTAAAATATAGAGAAAATTTATATGTAGACATAGTAAAGTTAAGAACAGTGAACTTCCAGTGATCACAGGATAAAGTAAGATTCTGATATAATGTGTTGGTTTAGTCGTCTCTTCTTCACCTTGTTGCTGGAGAAGGTTTCCTCCCCATGACATTAGACACTGGGCATATGAGAGCAGTTTCTTAGACAGCAATTCATTAGTCACTTTTACATTTCTAGGAGGATACACCACAGACTACACAGGGCCACACACATGCTGCAGAGTAGAGAGCCAGGGCCTCTGTGGGGCAAGCAGGAGATTCCTGCCGGAGGATGTGGTTGGCTTGCTTTAATAATTCTGCAGTCTGTCAAGGCAGTGAAGCTCACTGCTCAGGGATAGCAGGAAGTGTGCCTGGTCTCCATGGTAAGGAAGGCTGTTTGACTTTGGGACCTATCCATAAAAGCAGAGTAGTGGGGGACCGAAACTTGTGGTTAGGTCACCCCAGTTTTACCAGCTGTCAAGGCAGCACAGCATATTGGATCTTAATTTTATACCTTACATTACTTGTAACTTGCCATTTAGTGGAAAGTTAACTTTAAGCACTAGTAAATATTAGTAAGTTGGTAGCTACATGTTTGGTATTTGAAGGTCAGTTTTATATAGTTAAAGTCTAAATTTGGATTTGTGAGGCTATCCTTATAATGGGATTGGAATTATAGATATAATATAGCTTGGCTTGTTTGAGTATGGTTCTTGCAGATAACAAGGTTCTGTTTTATTGATTCTAGGATATTCAGACTATAAGTTGGCTTGTTTTAGTCAAACCTTCAGAAGGGGGATTTTCAAAGATATAACTAGTTGCTTCCTCAGTGGAACTTGAATTATAATTAAGAACATTGTTCCATGAACATAGTGGTTAAAGGAGGAGGGTTCATTTAAGTTAGGTAACTCTTGCTCATTAGATGACTGTATCTGCCAAGTAGGCTGAAGTGTTTAGTGGTGGCTAGGTTTCTTTACTCTCATTTTCCAGCCATTGTTACTATTATCTTTGCATGTTCATTTGTATGTGGTACTATTACTTCCCAGCATACTTTGACAACTTTTTACAGTTCTTCAGTTTATAGTCTATGTTTTACAGTGGTTATGTTTTAGAATGCTAAGCTGAATGATGCAGTGGTTTTCTATCAGTGACTACTCATAAATAGCCAGCTTTATTTTTTAGGGCCAGTCATATGATTCCATTCATCAGTATTCACCCAGAAAACATCTGACATATTTTGAGATTGCCAGATAGCTTGGCACACAGGATAAATAAAGGTGACTCTTGTGCAGGAGCCCAGAAGCTGGCCTTCTGCTGAGGGTAACTGAGTCATAAAGTCATAAACATGGATAAATAAGTTGTAGGGTATGGTGGGAACCTCTAAACACACTTTTTATTTTGTTTTAATCTTTTTTTTATTTTGGTGATAGAGCAGTTTAATTATAGATTTAGAACTTCTATTTCGTTTTTTGTATATTTATTAATAAGGAGAAATAAAGGAATTGACTCAAACTAAGCCACTAGATGTGAAAAACTATAGCAAAGGGTTTCATTCCTTTGTGTTTAAGAAAATTGTCAAACTTTATTATGCAATTACAGTAAGTACTGTTTTTAAGGTATTTTTTCATACCTGGAAGTTTAGTATTGAAAGGTTTTTTTTTTTTTTGGGGGGGGGTATTATTGACTCACAATGCTATGTTCCAAGTGCAAAATATTAAAAAAAAAAAAATTTGAGCCACTTTTATGTTGTCTCAGTTGCTTAAGGATGCAATTAGTTCACCATTTCAGCAGCCTGGGACCTTAGAAATGCATTTCAGGATTAATTATGGTATTTTTTATGTTGTTATAAAACGATCACCATGATGAACCTAGTTACCATCTATCACCATAAAAAGATACTACATTGGTATTGACTATGTTCCCCATGTTGTATATTTCATCTCAGTGATTTTTATTTGTACCTCAAAGTTTGTGCCTCTTAATCTCCCTCACCTATTTCACTAATCTCCCAACCCCCTGTTATAATCTGTCCCTTACCTGTCTCCCCACTAAAGTCTAAAAGCTAGTACCATTTTATCCAAACAGCTTATCATACTGCTTTGTGCACATAACGTATGTTCAGTAAAAACTACTTGAGTGGATGGATAAGGTAATTGAGGGGCTAGGTAGATAGGAAATTAAGTTGCTTTTGTTAAAGGCCAGAGTCTTATAACCTGAAGAATGGAAAAATATGGCTGGTCAGTGAGGGTTAATGACTAAGGATCCTGACTGAATTGTAGATTAATTCTGGGATTCAGTTGTTAAATTGTGGGACTAGAAAAATCTCAGGACATAGCAGAAAGTTGGGCTGGTAGGTAGTTATAACCAGCTGTGAACCTTGTAGCTGAGTGAGTGCTTTTTCCTCAGCTTTTCTACCCAACTTAGTTCATTTGCCATCAGAGTTCTGAGGCTATTTGAAAAAACTGTAGTCTTTGGTAAGCCACTGCATCCTTTCTGGTCTTACAGCTTGAGTCTTGTAGGTTCCATGGCCCTCCTTTTTCTAAAAGAGCCAACAGTACCGCACACACACCCTGACAAACGTCTGTCTGTTAGACTTCATTCTCTACTACGACAAAATAATGTGACATCTGCCTTCTTACGCATTCCTGAATGGGCTACATAAGAAATAAATTACCATATACTTATATCTACATAGATTTCTAAGAAGAAAATGTATGCTTGAGAAAATTTTTTGTTTCTTTGTATAGAGTATTCAAAAAGACACATTTGTAAAATTGGTAAATGTTTTTGTAAACTAGATTTGTGTATTTTCATGCCTCATTTTCATTCTGAGTTTTTTTCCTTAGGAAAGCTTGTTAACTATGGACTATGCAGATAAGACAGGAAACAATTTTGAAATAGGAAACCAGAGTTTATAAAATCAATTTAAATATGGTTTTACTTTTTATTTTTTCCCATTTTATTGAATTATAGTTGGTATGTAACATTGTATTAGTTAAGATCTACTGTCTAGCCACATCCACTAGCCTGTGCAGTACAGTGTTGTTAACTATGTAACTTATTAATCTTATAACTTGAAGGTTGTACCTTTTGACCACCTTCACTCCCTTTCCTTACCTCTTAACCCCCACCTTTCAGAATTTTCTATCAGTTCAGTGTTTTTTCTTTTTTGGCTGCACCCCACAGCATGCAGCATCTTAGTTCCCTGATCAGGGATTGAAGCATTGCTTCCTGCAGTGGAAGCACGGAGTTTTAACCACTGGACTGCCAGGGAAGTCCTAGTTTTTAAGATTGGTTTTATATCACAATCATATCTTTTTCCATAATTGGAAGATATATAATTAGATTAGTGCTAAATAAAAATGGTAATTATATGCTATTTATATGTTAAATGTTATTAATAGTAATAAAATATTATTTTATGATAAAAGAAACAGTGAAATTTTTCAATGATCATGCATCCTGTCATTCTGTGAAAATTTCCTTTTTGTTTTCCCTGTTTAGATTTGAAGACTGCATCATCCTGCCTCCAGCACCAACAGTTTCTCTGTTCTTGATCAATGTGATTCACAGTAGCTTTTTAAGTAACAAGCGAAATGAGCCAGGGGCATGGAAAGTATGACTTTTACATTGGTCTGGGATTGGCTATGAGTTCCAGTATTTTCATTGGAGGGAGTTTCATTTTGAAAAAAAAAGGCCTTCTGCGACTTGCCAGAAAAGGCTCCATGAGAGCAGGTAGGTAATTTATGCCCTGTGTGACTCTGAAATGGCATCAGTGTGTTCCTTTGAATTGATATGTGGCTACTATATCTTCATTCCTAGTGACTATATTCAAAACTTTGGACTTTATAAGAATTGTAAATGTTTATAGAGAATCATTTTTGTAATAAAAATAAAAAGTTGTCAAAATAAGTTAACTATTCACTCTTGCAGTTATTATCAAAGTGGGAATAGGGACCAATACCCAATTAGCATCCAGCCCTTTCTTTAAATTTTGATATGTCTACAGAGAAGGAAATGAGGTTATATGGATAGAATCAGAATCTTATTGAAGACTAGGCTTTTTTGTCCATGATAGTAAAAGTTTGTTTTTTCCTTAGACATTTTCCTTCCTGATCTCAAATTAGCAGGAAGGAGAGCTGGCTTCTTTGGGTTGAAATGTACTCAGTTGAGTGAAATTCTGGTTGGTGGTATAGGTTGATCCCCAGAAACTACTGACAAGCCATGAGACCCTGGGAAATGCCTGATGTGAGTGAACTCCCTCTGACTTTGGTGTATCATGATAGCTTCCAGCTTTATGTTGCATTCTGGCTATGTTCTGTCATTCAGCCTCTGCTTCAGTTTTAGACCAAGTTTTATTCTCATAGGAAAATCTGCTTTGGCAGTAAAAAAAAAAATTACCTTCTTCTTCTTTTCTGTGCCATTTCTATAGCCATACATAATCAAGCTCTTAAAATAATGACCTGTATTGGATTTAGTGCAGAAAGGAGAAAGTATTGGCATGTACTATTTGAACAAGTATATCCTCAATCCTAAGTCAGGTACTCACATTTTCCATGTGGATATGCTTATCAAAGTGTTCGTTCACACTGACTTTTTCTTTTGAATAATGGCTTAAGTACTGATTGCTTCCGAATTTTGTTAGTTTGGTCTAGAGTGAAGGGTTGTCTAGAGGAAAAGGCAGGATGAACATCCTGGAAGCTTCAAACTGTGAGCAGTGCTCAATCTTTTTATGTTCTGGTCAATAAAGGACCCTTTTCTCTAGGGTTACTGCCTCATAAGTGGGGCTAACCCACACCTAAATGGCTTCTCCACTATCTAATTCACTAGAAGTTGGGCTGTTTCTGATTGGTTCACTTTGTCTATTGAAGGTAAGTTCACAAAACAAAAGCATGAAGTATGAACTGAAATAGAAGGATTGATTTAACTCCTTCATTCACATTCTTATGATCCTCACACCCCCTTTTTTAAGATAACCGTAAAAATACTGTCTAAGAAATCCCCTGTGTAATCATGATGAAACCATTATTCAATATAATTATAATGAGCAAATAATATTTTAAAATCTGTAATTACTAGTTGTTGTCATAAATATACTAAAGTCCAATAATCTTCCAAAGAAGTGAAATATGTTTTCATTGACAGGTCAAGGTGGCCATGCATATCTCAAAGAATGGTTGTGGTGGGCTGGACTGCTGTCAAGTATGTATAGAGGATATTTCAAGAAAATGCTATAGGTGTATATTGAAATATCTATGTATACCATTTTACAGCCTTATATTATCAGCAAATTTTAAAACTGAATTCTGGGTTTTTTTGATGAACAAAACCCAGAATATGTAAAATTTAAGCCTGTATAAGTCACTTAACAGTTTAATAGTTTATTTAATTTGGATGAGAAAACTTATGTCTATCTGATTAAAACATGTCTGACATATATATGTATTTTTAAAAATTATGCCCAGTTTAAGGTGATTTTGAAAGTGAAAGATCATAGAAAGCATCCTGTTTTTAATTCCTGTCCTTCCATTGATTTTCATTCCAAATTAGAAAGGAGGTGTGCATTTGGTAAGACTTCCGTGCATACTTTGATGATTACATTTTGTGTATTTATGTATTATTTTTTTGATAGGCAAGAAGTAGGTTTATTAATGTAGTGTGCTTGTGAGGAGTGCAAGGAGGCAGGCGAGGGGACTCTGATGAGTGTCTTTTAAAAGGTACATAGAAAGAGTGGTCCTTAAGATGCTGAGCTTTCAAAATATTCAGGATTAAATTATGTAAAAAATTTTTTTGAGGGCAGTTGAAATATCAAAGAGACAATTTATTCATTCAGCAAATACTTCTTGACCATTTTTTGTATGTCAGGTGTTCTAGGTGCTAGAGATATAATAAACAGAATAAAGAGAAAAATTCTTACCCACAGGAGACTTAACTTTCTAGGTGGACAGTAGTAAAGAGGATAAACTAAAATGTGTGTTAGTGATAAATGCTGACACTTGCTAGTAGTACATAGAGAAGGGATGTAGTAAAATGAAGGATGATAGGTTTATATTTTAGCTGAGGGGCCAGGACAGGCCTCACTGGAAAGATAATATTTTGAGTGAAAGATAAAGGAAGTGAGGGACTGACCATATGGTTATGGTACGTCACAGGAAAGACTTTTCACAGGAAAGAACATTTTAAGCAGGAGGAAATAATAAACATGAAGGCAGCGAGGCAGGACCATGCCTGGCAGGTTAAAATGTGGTAGGCAGAACCCAAGATAGCCCGCAAAGCTTCTTGCTCCCTGGTAGTCACAGCTTTGTATTATCTCCTCTCACACTGAATTAATGCGGTGTGATCAAAGTATACAACAGAGTTGATGACTTGTGACTTAAGTCATCAGAGGCGTTCAGGTTTTGCCTTGATTGATTGGATTGGTCATTCTGAAGCCAAGTCTGTGCTGGAGGACAGTCAGCCTGAGGACCGGTCCCCAGGCTGCACTCTGTTACTGACTTACTAGTCATGTGAGTTACTTATTGAAAGACCCTGAGTGAAGAAGTACCTGCTGATCGGCAGAAACTATGAGAAATCATTGTCTTGGCCAACAGAAAACATGGCTGACATTTGCTGTTTTAAGCTGCCAGTTTTGGGGGTGCTTTGTTGTACAGCACTGGATTACTAAAACCTCAGGAGACATTAAAGAGGTAAGGATAGTGTGGGAGTGCAGGGCAGTGGGTGAGGGTAAGTTTAGAGAAGTAATGAGGGCCTAGATTACATGGGGCTTCGTATGGCACAGAAGACTTTGACTTTTATGTTTGATGGGGAATTATTGGAGGTTTGAACCAAGGGGTAACATGTACAGACTCAGGTTTTAATAGGAACTCTTGGGCTGCTGTCTTGAGGCATAGACTGCATAGGGGCAAAAGAGAGAAACCAGTAAGAAGCTATTGAAATAATTCGGTAAGAGGTGATAATAGCATGGACCCAGAGTAATGGCAGTTAGTATGGTGAGAAGTGGTAGAATTCTGGATGTGTTTTGAAGATGAAACTAATAAGACTTGCTGAAAACAAGTTGAAAGACTGGACAGGATATGAAAAAGCATCCTCTTAAAAGCATTAGAGAGTCAACATGATAGTTAAGAATTACGTAGCCAGCATCAGGGAAACACACAAAACTCAGGATGAGATGGAGATACTTCTGCCCTAGAGGTAACTACAGACTCCATAGCAGGCCGCTTTGGAAAGAGAGAACTTGTGAACTGCTCTAAGAAGGGTGATACCACTCGGGTGGTGGATATATAGCTGTCATTTATATTTTATTCTGTTTTTTTTGAATATTTGAAGTATTGCATTATTAATCTTTAAACTCTTGAAAAGAAAATCTTTTAAAATGTGGTACATTTATTTTTTAAATTTATTTTTAATTGAAAGGTAATTGCTTTGCAGTATTGTGTTGTTGTCTACCAAACATCAACATGAATCAGACACAGGTATATTTAAATCCAGATCTGTCAACTACTGTGCATGAAATGCCCCAGTTAAAGGCAAAAATTATTCTATTGGAATTATAAAAACAAATAATAAAAAGATTACATGCCTGTTGTAAGGTACACTATAAAACATGAGGATATAAAATGGCTGAAAAGAAGGATGGAAAAACATGCCTAAAGAAAGTTGACATTTCTGTTATTATTTTAGAAAAAATATACTTCATAGCAAAACAACACTGGAGATAGAGGATTTTTCTTAAAAACAAAGGGTTCAACTCAGGAGGTTTTATCAGTCCTGACTTTATTTAAAAATATGGCCTTGAGGATTTCCCTGGTGGCACAGTGGATAAGAATCTGCCTGCCATTGCAGGGGACATGGGTTTGATCCCTGGTTTGGGAAGATCCCACATGGCGCGGAGCAGTTTAGCCTGTATGTCAACTCCTAAGCCCTTAACCCTGTGCTCTGCAACGAGAGGCCACTGCAAGGAGAAACCTGTGCACCACAATGAAGAGTAGCCCCCGCTCACCAAAAACTGAAGAATGTTTGCACAGGCAAACAACGAAGACCCAGTATAGCCATAAATAAACAAACAAAAATAATAATGTGGCCTTGAAATACAAAGCAGCAGTTGACAGAACAGCAGGGAGAAATACACAAATCCAAACTCATATAGTGAGATTTTAATATGACACTGAGCAGTTGATGGGACAGGCAGAGTAAAATTCTTAAGGTGATAGAAAATCTGAACAGCAGATTTAACTCACTGAACTCAACAACTTCAGGTCTACATTATTTTCAAGTGATATGGAATATTGATGCAGATGAACTATTTGCTGGACCATAAAGCCTAGTCTTGAAATTTTTCAAAGGATTTAATGAAGTTTTTTCACAGATCATTATCATTATATTAGAAATCAGCAACAAGAATATAACATGAAAATTACATGTAGAAATTTAGAAATACACTTTTATGTAACCCGTGGTTCAAAGAAGTCAGAATGGAAATTAGAAAATATTTCAAAAGTATGTTTAATTTAAACAATACTTCAATATGTTAATACAGAATACAAAATGTCATAACTTACGGAATATAACTGAAGTAGAGTAAAATTTATGGTTTCAAATAGATATAATTGAAAAGAAGGATGAGGCATCTAGTTTAAGAAAATAGAAAAAGAATTGTAGAATAAACCCTAAAATATAGAAGGAGTGAAGAGAAGAGCTGAAAGTATTTAAATAGAAAAACAAGGTATTAAAGTGACATTTGGGTCAATGCTCAGAATAATGAACTTAACAAACCTTTTGTTGAAACTGATCAAGAAAAGGAAAAGATAGAATAGCTAGGTGATGTAATTAAGGTTTCATAGACATTAACAGGATATTATGAAAAATATCCAGTTGATAAAAAACATAGATAAAATTTATGGAAAAGTAAAGTTTATCAGTACTCATGAGGAAATAGAAAACGAATACTCCTCTAACTTAACCCAGTTGAAGCTGTAGTTTTAAAACCTTTGCATATACTAAATCCTGAGCCCAGATAGTTTCATAGGTAAATTACACAGTCATTTAAAGAAGAAATAATTGTAGTCTTAAGAAGTTTCCTAATAATAGAAAAAGAGGTTCCCTCACTCTTCTTAAAAAGCTAGTGTAATCCTAATACCAAAACCTGATCAGGATAAGAAGGGAAAAATAAAGTCTAGTCTCACTTACAAACCTATATGTAAAAATCACAAAATAATATGAGCAAGTTAGATTTATTCTGCAGATGCAAAATTGGCATAATCTTGGAAAACAAGTCACTGTAATTTACTGTGTTAAATTGAAGGAGAAAAATTATATGAGATTATTTCAGTGAAATTCAGCTATTCATGACTAAAACCACTTCAAATTAATAATTTAGGTGAATTAAAGCTGATAAGATGATAAAGGATTTCTAAGCCAAAAAAATGCCAAAACTAACAATTGTTTGGTGCTAAGTCACTTAAGTCATGTCTGACTCTGCAACCCTGTGGACTGTAGCCTGCCAGGCTCCTCTGTCCTTGGGATTCTCCAGGCAAGAATACTGGCGTGGGTTGCCATGTCCTCCTCCAGAGAGTCTTCCCAACCCAGGGCTCTCGTCCATCTCCTGCATTAGCAGGTGGGTTCTTTACCACTGGAGCCACCTGGGAAGCCCACAGTAAACATCAAAATGGGGAAATATCAAAGACTTTTTTTGGAGCTGAGAAAATAATGTTGAAGAATTACTTAAAAGCAATAAGAGAAAACAAATACCCTAATAGATAAGCTGGTAAAAAACCCAAACTACTTCACTAAAAGATTTAACTTGGCTAATAAGCATATGAAAAGGGGGCATGCAAATTCAAAGCATAATAGAATAATCCTGTTTCCCATTAACAGATTAGCAAATGAGAGTGAGAAACAAAGGAAACGCTCAGGGGAAATTCAGCGTAACCATTTTGGGAAACAGTAGCCAAGAGTGATTTTATGTGATCACATGTGCCTCCCCTGATAAACTTTCTCAGTGGCTTTTCAGCTCAAATGAAATCCATTGAGAGACTCACAAAGGTCCTGTTCTCCCTGGCTACTCCCCGAATGCTTGCTCTGTAGGAACCACTCTGGCTTCCTTGCTGCTCAGACATGTGAGACATGGTCTTGAGTCAAAATTTTGTACTTGCTCTTCCTGCTTGAGATGTCTCTCCGTTTCCCCCACACACATAGGTGCTGGTAAATCCCTCAGTCCATATCTGACTGATCAAAATTTCCTGTCCAAGCACCCTTGCCTGGCACCATTATCTGCCTGTCACCAGCTCTTCATTCCTTTCCCTTTGTTTTCTAAATAGCACACTTTACTTTATTTGTATGTTTTGTCTGTTTTCCCTCACTAAAATGTCTTAGGTGAGCAATATCTTTATTTTTCCTCATGCCTAGAACATCTGACACATAGTAGCAACCCAAGAATATCTTTTGAATATAAGAGTTGGGTTTTAAAAAAGAAAAGAGCTAGTAAAAAAGGCTTTTATATTTGTTTAAGCTGATTTTTTGGTTTTCATAGGATATAAATATTAAGTTTTTAATTAAAAAACCCATACACAGGGCTGCCTGGCAGCCCAGTGATTTGGACTCAGTGCTGTCTGTTGAGGACCCTGGTTCGATCCCTGGTTGGGGAACTAGGATCCCACAAGCCACGCAGCCCAACGACAACAAAAAAACCCCACATAAAAATTAGATATTTTCCGTTAAAATTATAGGTTTGTATGGTTTCTAATTGGTTTGAATTCTCTTCTAATGTTGATAATTTACAGGCGAACCCTTATGGATAACAATTTAAATAGTATGTTAAAAAATGTATGTAAATGCAGGCTTTTCCATTTTGACTAAATGTGTTCCTGTCTGAGCGTTTTCTTTTGTTGTCTTTCTCCAAGTGGGAGCTGGCGAGGTGGCCAACTTTGCTGCATATGCCTTTGCACCAGCCACCCTAGTGACTCCGTTAGGAGCACTCAGTGTCCTGGTAAGGTAAGGACCCTCCTCTTCACGTGTAGAAACAGCAGTTAATGTTTCAGTAAGGTATTCAGTACCTGCTAATTACACAATTACACATGCTCAATTTAATTTATATTTAAACAACCTTGAGACTTTTTTTATGCTGTGTAGTAGTTTGCTTTTGAATTGTTACTCTCTGCGCATAGGTCGGCTCTCAAGTTGTAGGAGAAAATGCTTTTATGCTTTGTCTTGTGTTTAGAGTCAACCCTAGTTCTACTTTAATTTCAGTATTTTAAAATTCCAAGTTGCATTCGTTACAATATTTATCATTTGACACATGTATACTTTGGTAGGTGGTGATTGGTGATGAATAGATTTCTATACCTTCTCTAGAAAATAATTAATTGGAGCACGGTTGAAGACTGGCCTGGGATACTTTTTTGGAAGGAACAGTCCAAGACTTGTCCTGTTTCTGTTATTTTAATCATTAGCTGACACAGCTAAGCCCATATTGAAGTCTGGATTTTGGCTAGTAATCCCGAAGTTGGTTGGTTGATAGGTATTTTTATCCTTTTTTTTTTAACATTAATAGTTATATAAATCTGTATTGTATGCAAAATTATATAATTTTCAAGAAACTGTATATTATACATAATATATAAAGATACAAGATGCTGTTTATGTATTATGTGTAGTATATATTATGGTAATGTCTTATTTTCTGTTATGCCATTATATTTATAGGTTTATACTTTTTTAAGATTTCAATAAAACTAGCTATAAAATATTAAAACTTGGTCATTTATAGGCAAGTTATGTGGAATTAAAATAGATGAAGGATTCATCACTCAGTAAGGATAAAGTTGAGCAGATAGGTCCAAATGGACCTAGATTCTTAAATTTTTATCATAGCTCTGTTTATTGTAAAATCTCATATTGATGTCCTACAGTAGAAAGATGGTAACTATACTGACTTAGAGTGTGATGAAGCAGGTGGTTCCCAGAAATTTCCATTTTATGATTGAATGTGCATTTTCTTTAGCTTGGCTGAAAACTAGACTCTATAAGCTCACAGTGTTTTAGTTTGAGTTCAGTAACTTAAATTCTTAAATTGTGTTGATATTTAAAAATGAGAAAAGTAGCTGATTATTTAATAATCCTCCATCTTTCCCTCATTTTAGTGCCATTCTTTCTTCATACTTTCTAAATGAAAGACTTAATCTTCATGGAAAAATTGGATGTTTGCTAAGTATTCTGGGATCTACAGTTATGGTCATTCATGCTCCAAAAGAAGAGGAGATTGAGACTTTAAATGAAATGTCTCACAAGCTAGGAGATCCGGGTATGAAAAAATAAAAACTTTATTAGTCTTACTGTATTCTACTCTCTTTGAAAAATAATTTTTTTTAAATCTCTGGCTGCACTGGGTCTTCATTGCTTTGTGTGGTCTTTCTCTAGCTACCTCAGGGTACTTCCTTTTACTTCAGATTTTGACTGCTTTGATTTCTCTCATTTCATTATTGTCTTTGAAGTTTCCCTCTGTCTACGTTGAACTAACAAAGACTTTTTCTGTTTGTTTTGGCCCCTCTCTAGTGATCCTTGACTGCCTTGGGAGTTGGGCTGGTTAGATTCCCAGCCAAGTTTCCTATCTGGCTTGCCAGCATCCTAGGATTTGAGTGGGGAAGAGGAAATGGCTACCATCATAGACATATGCCTTACTCCAGCCCCTATTTTAGTGAGGCCCCCACACACTCAGCTGGTCTGGGGTCCTCCCATACACTCTGGCAAGGGGACCAGTCACTCAGACATTCAGAACTGGGCAAGGATCTGAAGTGGTCTCAGTGCTCTTTGAAAAGACTTTAGCCAGGCCTCCTGTTTTTAGTCTCCTCTTCAATCCACTTCTAGAGGTAGTTTGTATCTTCAGAGCATTCTTCGTAGCACACTGAGTCACTTTCTAATCTTTGATCACTGCTGATGTGGGATTCAGCTTTCTTGAATCTGCTGTTATCAGTTATTATCTTCTGATTTTTGGCTTTCATGTTTCTATCATCTCCTTACAAATTCTTACTTTTGTGTTTCCTTCTCTAAAAATCATACTACTAGAATTAGAGGAGTTAAAAGATTAGACAACTGCTGTTTCCTCATCTTAAAATTGGAAATGAAAGTGTCTGTGTTACAGGGTAATTGTGAGAATTTAATGACTTAATTGATGCAAATTGCTAAGAAAAGTGTCTGACCTATAGTGCTACACAGTCATTAGCTATTATCCTGTTGGGTTCAAGTCTCCTATCTAACGTGGATTCCGACAGTTATTGTCAAGTTCTCTTATTGATTTTTTACCCCAGTGGTTGATCCTTAAATATTTTAAAAATTTGCTCCTGCTAGACAGTGTTCTTTAGCATCTACAAATCATTGAGCATTCCAGGTCATCTAATAATTTCTCTCCACTGGTTTCTGATTGTTCTGATTGTATTGCACCTGTTCTTGGAATTAGAGCACCCCAGTGGGTGGAAGTAGTGTTCTTGGATGGATGGCTGTGAGTCAGCCTGATACTATTTCCCTTGATATACATTTGACCCTTTAACAACACAGAGGTTAGGGATATCTGAGAAAACCCACTTATAGTCCATCCTGTATATCTGAGGTTCCACATCCACAGGTTCAGCCCTCAGATTGTATTGTACTGTATTTATTGGAAAAAAAAAAATCCACAAATAATTGGATCCATGCAACTCAATCCCATGTTAATCAAGGGATATCTGTATCATTATGAGGCCCAAGATATTACTATAAAAATGTTAGTAGTATAATTTGTGAACATGAAGCGTAATCTTCCAGTGTGTACATCTAACTAAATTATTATGAGTGTGTTTTTGCTGGGGCAGCAAAAGAAAGCTAATTTTTATTTTAGGACCATACCTTTTCTCCTTCTTATCAAGTACTTAAACATTTAACTAAATATAATTTTTCTTTGCCTTCTCCAGGTTTTGTGGTCTTTGCAACACTTGTGGTCATTGTGTCCTTGATATTAATCTTTGTGGTGGGACCTCGCCATGGACAGACAAACATTCTTGTGTATATCACAATCTGCTCTGTAATTGGGGCAGTTTCAGTCTCCTGTGCTAAAGGCCTGGGCATTGCTATCAAAGAGCTGTTTGCTGGAAAACCTGTGCTACGACATCCCCTGACCTGGATTCTGCTGCTGAGCCTTATAGTCTGTGTGAGCACACAGATTAATTACCTGAACAGGGCCCTGGACATATTCAACACTTCTATCGTGACTCCAATATATTACGTGTTCTTTACAACATCAGTTTTAACTTGTTCAGCTATCCTTTTTAAGGAGTGGCAAGATATGCCTGTTGATGATGTCATTGGTACTCTGAGTGGCTTCTTTACAATCATTGTGGGAATATTCTTGTTGCATGCCTTTAAAGACGTCAGCTTTAGTCTGTCAAGTCTGCCTGTGTCTTTTCGGAAGGACGAAAAAGCAGTGAATGGCAGTCTTTCTAGTATGTATGAAGTTCTTAATAATAATGAAGAGAGCTTAACCTGTGGAATCGAACAACACACTGCTGAAAATATCTCCCGAAGAAATGGAAATCTGACAGCTTTTTAGTAGGAGAGATGTAATTAAGCTATAACTGTTATAAAGTGAATCTGAGTATCAGAATCTGTCTGAAAAAGCCTTGTTCTCAAATGATGTTCTCTAGAGACAATCCTTTTTTTTTTTAAGGTTTCACTAATTTGGACCAAGAAATTACTTATATTTAAATGATGACTCAATACATGGCCAATTTCTATTAACATTGTATTATTGTAGAGTTATTTTAAATTTTCCTTCACCAAAATCTAAATGCACTAATGACAATTTTAGGTCTATAAAAATGCTTTTTTTCCCCACGGGTGATGAAAGTCTGAAATGTACATTTTTCATGCCCACTCTATCAATTCCTGATCATTTTAAGGCTTTTTGATTAAAAAAAATTAACTCAGTACATTATCCTGTAATTTATCTTACCTATAAAAAATGACTCCCATTTAGTGAATTATATAAGTTTTGAACTTTAAGAGACCCCTAAATTATTAAATGAAGGAAACTTAAAAAAAGGTAGGAAGTCACTGCATGGAAGTACTCAGGCTGGGAGTTGCCATCATGAACATTTGATGGCCTTCCTAGGTTACACCTTGTTAAATCAGCACATCCTTTGTCAGACTACAGCCTGGCTGGTTTTCTTCAGTTACTCTAATCCCTTGATGGCTGGACCTTTGATTGCCATTTTACATCAGCTCTTGTACTTTTCCATATATTTTCATAATGAGTTATACTGTCATTTAGCTCTTTTAACAACACTGGGAAATAAAGTCAGAAGACTAGGGTAGATTCTTAAATTTAGCTCATGTTGAAATAAAAAAACTGAAAGATCTTTTCTAAGTCTGAATGTTTAGAACAAACAGGGTGTTTGTAAAATATGATTTCTTTGTAGCACTTAACTTTTGCTTAAGAGTTTGGACCACTATTTTGGTTTTGTTAAAATGTCCATGGAAAAAATTTACAGAAAACATCAAACCTGTGCAAGAATAAGTGTAATGAACCTTTGTCCAGCTTCAAAACCTGTCATCAATTGGCCTCAAAAATACAACTCATTTTCACCTAGGTAGGAAGAACTCAGGCCTATTTCCATCCTGTTGCTCCTGCCCAGTCACAAAGCTTGGTCTACTGTGTAAGTAGCCACCCATGGGAGCTTCACTGTTCACTGGCCTTATCAGGGCAGAGTTGACACTTTACAGGTCTCTGAAACACGTTCCATTTTCCTAGTATTTTATTATTTATCTTCTAAGGAGCCTCTGTAGACATTTTTTTTCCTAACTGCCTCTCTCCATGTAATTTTAATACCACAGATATATTCTATATTTGCTTATGTACTAAACCGTAACTATATCCATGCTTTGTATACAATAGATGAAAACCAATTTTCACCCCTTTGGGTGTGATATTGCCCTTGTTGAGAATGCATAGCTTTATAGTAATAAATTTATAATTATTTAACATCTTATAGCACTTAAAATTTTTATTTAGTTTAAAATTAAGTCTTATAAAACTCATGAATTATTTACATTTACTCATTAACTTAATTTTTCATCATATTCTATACTTCCACTATAGGGTGAGCACAAATACTACCTCTTAATCTGCAGGAGAATAGTGGCCCCAGGGTTATTATTTCACAAAGGTTACTTTTTCTAAAACAGTTCTGTTTATGTTAAGTCAAGGTTAAACAGTAAAACAAAGTAGTTGACAGACTTTATTTTTGGTGCCATAGATAGTGCACCTGGACTTTGGTATTAATGTTTTTAAAACCATACAGAAGTAACCACCGTGATCATGTTCCTTCATGGCTGCAGGTGACCTGGACTCAGCCTGGTTTGTGCAGGCAAGCAAGTAGGGGAAGCACCTTACCAAAGCCAGGGCAGGGCGCACAGGACCACCGTAATGAACGAACGCAAGCAGGTTCCATTAGTTTTATTTCTGCAACCTTTAAATCCTGTCACAAACTAGATTTTGTTACAGCTGGATTTAGTAGGAACAGAGAAATCAAGTTCACTATTTTCTGAAATGCACAAAAAGGGAAAGGGGAATGACTTAGAAAAGGTTTTCATAAAAAAATCAGAAAAATCCCTCAACAAAAGCTAATCATTAATTCTAATTGGTAACGGGTTTTATTACAATTAGCTGGTATTAAGTTTCTTGCTTAAATTCACAAATCTTTCCTTAAATGTTACAGATCCTTTGTTACAGGACAAATGGATGAACTCAGCAGCACTTCATGACATAGCTAGCTGTTGGAACATTCCATAAAAAATGGAAAATGATTCTGTAAAAACATGATGGCAACAATCTGCAGTCAACATTCTCAGATTTTCCAATAACCAAAAGTATATACAATTTTAGTGTAGAAAAATAAGTCAATTTTATAAAATCAAGCTTTTAGATTGAAAAGCACCCCCTTATTTTAACAGGCACAGAGATACTGAAAAATAGTTCCTAAAAATACCACTAAATAGTTTATGGAAAGAAAAACATGCCCTTCTAGATCTTAAATGCAGTCAGTACTGGAACTCTTCAAAAACAGGTGATACACACTCCCTCAGCTGCTCGCCAGGGACTGGTGGATAGGTGGTTGAAAGCAGCGGACGTGTTCCACAGGAGTGCTCTCTCCATCGCCTGACTTCAAGTACTTGTCCAAGATAGTGATTATCTCATCATTTAGAATCTGGAACTTGCGAATTCTTTCCACCATCTTCTTCAAAGGCTACAATAATTAAAATTAGGATAGCTGCTATTTATTCTTCATGCTTCAAAATATGTCAGGATTTTCATATTAGAAAAAGTGCAGCCAACTATTGATATAGACCATCTCTCTAACTACTGGAATATATTTTGCAACATTTCTCTGTTGGTTTCATGCTACTATAGATGCATTTGTAAAACTTACAGACCTATTTATTCAACAGACAGGTATTGAGAACCTATGGTGTCCTAAAAGCACAACACAAGTAATTTCCAGTTATTGTGGACATGATGCTTTGACAGACCCTTCTGCTATAATGGGCTTCCCTCATACCTCAGTTGGTAAAGAATCGGCCTGCAATGTGGGAGACCTAGGTTCAATCGCTGGGTTGGGAAGATCCCCTGGAGAAGGGAAAGGCTACCCACTCCAGTATTCTGGCCTGGACAATTCCATGAACTAGGGGTCACAAACAGTTGGACATGACTGGGCGACTTCACTTCACTTCCTGCTATAATATAACTAGATTAGAAAAACCACACAAAAACAAAAGCAGAACAAACTTTAAAGTCTATTCCAGTTTAAAGCACGGCTGGTTTTGCCTATGCAAGAAGTGAGAGAGAAGCCAGGCTCCTCAGAGACAAATGCTACCAGCAGGGGTAGGATGAAGAGAGAGCCTGGGCTTTAAGCAAGGTGGACTAGACTCGCAGGCTCTCCACCAAGCCAGGACCTCTTATGAAGTTAAAAGTGGTTCTGAATTGGCAATAACTCTGGGAGATAAGCAGTAAATGGAAATCCTGGGAGAAAGGCATCCCAAATTAAGTTCAAGAGCTGCCAAATAAAATCCAATAAACATTTCAGAGTTTCAGATACAACTCGAGGTCTTGGAACTGAAAAGTAAAGACTGATAGGATGACTTATTTCTTTATATATTTAGACTAGATGTATAAAGAAACAAAAATGGAAAAAAATTCTGTGAAGATAAAATTTCAATTACTACCAAGATTTGAAGAAGGAAATCAACATTTAAATATAAACTAGTGACTTTCAAAAGTCAAAAACACAGCAGATCACACAGGTGAGGTCAGTTAAATCAGGTGAATACTTGAGTACAGCCCAGAGAGCCGAGGAAGTGGAGGTATGGGAGGTACAGTGGTCCCTCAAAGATGCTGCTGCTGCTAAGTCACTTCAGTCGTGTCCGACTCTGTGTGATCCCATAGACAGCAGCCCACCAGGTTCCCCCGTCCCTGGGATTCTCCAGGCAAGAACACTAGAGTGGGTTGCCATTTCCTTCTTCAATGCGTTAAAGTGAAAAGTGAAAGTGAGGTCGCTCAGTCGTGTCTGACTCTTAGCGATTCCATGGACCGCAGCCTACCAGGCTCCTCCATCCATGGGATTCTCCAGGCAAGAGTACTGGAGTGGGGTGCCATTGCCTTCTCCACCCTCAAAGATGTCCATGCTCAAATTCCTGGAACCTGTAAATGTATTACTTTCCAATAGCAAAGGGGACCTTGCAAATAAATATAGTCAGGTGGTTACAGACTTAGAAATAGGAAAACTAGGGTGGATTACCCAGGTGGATCCAATTATACGAGCGGAGAACTTTCTCCCGCTGGAGACAGCAGAGATGTGGCACAAAATTAAATTAGAAGATTAGTAGTGTGAGAGGGACTTGATCATGTTGGCTGGAAGGGGTCATGTGGAAAGCATGAGAAGGGATGTGAGCTAAATAACCAGCAAGGAAATGGAGTACTTAGCTCTCCAATGGAAAGGAGCTGAATGGAGCCAACCACCTGAATGAGTCTGGAAGTAGATCCATAACTAGAGGCTCCAGAAAAGAACACAGCCCTATAGACACATTGATAGTGGCTTTGTGAAACTGTAAATGGAAGAAGACCCAGCTGAGCCATGCTGTACCCAACCTCTGGTGTAGAAAACAAGAGATGATAAGTCCCACACAACTGCACTCATCTCACAGGCTAGTAAAGTAATGCTCAAAATTCTCCAAGCCAGGCTTCAGCAATACGTGAACTGTGAACTTCCAGATGTTCAGGCTGGTTTTAGAAAAGGCAGAGGAACCAGAGGTCAAATTGCCAACATTTGCTGGATCATCGAAAAAGCAAGAGAGTTCCAGAAAAACATCTATTTCTGCTTTATTGTCTATGCCTAAGCCTTTGACTGTGTGGATCACAATAAACTGTGGAAAATTCTGAAAGAGATGGGAATACCAGACCACCTGACCCACCTCTTGAGAAACTTATATGCAGGTCAGGAAGCAACAGTTAGAACTAGACATGGAACAATGGACTGGTTCCAAATAGGAAAAGGAGTACATCAAGGCTGTATATTGTCACCCTGCTTATTTAACTTATATGCAGAGTACATCATGAGAAATGCTGGGCTGGATGAAGCGCAAGCTGGATCAAGATTGCCAGGAGAAATATCAATAACCTCAGATATGCAGATGACACCACCCTTATGGCAGAAAGTGAAGAGGAACTAAAAAGCCTCTTGATGAAAGTGAAAGAGGAGAATGAAAAAGTTGGCTTAAAGCTCAACATTCAGAAAACTAAGATCATGGCATCCAGTCCCATCACTTCATGGCAAATAGATGGGGAAACAGTGGAAACAGTGGCTGCCTTTATTTTTGGGAGCTCCAAAATCACTGCAGATGGTGACTGCAGCCATGAAATTAAAAGACGCTTACTCCTTGGAAGGAAAGTTATGAACAACCTAGACAGCATATTAAAAAGCAGAGACATTACTTTGTCAACAAAGGTCCGTCTAGTCAAGGCTATGGTTTTTCCAGTAGTCATGTATGGATGTGACAGTTGGACTATAAAGAAGGCTGAGTGCAGAAGAATTGATGCTTTTGAACTGTGGTGTTGGAGAAGACTCTTGAGAGTCCCTTGGACTGCAAGGAGATCCAACCAGTCCATCCTAAAGGAAATCAGTCCTTGGGTGTTCATTGGAAGGAGATGTTGAAGGTGAAACTCCAATATTTTGGCCACCTGATGCAAAGAGCTGACACATTTGAAAAATCCCTGATGTTGGGAAAGATTGAAGGCAGGAGAAGGGGATGACAGAGGATGAGATGGCTGGATGGCATCACCGACTCAATGGACATGAGTTTGGGCAAACTCTGGGAGTTGGTGATGGACAGGGAGGCCTGGCGTGCTGCAGATCATGGGGTCGCAAAGAGCCAGACATGACTGAGCGACTGAACTGAACTGAAGTATAGACATGTCTAATGAAGTCCCCAAATGGAAGAAAAACTAAAATATTTGAAAAGATAATAAGTATTTTCTGGAATTCAATTACAAAGAATCCATAAAATGACAAAGCTAAAAAGATCTTTAGTGAAGGAAGCCAGAAGACTTGAAGAGTATGCCAATAAACTGAAAACGCAGATCTTACAGGCTCTATAATGTGAAGTAGATCTAGATACCTTGAAAATAGAAGGAAAAGGCAACCAGATTCCTTTGCTTACTTATTCTATTTAGATTCATTTGGGGAGTAAAAAGAAAGTTTCACTTGGGGGCACCTTTTGTCCTCAGATGAGAAACATTCCCAGAAGAAAAAAAGAAACTTTCAATAGAAAGTGTCTATCTTTGTGAAGCTTCCACATACCACGTTTTTGATAATCTCATCTTTGCCATCATGTTTCTGGACTTTGAGCAGATGGTAGCAGAAATCCAGCACAGCAAAGCGCCGCTGCTGCCCAAGGAGCACAATGATCATACAGCCAGCCCAGTGGAGCCCGTCGCCGAAGCACTGCCTGCAGACAAGAAGCAGGAGGTAGAACGGGTGATCAGATGCCAGTGGCCAGACCACCTGTGTGTCCCGCAGGGAGTGAGGAGCAGAGGTGTGTCCCTGCTTTGGTAAACACCTCTTCCGGTTCCTCTGGCAAACTGTTTCTCAACTTCTGTTTAGATCAAGGCCCCACCATGAAGAATGAGTTCATGAAGTGTTGGTCCTCCTGTCTAGCAAAATATACACCTGACTTGCCTAAGTTTCCATGAGTTCAGAAAACTCCAGAAGCCCAGCCCTGAAGCATTTCCTAGGCATTTCCTAGCCCGTACTTAAGCCGCTTTACTGCAGCTCAGCAATATGGGGATCCATTTCCAGAGGAAAGTGGTCCTCTGTGTGAGCCTAACGCCAGCTTCCCTCCTATCTCCCCTCCCTGAGCACTCACTTACTCGACTGTAAACTCGTGTGTTCCCACAGGAATGCAGTAGACAAACTGCATGGCACTCCACAATCTGTGAAACTCAACACAGTCATCCACGTGCATGACCCCATTGCTGGGCAGAGGCCCGCGCCAGATGGAGTCGTCCAGAAAGGTCCGGATCCGAGTCAGGATGACTTCAAACATGGACAGGCCACAGCAGAGACGCTCCTTTGTCAGCAGGTCCCCCTCTCTTGCTATCGCAATTTGCTGCAGAAAGGACAAAATGTCACAGGCATGGCAGGCAGCCAGAATGCTGAAGTCAAAGTACTCCAGTATTGTTTTTGACTCACTGGGAACTATCACAGCTTGCAGACGAAGGTTTTTAAAAATAAACATCAACAAAATATGTCAGCTATTACTTACATGTCTTATTAGACTAAATAGAACTGTCAAGCACAGTTGTTCTTAAGGGAGAGATTTATCTCCTGAGGACATATGGCAACGTGTGGAGATACTTCTGGTTATCACAGCTTGTGGGTCTAGCGGCATCTAGTGGGTAGAGGCCAGGGATGTTGCTAAATGTCCTACAATTCATAGGACAGTCCCCCGAAACAAAGAATTATCTCATCCAAAATGGCAACAGGTTGAGACTGTGATGTAGCTAGCTTAAGTTCCTCCCTGCCTTCTGTTCTTAGAAAGCTTTCTTCATGAAGGGACAGACAACAAAAACAGCAATGTGTACTGTGAACGTCTCACCTGCCAGGTGATGTTCTGCATCCTTTCACGTGTTAGCTCATTCAAACTGCCCCGCCACCCTGTGACAAGGTCCTATTATAAAACTCACTCGGAAACTCAGGCCTGAGTGGCTGAGCAGGCCCATGCAATCTCTTGATGCCTTAGGACTAAGTCTCACCCAGAGTCCATCAACCCTGCTAGTGACCGACCCAACTGGGAGCCCAGCTCACAGCAGCATGTTGCATTACCTGTGGAGTTCCGAGTCTTTCGATCAGAGGGACAAGGTGCAGTGGAGCGTACTTTGATTCTAGTCTTTTCATTTTCGCATCAAGTCTCTCTCCCTCTACGATGGAAAAAAATATTTTATAGTCTATTCCTTTGTATGAATAACAATTGCAGAAGTTTAATTTTGTCAAAAAAAAGATGAAAAAAAAACCAAATGAAAAATGTTTAACAGTATGCACAGAGGTTCTCTTTGAAAATTCTTTTATGGAACTGGCTCATCTGCTATTTTAACTCAAACAGAGAACTGAGTCTTTGCTCAATATTCAAACTTTTTAAAACTGAAAAATCCAAATGTAATCAAAAACAGCACGGTACAATGAATCCTCTGCGACTATCTGTTGCTACAATCATGAGCTCATGGCATTCTCCTTTCATATATACCCAATACCCCTGCTCCCATGCTATTCTGAAACACAATCAAGATACAACACTTCCATCCTAAATACTTCCATTATTCAATATTCATTTAACTTTACTTCCAGGATGTGACTGAACAGGAAGCAAACTCAAAGCTGGCTCTTTAACTAAAGAGAACTCTCTGGCAACACAGACATGCGTCCCTACCCTGGTCAGAGGACTGGCTCACCTTTCACATGGACCCTTGGCAAGATATTCTGGAAAGGGGCTGCGTGCAGCAGGTCACATACTTCTTCTAGAGACTAGAACCATGAAAAAGAAGGCTGCATGAAGAAGCTTATCTCACAGTAAAGATGGACAAAGAAATCAGACGCTGAAAACAAGGCCCATCTTTGTCATTTTGTGTAAAATAAACACTGCAAGCAGCACTGCCCAACTGGAGTGTCTGCGCTGGTGGAAATGTCCCTTGCTGTTCTGTCCAGGTAGCTACCAGCAACATGTGGTGATTAAATACTTGGAATGTGGCTAAGGAACTGAATTTTCATTTTTACTTACTCAATTTTCATTTTTATTAATTTAAACACAGACCAGAGATCAAATTGCCAATATCTGTTGGATCACAGAAAAAGCAAGAAAATGCCAGAGAAACAACTACTTCTGCTTCATTGACTATGCCAAAAACCTTTGAGTGTGTGGATCACAAGAAACTGTGGAAAGTTCTTAAAGAGACGGGAATACTAGACGATCTTAACTGCCTCCTGAGAAATCTGTATGTAGATCAAGAAGCAACAGTTAGAACTGGACATGGAACAATGGACTGGTTCAAAATTGGAAAAGGAGTATGCCAAGGCTGAATATTGTCACCCTGCTTATTTAACTTATATGCAGAGTACAACATGCAAAATGCCGGGCTGGATGAAGCACAAGCTAGAATCGAGATTGCCTGGAGAAATATCAATAACCTCAGATATGCAGATGACACCACCCTTATGGAAAAAAGCAAAATATCAAAGGGGTTGCAGAACATCTAAAACTCCACCATGAACCCAAAGATGGTCAAGAAGGGTGCCCTTCCCTAGTTAGAGGGCCCATAAACAAGGAAACTCCTTAAGACAGATGTGTGCTCACCACAGGACAAAAAGACAGGAAATGAGAATGGGCTCTCCTGCCTCCTACTCTACACCCACCCTGAAATCTTGATAAAACAAACTGCTAAACAAAGAAATGGTTATCAGAGAATCGAAACATATTAACTGATAAAGAGTTTCCATTCTGAGGATCTCCACAAAGATGATAGCAAAACTAAGACCAAGAGAAGGAAGAGAAGGCTTTCTGTACCCATTATGTAAAGGTCCTGTTGTCACCTAACATAAGCTTGGAAGAGCAGTCAGCCAGCCAGCCCTGCTCCTGCAGAACCCTCCAAAAGGATGCTGACCGCCACCCGCCGCCCCCACCTCCTATGCCCAAGCCCAGAAAGAACACAAGTTCTTCACACAGGAGGAATACCACGCAAACACAGACTAGAGAGTAATGTCTGTGGAGTATCATGCAGCTGAAAAAGGCTGGTGACTGTCACCACTTACTAATGTGGAATGATCTCCAGATTTACTGTCAAACGAAAAAGGGAATGCGGAGATGGGCGTGGATACACACAGATGAGATACTGCATTTTATGTATGTGTTCAGGAAAAGTTACACATGAAGGGACTCTTCCTGTATTAAATATTTAAAATTCATGATGAGTGATTACTATTTAAAAGAATTTCCCCTAACTTATCTTGCTGCTAAAAATTCATGTGTATTTAGGTAAAAGATTCAGTTCTCCCTCAGCTGTTCCTGGAGCACGGCTGCCCTGGACACCAGCTCCTTGGGGAGTTGCCTGTTGGCCCAGCACCACCAGTCCGGCTGCAGGGAGCAGCTGGGCTGAGTCGCAGGCAGTGGGACAGCGAGGGCCTGGGAGCTGCCCGCCTCTGGCACCACATGGAAAAGGTCTTCTGTGAGCAGAGTGGCAGAGTTGAGTCTGGGAGATGCAGGTCCTGACCAGAGACTGTACGCTGCACCCGAACTTGGGCTCTTTGACAGGAGAGCCAACATATCTTTTTTGAGTAACCAGGTGTAAGGTGCCTGGTCCACTGGCTCAGCCCCTCAAGCCTGCAGTCTGACTGCCACACCCTGCACAGTATATGGAACACCATGGCCCAGGTCATTGCAAAACACACCTTGCCTCTGCCAAGGTGCCAAGGCTCCAGAGAGAGAAGAGACTGCTTTAAGAAGTACCAGAGCAAAGATCTCCCCAGATAGAGCTAGAAATGTAACACAATTCCCACTGAAATGTAAGTGTGCTTTTTCAGGGTATTTGGCCCAAGCTGATTCTCACACTTGCAGAGCAGAGCGAAGATCCACAAAGAGGAAGCATGTGATTGAAGAAGAATAGGGTAAGGGGCATGTCCTACCAGGGGTTAACACTTTAGTTAGAGCTACCGTGAGTGAGACAGCACGTTAGAAGCCATGGACAGACATAGACACGTAGGAGGAGGAAGAAAACCAAGAGACAGACTGGCACAGCCACAGAAAGCTGAAGGATGACAGAGGGACACTGCTGACCAGCAAGGAAAGGAGTCTTCCTTCAGTCGCTGGAGAAGCGACAACTGGTGGCCCCATGAGGAAAAAAGAATCTTCACCTACATCTCACATTACACACGAAAACCAACTCCAGAAGGATTATAAACTTAAATGTAGAAACAAAACCTGAAATGTTTAAAAGAAAATATGAAAGAACGTCTTTATGATTCCTAGAGAGGTAAGGACTTCTTTGAAGAGATAGACGAAGTGCTTGTATACAAGAACCACAGAAAAGAGACTGTAGTCCAATCAGGCGTATCAGTTTCTCAACCATCACCACTATTAGAGTGAAAAGACAAGCTAAAATCAGGGAGAGGTATTGGGCCTCCGTGGTGGCTCAGTGGTAAAGAATCTGCCTGCTGATGCAGGAGACACAAGTTTGATACCTGGGTCGAAAAGATCCCCTGGAGAAGGAAATGGCAACCCACTCCAGTGTTCTTGCCCGGAGAATCCCATGGACAGAGGAGCCTGGCGGGCTACAGTCCATGGGGTCGCAAAAAAGGATTGGACACGACTGAGCGATACACAACGATATTAGCATTTGCATGAAACGCACGGAAGATACACAAGTTATAGTAGAATGGACAAAGGATACAAATGGAACATTTAACAGAAGGTGAAGAGCCCCGCAGCAGGGAAGACGCCCCGCTCCCCAGGGCCAACTGAAAGGAAGAGTGGGGCCGCCTCCAGAGGGCTCCAGTGCAGAGCAGGCAGCTGACGGGACCACGGGCACAGAGGGGGAGGCTGAAGGGCGCCCCCGCAGGCAGGCAGTGGGACTGCGGGTGCCCCACACAGGATCTCCTGGTGTTGCTGGGCTCCGCATGTTTGCTTTATGATGCTGTCCACCTCAGCAGGCATGGGCCATGTGTACCTATTTCGATGTAAAAAATTAAAATTCAATGAAATTTAAAACTCAGTTCTTCAGTCACATGGAGCCCCACTCTGAGGTCTCAACAGCCTCAGCTATGGAATTTTCCATCACAGACAGTTCTCACAGGCAGCAGCTTTATATATTATGTGTATGTTGTATATGTTAATTTAGATGCGGTAAATACTATATAAGACATTCTTACAATGTTCACACAGTAAAACATTCTTAAATGAACTACTGCATTTCTGTTTTTCAACTGTAGGAAACAAATTCAAATTAAAGTCTAAATAACCATGAAAAAAAAGAAAAGTATTTTACAACACTTGTTCTCCTTCCCCCATTAAATAACGCCACTAAATGAAGCATCTAAAGAACGGCCTCTTCTGTCATCCGTGAGGAGGAAGGGGCTTGGTGGGATGCGGGCACCGGCGGCGCTTGGCACTCACCAGGCTCTGCTCTATGAGCAGGCAGAAGAGCACAGCGTTGCCCACCTCCCGCAGGTTCTGGAAGCACACCGTCTTCAGCTCTGCATACTCAACTATGTCCTTCAGCTGGTGGTGGAAGAACTCCAGGATGCCTGCAGTGGGAGAGAATGAATGTGGGGCTGGGAGAGGCTAGATGGGCGGGAGCGTGACAGTGCGCAGCCTGGAGTCCACAGCCGGAAGTGCCCGTGCTGACAGGAGACTCTGACACTGCCATCCTGTCCACCAAGGGGATGGCCCTGTCTCCTGTTCCACCGCCTGGATCCTGTCCTCAGTTCCAAAGCCTGTCAACCCAATCCAGGCACAGCTTGTTCTTCTGTGCTTTGCAGATATTATTTTTACAAATTGAAAGTCTGTGGCACTCCTGTGTCAAGCAAGTCTATAGGTGCCATTTTCCCCATAGCATCTGTTCACTTCATGTCTATCAGATTTTGATAATTCCTACAATATTTTAAAGTTTTTCATTATTATTATACTTGTCATGGTGATCTGGGATCTTTGATATTATTGCAAAAAGGTCACAACTTGCTAAAGGTTCAGATGATGGTCAGCATTCTTTAGCAATGACGTGTTTTAAGGTATTTAGTTTTATTTATTTATTTACAGCTGTGCTGGGTCTTCATTGCTGCACTCAGGCTTTCTCTAGTTGTGGCAAGCAGGGAGTCCTCTTCATTGCAGCGTGCAGGCTTCTCCTTCCGCTGGCTTTCTTCTTCTGGAGCACAGGCCCCAGAGTGAGGGCTCAGCGCCTGTGGCACACTGTCTTAGTTGTTTCAGGGCACGTGGGACCTTCCTGGACCAGGGATCAAATCCGTGTCTCCTGCATCGGCAGGTTGATTCTTTACCACTGGGCCACCAGGGAAGTCCAAGATATGTATGTTTTAAAAGGCGTATCTTGTGTTACTGCACACTTAACAGACCATAGCATAGTACAAACATAACTTTATATGCATCAGGAAATAAAATGCATATGGCTTGCTTTATTGTGATAATTTGCAGCTGGCTGGAACCAGATTTGCAACATCTCTGAGCTCTGTGTATACCTTCAGAGGAGGCATCATGTTGCAATAAAGGAGTAAGACCACACTCATCTCCAGCAGAGGTACAAAAGGTATTTGATAAAATTCAAAATCCCTTCGCAGGCATAGAAGGGAATGTATTTAATCTGATAAAGGACATCTACAAAAACCCTGTAGCTAACATCATACTCATGTGGTGAATCCGCATGCCTTCTCTCAGAGCTCCAGAGAAAGACAGCACATCTTCACCACTCTCCTGGAGGTTCTGGATGTTGTCATAAGGTTGCAAAAGATGCGAACCATAAAGTCTAGGAAGCACTCTGTGCATTCACTGCTGACACAGTCAAAATCCCCGAGCTGACTCCAGAATTTATAGTCATACAGAAAACCCAGAACAGGCAAAACAACACAGAAAAATGCTGGATACTTAGAGATTTCAAACCTCTCATCCCATCAGGTCAGGCCCTGAGTGCACTCCACAATGACCCCACAGCCCTGCCTGCCTGAGGGACCATCCTTTCCTCTTGGTGGTCCACCCCACGTGAGCCTGAGTGCGGGGGTCCTTTCAGCAATATGGCACCACCTCCACAGTGGCGCCACGCCCGCTGGGTGAGGACGCGTGGAACCAGCCCGGAAGTCCGCAGCTCTCCCCCAGGCCAGCTCTGGATTTGGCCTAAATGGCTTTGTCTTTGACATTTAGAATATCCACCTTTAATAAGGATCTGAGCACCAATTTTATTATCCCAACATTACTCGTCTACTTGCTGAGATTTCCCTAAGCCAGGACATACCAATGGTTATTCCCTTCCCAGTGGCCAAATGGGTCATCTCACTGTCTCCTCAAACACCAAAAGCACTGAGCGGTGCCAGGAACACCCAGGGGCTCAACCACACCAGTCAGCTGCCTATCAGGACAGTATCTCCTTGGTGACCAACAAGATAGTTTTCCAGCTTTCAATAAAGTATTAACAGATATGAGATAAAATGCAGCTTTGTTAAGAGACAAGGGTTCTTGTAGTTCAATTTTATCACAAAAAAAGCTCTCTGAGGTCATAAAGTTTATCCATGTAGAAAGCCCCAAATCCACTCTGGTCAGGCCACATAGGTTCTTCTGGCACCCCAAAGACCACAGCTGCCTGAGGGCCCTGCAGCTGGCCAGTCAGTGAGGCAGGCCCTCAGGAGAGGCAGGCTGCCGGACCGAGACAGACAAGGGGCATGATCTGGGAAGCGGCCCCCTGCACGGGGCCCCCCAGGGGCCGGGCCGCTGAAGACAGGCAGGCAGTTGGACCAGGCAGTGGGTCTCCCTGCCCCTCCCTCATCAGTGATTTGCAAGATCCTGACTGTAGGAGAGCCAAGGGGCACAGGGCTCACAGCACTGTCACCCCCCAACTCAGCTCTCCCACCCCTGCACACCTGCTCCTGGTTGAAAGGCTGGTTTGTTCTGTTGGAAACAATCAGGTTCTGGTTGGGCTTCCCACCTTCTCCCACTTGGGGAAGGCAGATCTGATCCTTACCAGTAATTTCCAACTTGATTTCCCTTAAGTGGCCTAGGGCTGACACTGCCCACCCCCGTGCGCCCCAGAGCGACGCTGTGCTCACCAGGGGAGCCGTACTCATGTCGCGGCAGCCGGCAGACCTTGGGCATCACCTCCATCAGCGTCTTCACATACTGTAGGATCGTGCCTTGCAGCTGTGAGAGATGGTCTGTGTCAACCACCAGCCACATTACCCTGGAGGCTGTCGGTGTGATGGGGACTTTGGAAAACAAATTTGTTAGTAAAATGCACGGTAATGACCCAGGACTGAGAATCACTTTGGCTGGAAAGGAAATCTCACACACAGAAGAAAAGCAACCTTGATGGGGGTGGGCAGCCCCTCGCCACACAGGAACTGGGTACAGAACCCTTCCCCCAACCCTGGGAAGGAAGCCCACCAGAGGAAAACATACCAGGCTCTTGACCACCTTCAGCAGCTCTTCCATGACCACTGCGATGCCCTGGTAGCCAAGCAGCCGGCAAATGACCTGGAAGTGCGGGGGCCCCACAAAGTTCCGGTAGCTGCCGTAGATGCTCGAATAGGCCAGGTTCAAAGCCTGGGGGCAGAGAACATTAGTGCTTGATGAAGCCGCCAAGTCTTCAGTCTAGCCCCATGCACACATGAAAATGAAGAATCCACATCTACATGCATCAGCACACAGTGCCCTCGGGTGCAGGGATCCAGAAAACCTGTTAGACTTGCCTTCATTGGTATCTATGTTTTCAACCTGAAGATATGAAAACAAGCTCGCTAAAACAGAAGGAAGAAAACAAAACCCTTTGGTCTCCCAACATTTATTAAACTACAGAAAATATTTTGAGGTCTTGGAATGAGAAATGAATATATCTTAGAACCTCACTGCTGCCCCCGTATTACTGCTCTCCGTCCCCTAAGGGAGACGCCCAACAATAGGTTCTGATGGGACAGTGGGTACCAGCGAGCTGGAGACAGCAGCCCCTGCATGGTGGGCAGGCAAGAAAGGTAGGCAGGGTAGTTTCTGGTGAGATAAGGCCTCCAAGTTTGTCTAAGGGTGTTTGCACACCCGTCAGGGAAACTCCTAATGTTAAGCATTCAGTGCTATATATTTCACGCTCAGCACTTCTTCAGCTGCACTCTGCAAATTCTGATTTACTTCCCTTGAGACTTCCTCTTGCCCTAAGGATCATTTAGAAATATATTAATTTCAGTGTCTGGAGATCTTCTTGTCATCTCTGTTACTGATTTCAAGTTTGAGTTCACTGTAGTGAAGATAACACTCTGTAATATTTCAATTCTTTGAATTCCGTTGAGGGTGTTTTAATGCCCAGGACATGGTCTATTTTGAGAATGCTCCATGGGTACTTGAAAAGAACATGTGTTCTGATGTTGTTGGCTGAAATGTTCTACACATGTCCGTGAGATCCTGCTAGTTGGTGGTGCTTGTTCTTCTTTGTTGCTGATTTTCTGAACACTTACTCTTTTGATTACTAAGTGAGAGGAAAGTTGACTTCCCCAACTACAACTATGGAGTTGTTCATTTCTCCTTTCACTTAGTCAGTTTTTGCTTCAAGTATTTTGAATCTGTTGTTTGGTGCAAAAACATTACGGATTGCTATATCTTCTTGGGGGCTTGACCTTATCATTATGTTATGTCCCCTCCCTCTTTGCCCCTGATGCGTGGTACATCTTTTTCCATCCTTTTACTTTTAATTTACTTATATCATTGACTTGAAGTGAGTTTCTTATGCAGTCATACTTTTTAATCCACAATCTCTGCCTTCAAACTGTCTTTTAGACTACTTATATATAAAACATTTACAAATAATGCAATTACTGATTTTTAAGTAGGCTTTTTCTTCTTGTCTTCCTGTGGGTCACGTAAGACATTTTCTGAACTCTGTTGTGACGTAAAGGTGGTATTTTTGAGAGCATCTCTCTGCACAGGTCTCTCAGTGATGCTCCAAGTGTCACGTTAGTTAACCTATGAGCTTCCCTGGTGGTCCAGACAGTAAAGAATCTGCCTGCAATGCAGGAGAGCCAGGTTCCATCCCTGGGTCGGGAAATCCTCTGGAGAAGGGAATGGCTGCCTAATCCAGCATTCCTGCTTGGAGAATTCCACGGACAGAGGATGTAATGTATATGTTGTATTATACATTATGTAAGTTATAGGTTATATAAGTTACCACTTTTGAATGAAGTGTTTTAGGATTCCTCCTTTTACGTCTCTGTATTCTTTCCCCTTCCCCTCTTATAACTGTCTTCAATATTTCCTCTACAAACACAGAGAACTACATCAGGACAAGAAGATTCTGAAGACCTGGACTAGCAAGGCTGGTTGTTCAGCTCTGAATGAATATCCTCAGGAGCTGTTGTTGTTCAGTTGCTAAGTAGTGTCCAACTCTTTGTGACCTCATCGACAGCACACCAGGCTTCCCTGCCCTTCACTATCTCTGAGAGTTTGCCCAAATTCATGTCTACTGGTGCTATCTAACTGTCTCATCCTCTGCCTCTGTCTCATCCTCTCCTTTTTCCTTCAATCTTTCCAAGCATCAGGGTCTTTTCCAATGAGTCAGCCTCTTCACATCAGGTGGCCAAAGTATTGGACCTTCATCTTCAGCATTAGTCCTTCCAATGAATATTCAGGGTTGATTTCCTTTAGGATCTCTTTGCGGTCCAAGGGAATCTCAAGAGTCTTCTATACCACCACAGTTCAAAAGAATCAATACTTCAGCACTCAGCCTTCTTTATGGTCCAACTCACATTTGTACATAACTACTGGAAAAACCATAGCTTTAACTATACGACCTTTTTCGGCAAAGTGATGTCTCTGCTTTTTAACAGATTTGTCATAGCTTTCCTTCGAAGGAGGAAGTGTGAAACCTCTCATCAGTCTTCAACTCCCGGGGGATCATTCCATCCTCAAGGCTTATGGAGGCTATTCTAGGTGTTTCCCTTTTCTCCTGAGCAATAACTGCATTCTGAGCCAAGAACATCTAGAATCTTACTGCCTCTCAAAAGAACCTATTCTAGAGTGACTGCATCTGAACAAAAAGGGAAATTGGGATATCACACCTTGTTTCTTATATGAGTGGAAAGCTGGAAACCCATGGACATGTACAATCAGGCCTCCCCTGGCTCCGTTCCTGGAGGCTGGCTTTTCCTGGAGCACCAGAGATTGGTGGCAGAACCTTCATTTTTCTTTTCTTTCTTGGCTGCAACACCTGGCATGTAGGATCTTCATTCCCTGACCAGGGACTGAACCAGTGCTCTCTGCAGAGGAAGCGCAGCCTTAACCACTGGGCCACCAGGGAAATCCCAGAACTTTCCCTCTGCTCTGTTCCAATGTGGATTCCAGAAGCAGTCATCCTCATGGAGTAAATGACAATAATAAATATCCCATCAAAGAAAACAAGGGTTTTGTGACAATGATATGTGTTCTATCTGCTTTGCATCACACAGAATGTGTTTCTGATAGCCATGCACTGTCCCAGAAGAGGGATACTCAAATACTTTCTGGCTACAATAAAAGCAAATTAAAAAATACATTCCCTATTCTTCACAATCTTTAAAGTAAAAGCCCTGTTAATTTTACCAGTGATGATGTACAGTAAACTTACTCTCCTGAAGTATTGTTTTCATTATACTAGCAAGTGGAAAATTATAGTTAGGAAGTTGTATTCTACTTGAAATGCATGAGACAGCTGCCAAACTAATTTCCTGTGTGTTACTTCTTAATATTATGGTACAGGTCTGTTTTGTTTCTCATCCTGCATATTGCATATTCTCCCCACCCCATCTCCTTCAATATACCCAAACTGTACAGTTAGTGTTTATGTACAGGGAACACTCCTTGGGAGGCAAGTGTTGAAGATGACAGAGGACCAATTTGGCAAAGAAGCTGGATCTGTCACTCGCCACTTTCAAAAAAATCTACTCAAGCAAGAACACCTTTGTGATTCCTCTTCTAAGAAGCCTGATTCTTGTCTTCTGCTCACCATTGTTGTTGTTCTTCAGTCATGAAATCATGTCTGACTCTCTGCAACCCTATGGACTGACTGTAACCCACCAGCCCTCTAGTATCTCCTGAAATTTGCACAAATTCATGTCCATTAAGCCGGTGATGCTAGAATTCTGTCAGAATCACATTGTTGTTGCTATGCTGCATCCAACTCTTTGTGACCTCATGGACTGCAGCACACCAGGCTCCTCTGTCCTCCACTATCTCCTAGAGTTTGCTCAAATTTATATCCACTGAGTTGGTGATGATCTCTAACCATCCATCCTCTGTCGCCCCCTTCTCCCCCTGCCTTCAATCTTTCCTAGCATCAGGGGCTTTTCCAATGAGTTGGCTCTTCACATCAGGTGGCCAAAGTATTGGAGCTTCAGCTTCAGCATCAGTCCTTCCAATGAACACTAAGGGCTGACTTCCTTTTGGACTGACTGGTTTGCTGTCCTGCAGTCTCGGGGACTCACACGGAGAGCACGTTAAAGTCTGAGAGCACCACTGCAGAGCTGTCTCACACAGGTATTCTAGTTTCTTCTTTATCCTGAGCTGGTCCCAAACAAAGCAAGGCGGTGTCACTTCATTACCCAAGGACGATGACACCATCCTGAATCTATTTGAAACTTGTGAGTTCAGCTCACTGGCACTAAAGATAATCAAGCTGTTGTTCCTGATTCCATTTCTGGCAGCTAATATACTCTCGTCAGCAAGGGGTGGCCGTGGACTGGTTTCCAAGCTTGGGAGGGAGTGCAAACATGAGCACGGTTTTGTTGTTTAGTCACTAAGTCGTGTCTGACTCTTTGGTGACCCCCATGGACTATGGCCCACCAGGTTCCTCTGTCCGTGGGATTTCTCAGGCAAGAATACTGGAATGGGCTGCCACTTCCTTCTCCAGAAATTTCTATCTTAATCACCAAAGTTTCTAGTTCTGTCTTCTAAAATTACATAAAACTTCTTTTAGTTCCAAGGGAGTTAAATGCTGTATTTTAATTCCAAAAGGAGGTGCATTAGAGCACTTATTCTAGTCCTTTTAAAGTTATCCATTTCATGCCCTTACCAAGTGGTAGAGGAGGAAGGCTGAACCCACTTATGAGCCCAAACTGTATTATCTACCCATTTCCAAGGTGCAAACACTGCTGCACATCTGAGTTCCAGCTACATCTGCAGTGAGAGGACAGAAATGAAAGGCTCACATTCTAAGGAGGCTCCCAACCTATATCCTGGTCTCTACAGACCCAATCTAAAGGGTGGGCTGGGCACCCAGTGTCACCACACGGGCAGCTAGGACACCATGACAACACGTTCCTGTGTAGTCCCAGAACGTGGGCACCACCTGGGTGTGGGGAAGGGCCAGAGTCCTGGGGCCTCATGCTCCACCCCATCCGTCACCCCCACCTGCCCAGCTGCTCAGCAGCAGTACTGAGCAGGGGCTTTCGTCTCTAACCCCCAGCCCCGAACCTGTGAGGCAGGTGCTGTGGTCAGTTAATCTGCTGTCATGCTTTTTGTGACGGTGATGTGTTATTGGCCCTGTAACACACTTCACTTTGTGCTTGTCTGACTTATTTCCTTAGGAGTCTGACTTCCTACAACTGAGAACATTTAAATGCTGGTGAATACAGACGGCCCCCTAGGATTCTGTGTATTCCTACAGCCACACATAAGGCAGCACTACATTACAATTTAGAAAGGTGCTAACAGGAGGACACAATCATGTTTCGTACGTGGCATGATGTTTGTGTACTTAGTCACTCAGTCATGTCTTTGCAACCCTATGGACTGTAGCCTGCCAGGCTTCTCTGTCCATGGGATTCTCCACGTGGGAATACTGGAGTGGGTTGCCATTTTTTCCTCCAGAGGATCTTCCCAACCAAGAGATCGAACCCGAATCTCCTGCATTGGCAGGTGGATTCTTTACTACTGAGCCACCTGGAAAGCCCTATGTGGCATGATACATTTAAATTATTGCAATTAAACTGATTCAAACTAAACTTCAAAATACACCTCACTGTGAACTTAAAAATCATAATATAATATAAACACAAAAGAACTTACCTTTGATCCATGCAAATACTGAGGTTGTGCATTTGGCTGTTTATCTCTCTGAAATTCTTGAGAAAATGGTAATACTGTACGAACAAATCTAAACAAGATTTTAAAAAATAAAAAAAAAAAAATCAAAAATTGAATGGTACTTCTTTAAAATTGAGAACTTTTCTATTACTCACCAATTAAATATTCCTCCCAATTAATAATTGTATAGGAAATCAAAACCCATATAAGGAATGAGCTATCAATACTCTGAAGTTTGATAAATGTATTCAAAGTTCAAAGAAACAGAGTGAGAACACCAGGGCCCTTCTAGAACATAAAGAGAGTCTCCAGAGTTGGCAACAGAACCATTTCAAGCCTAATTCAGTCTTCTGAAAAGGGGCCTGTGGACACAACAATGATGCCAGGTGACAGGAGTAGGAAGGCAGATTTGGGTAGTGAGGTGGTCACTTAGGTCACTAGATACAAACTAATAGAAGATGAGTTCAAAAATACACTTGCAGAGCCAAGAGACTGTGCCTTCATAATGGATTAGGAGCCACTGAAAATGAAACAGTTGGATCTTAAAGCAGAAATATAAAAATTGACTAAGTTTCATCAGTAGGGTTCATTTAAACATACTAAACTCTCACAAAGAAGCATGATAAAAAACAAGTCATAGACGCTAAAAAACTATAGTCATCAAGACAGTATGGTACTGGCACAAAAACAGAAATATAGACCAATGGAACAAGATGGAAAGCCCAGAAATAAACCCATGCACCTATGGATATCTTATTTTTGACAAAGGAGGCAAGAATATACAATGGGGCAAAGACAGCCTGTTCAATAAATGGTGCTGGGAAAACTGAACAGCTACATGTAAAAGAATGAAATGAGAACACTTCCTAACACCATACACAAAGATAAACTCAAAATGGATTAAAGACCAGAAACTATAAAACTCTAAGAGGAAAACATAGGCAGAACACTCAATGACATAAATCAAAGCAAGATCATCTATGACCCATCTCCTAGAGTAATGGAAATAAAAACAAAAGTAAACAAGTGGGACCTGATTAAACTTAAAAGCTTTTGCACAGCAAAGGAAACTATAAGCAAGGTGAAAATACAACCCTCAGAATGGGAGAAAATAAAAGCAAATGAAACAACTGACAAAGGATTAACTTCCAAAATATACAAGCAGCTCATACAACTCAATACCAGAAAAACAAGCAACCCAATCAAAAAGTGAGAAAAAGACCTAAACAGACATTTCTCCAAAGAAGACATACAGATGGCTAACATACACATGAAAGATGCTCAACATCGCTCATTACTAGAGAAATGAAAATCAAAACTACAATGACTTCACACTGGTCAGAATGGCCATTATCAAAAAGTCTGCAAACAGTAAGTGCTGGAGAGGGTGTGGAGAAAAGGGAATGCTCTTGCACTGTTGGTGGGAATGTAAATTGACACAGCCACTATGGAAGACGGTATGGAGATTCCTTGAAAAACTAGGAATAAAACGACCATATGACCCAGCAATCCCACTCCTAGGCATATACCCTGAGGAAACCAAAACTGAAAAAGACACATGTATCCCATAGTTCATTGCAGCACTATTTACAATAGCTAGAACATGGAAGCAGATGTCCTAGATGTCCATCAACAGATGAATGGATGAAGAAGTTGTGGTACATATACACAATCGAATGTTAGCCAAAAAAGGAATGCATTTGAGTCAGTTCTGATGAGGTGGATGAACCTAGAGCCTGTTAATACAGAGTGAGTAAGTCAGAAAGAGAAAGATAAATATTGTATACTAACATATATATATGGAATCTAGAAAAATGATACTGAAGAATTTATTTCAGGGCAGCAATGGAGAAACAGACATAGAGAACAGACTTATGGACATGGGGAGAGGGGAGGGGAGGGTGAGATGTATGGAAAGAGTAACATGGAAACTTTGTTACTCTGTTTCATGGAAACATGTAAAATTTGCTGTAGGTCTCAGGAAACTCAAAGAGGGTTCTGTATCAACCTAAAGGGGTGGGATGGGGAGGGAGATGGGAGGGAGGTTCAAAAGGGAGGGGATATATGTATACCTATGGCTGATTCATGTTGAGGTTTGACAGAAAACAAATTCTGTAATTATCCTTCAACTAAAATATAAATTTTTTAAAAAGTCATGGATTTGTTAATTATTAAATTCTAAGAACTTGATGAACATATATCACACTTTAATAAATAAAAAAGAGTGCAACTGTCAAAACACTTAACAGCTCATGAAACAAACATTTGCAACCAAAAGGAGGAGCGGCCTGTGGCTCTGAGCACATTGACGTGGAAACATCACGGTGTTGAGTGGCTGGATTTTGTCTTTAACTTTTAAAGAATGCTCAATTTTGGGGGGCAGATGGTTAAACTGCTTGCAAGTCAACTGGTCTGTTAGGGTGTAAAGTAGCCACTGGACTTGCCGGGTAGCTCAGCTGGTAAAGAATCTGCCTGCCAACTCAGGAGCGGAGACGGCAATGGCACCCACTCCAGTACTCTCGCCTGGAAAATCCCATGGTTAGAGGAGCCTGGGAGGCTGCGGTCCATGGGGAAGCACAGAGTCGGGCACGGCTGAGCGACTTCACTTTCACTTTTCACTTTCATGCACTGGAGAAGGAAACGGCAACCCACTCCAGTGTTCTTGCCTGGAGAACCCCAGGGACAGAGGAGCCTGGTGGGCTGCTGCCTATGGGGTCACAGAGTCGGACACGACTGAAGCGACTCAGCAGCAGCAGCAGCAGCAACAACTCACGAGACCCCAGTTCGATTCCTGGGTCAGGAAGATCCCCTGGAGAAGGGATAGACTACCCACTCCAGTATTCTTGGGCTTCCCTGGTGGCTCAGAAGGTAAAAAATCCACCTGAGGGATTTCCCTGGTGGTCCAGTGGCTAAGACTCCAGGCTCCCAATTCAGGGGCCCCAAGTTCAATCCCTGGTCAGGGAATTAGATCCCACATGCTTCAACTAAGACCTGGTGCAGTCAAATAAATAAATAAATATTAAAAAAAAAAATCCACCGGAAATGTGGGAGACCTGGGTTGAGAAGATCCTCTGGAGGAGGGCAAGGCAGCCTACTCCAGTATTCTTGCCTGGAGAATCCCCATGGACAGAGGAGCCTGGTGGGCTTGAGTCCACAGGGTCACAGAGTCGGACACGACTGACTAAGCCCAGCACACAAAGTAGCCACTACCCCAGTGCTGGCACTAAGACAGGCCCTGCCGGCAACTCTGTCGCATGCCTGGGTATTCAGGCAGCTCTCCCCACTCTCACAGGCAGCCTCAAGTGACTCCTAGTCCTGGTGAGCTCTGGGAACAAGTCCACCTACAGCTCCCTGGCAGCTGTTCTTCCACCAGGCTTGTGGCGTTCCACTCAGCTCACACAGTTTCATATTCAAGAATGGGGACTTCCCCGGTGGTCCAGTGGTTAACACTCTGTGCTACCGCTGCAGCAGATACAGGTTACATAGGTGGTCAGGGAACTAAGATCCTGAATGCTGTGGGTACAGCCAAAAATAAAACCACCAAAAAAACCAAGAAACCAACACACACACACACAACACAAAATACATATTTAAGCAAAGACTGGGCTTCCTGGTGGCTCAGATGATAAAGAATCTGCCTGTGATGCAGGACATCCAGGTTCGATCCCTGGGTCGGGAAGATCCCCTAGAGAAGGAAATGGCAACCCATTCCAGTATTCCTGCCTGGCGAATCCCCATGGACAGAGGATTCTGGGAGGCTACAGTCCGTGGGATTGCAAAGAGTCAAGACATGACTGAGTGACTAAGACACAAAGGGCTCCTAAGTTGGTGTCAGGAGCTCTTCTTCTGATATCTCTTTCCTCTCCCATATTCTGCCATGCACATCCAGCCATCTCAGCTTCTTTGTCTCCATCACCAAGCAAGACCTCCAAAGTGCTTTCAGGTAGGAAGCCAAGGAGCCACACAGCTCCATCTTTCATTTCTTTTCCCTCCAGGAAACATCCGATGAAAATAGTTGTTTCATAAATGCTGCCCAGTTTTCCACTTGTTTAAGTGAAAGAGTAAATTCAAACGCTGTTACTCCATTATTTCAAATAACTTTTAAACACCACATTTTGACTGTACGCATTTCTCAATCTAAAGACAAAAAATGGGAACAAGCACTGAATTCTAGTTAATAGGTTTGTGCTTCACAGTCAGAAGGTTAAGTAATTCTGAAACTACTTTCTTCATGTCCTGGAATTCAGCAAATGAATAAATATATTAAGAATGACAAAATTTAAAAAAAAAATGACAAAATAAGAATTCTCAGTATAGAAGGAAGTTAAAAAATGGAAATGAAGCCTGTGTCGCTGACCTGGAATCTAAGACAAAGTTGTGTAAATTCATGGTTTCAATATAGAGAGAGCTGGGTACAAGTAGCATGTGACTTAACTGAAAGTCACTCAGTTGTGTCCGACTCTTTGCGACCCCATGGACTATACAGTCCATGGAATTCTCCAGGCCAGAATACAGGAGTGGGTAGCCTTTCCCTTCTCCAGGGGATCTTTCCAACCCAGGGATCAAACCCAGGTCTCCCACATTGCAGGCAGATTCTTTACCAGCTGAGCCACAAGGGAAGCCAAACAAGTAGTATGCGTGCGTGCTGAGTCTCTTCAGTCATGTCTGACTCTTTGTGACCCTATGGACTGTAGCCTGCCAGGCTCCTCTCTCCATGGGATTCTCCAGGCATAGAATATTGGAGTGGGTTGCCATGCTCACCTCCAGGGGATCTTCCCAACCAAAGGACTGAACCTGTGTCTCTTATTATCCCTTGCATCAGCAGGCAGGTTCCTTAACCACTAGCACCACCTGGGAAGCGTGCATACAAGTAGACACACATGTACACATTATGGGTTTGTGTCCCTCCAAAAGATAACTTAAAGTCTGACTAGTACCTCAGAATGTGCTCTTATTCAGAAACACAGTTGTTGCAGATGTAATTAATTAAGATGAAATCATGCTGGAGCAGAGTGAGCCCTTAATTCAATGTAACATGACTCATTTCCTCACAGAAGAGGAGAGAGGCACGTGAGGACAATGCCACAGGCCAACAAAGATGGAGATGGGAGCTATGCAGCTGCAGCCAAGGCCGGCTGGCCACACCAGAGACAGCAGAGACCACGAGAAGACCCCGACCGGCCTCAGAGGGAGCAGAGCCCTGCTGACACCTTGATTTTGGACTTTTTGCATCCAGAACTGTGAGAAAATAACGTTCTGTTGTTTTAAGCCCCCAGTTTGTGACAACTTGTTCTGGCAGCCCCAGAAATCTGGTACAGCACAGGTGCAAGTCCTTCCCAGCTCTGACCACTGAAAAGAGGAGAGAGCAAGGACCCATCAGCTGCAGTGAGTATACCTAACACTCAGACTTTGCTTAATTTTAAAATATTCTCCATTAAAAGGCATCACTGACTCACAGACTACAAGAATAAAGAAGGATAATTCTAAGATGAGCCTGGGACTTCTTGTGTTACACACAGTAGAAGGAGGCTTAAGAATCATGGGACAGCCAAGAAGACAGAGACAAGGGGCAGAAGGGGCTCCCAGGAGCCAAAACAAGACAGATTTGAGCCACGAAAACTAAAGCCAAGTCATGGCAGTAACAGATTATAACCCTGTGTTAAAATCCCCACATCCCTACTAATGATAAATAAAAAATGCTAACACGTACAGCAGAATGCCAATGAATAACTGTAGATGGAATGACAAGGTTAGAAAATCACTACTGTTCAAACACCACAGGGATAACTGACTTGGGTATAAATCATCAACAGATGTTCAGATTAGCGGGTCAAGTTTTAACAAGGAATCATTTTGAAAGTTTTAGATTATCTCCTTAAACATTACTTACAAATTTCAAACAGAAAAATGGAAACATGTCAGCAGAGAAATTTGGCAGCCAGCAACCTAACCAGGGAAGATCCCCTGGAGGAGGGTATGGCAACCCACTCCAGATTCTTGCCTGGAGAATCCCATGGACAGAGGAGCCTGGCGGGCTACAGTCTGTGGGGTCACAGAGTCGGACAAAAGTGAAGCAACTTAGCATAAGCAGCATGCTAACAGGGGACAGATGTCACGACGGCCAGTGAAGGGACACCTTGTGGTACACCGCACCCTGGGCGCGCGCTCCTCAGCAGTCTTGCTGCCAAACAGGCAGACTCTTCCCAAAGGCTGGCTGGCTTTGAGGGCTATCACACTGTCAAAATCAGTGGCTGTACAGGTTAAATTTAAGTCACATGTCACCCCATGTGATCTCCCAGAGTCACCAGGCATAAATTATTAAGCAGAAATAAGCAGCAAAACAAGGAGCTATGACAAGAAACAAATGGAGTGTGGATTTCCTGCAAGCAGCTCTCGGAAAACCCTCAGTGTGGAATTAAGATACTGGATGGCATAGTTTTATCTGTCTTCTCAGGTTTCCACATGCAAGGTGGAGCTATAAAATCCTATTTTTTACTGTCTTTTCCAGATAATGAAGCTCTAGGGGATCTACTAGAAGTCTGTTAAAAGTACAGAAGTAATTGGCTTTGCCAACGCTAAGAAAAGTGAAGGCCAGCAGAGCTGCCCTGGTGAAGATGGTTTCTCTGAACTGCACACAGTTTTCTGGGCCCAAGAAGGCTGATGTCACTTTATGTCGGTCCCTGCCAGACTGCAGCTCCTAAGCATGTGAAACTGTATTTCCTTGCGATCACCAAGCCTGCTGAAGGTGGCACAGGCTTCAAGAGCCTGGGGCAGAGCCACTTATCAGCACCTCCTGGGAGGCAGGAACACACACCAGCAAGTGAAGGCAGCCTCCACTGGAGCTCTCACATGGGACGGGCTCCAGGGACTGAGGGCAGAGGGGCCTCACGGCAGTTCACACACCCTGCGCTGCAGTGTCCTCCACGGACCCACAGCTCTACCAGGCGGCGAGAGTAACAGCCTAGGGGTGGCCCCGCTCCTGCTAAGGCCAGGGGCACCACTTCCTGACCTGAGTCCTGGCAACCTTGTCTCTCTTAACAAGACTCCTGCTGCAACCAGGACAGGCGGCCTGGATGGCGGTTTGTTCCCCAGAATCAGCCTCCATCAGGCGAGGGTACCCGTGTGAACCCAGCTTGGCAAGCAAGGCCTCAGCGTAGATCTCTTTTCCTAACTTCACACTAACCACTCATCATTCCTGGAGGGTTTTCAGACAACGCAGTGACTCAACAGCAGGGTTTACATGAATTTCCATCATCATGTCAGTTTCACCTGCCTGACCCGCCCGCACCCCCGCGGCCCTTCCGCACAGCTGTTGTTGTCTTTGAGCCCTCACCCACTGGGCCGTCACTAAGATGACCAGGACAGGCCCCTGCTGTACACGTGCAATGCAGGGGGCACAAAGGGGTCCGGGAAACATCTTCAATTGTCCCTTTTACAAGATCTCTGGGAATTCTTTAAAGGGCAACAAAATGCTAGATGATCAAAAATGCAACCTAAAATAAAGAAAAACATTAGAACTCCTTATGTTGCCTGAGTCTAACCCTCCCACCCCTGGCCCCACTGTAACATATTTTCTCAGTTTGTCTGTAACAGGGTTCTGTTGCATTTCACCTTTGAAGATGCCAACTCTAAGCACTAGGCAAAATAATTTAAGGGACATAGTGAAAGTGAAATTTGCTCAGTCGTGTCCAACTCTTTGCGACTCTATGGACTATCCGTGGAATTCTCCAGGCCAGAATACTGGAGTAGGGAGCTGTTCCCTTCTCCAGGGGATCTTCCCAACCTAGGGATCAAACCCAGGTCTCCTGCATTGCAGGCAGATTCTTTACCAGCTGAGCCACCAGGGAAGCCCAAGAATGCTGGAGTGGGTAGCCTATCCCTTCTCCAGGGGCAGGAAGATTCTTTACCAGTTGAGCTACCAGGGAAGCCTGTTAACAGACATAACAGAAACTTAATTCCCAAAGTTCCAAATGGGTCAACCAAAGCAAAGAAAATCTTACAAATGGCCATGAATTAGATTTTCAAATGCACAATAAGCATATATGCACCCTCACTAACACAGAATACCCCTCACTGTGACATATGATGTGAAAAAAACAATGTGAATTTAGCAGTATGCCTCCATTTCTGCAAAATAAAAAGTACACATGTATATTTGCCTGTATGGCAAAAATTCTGAAAGACAGACATTTTACAAGGGAAATTTCTAGGCATTTAATTATTTTCCCCATAATATTCCATATACACACACACAAACACAAACATGACTTCTAGCTTTTCTTTAATTATGACGCATTACTTGTGTAATAAAAATATTTTTCTAGTTAATTCCAACCCTAAAAAAACCTTAAGTTTGGTTTCAGTGCATTATACCCAGTTGGGCATAGGGCCCCTGAACCAAGGAGGCCAACCAGGGCTCCTTCACCAGTGGCTCTCATGGCCATGGCCACATGCCCCAGGTGCTACAAGGGGTTGAGACGATGGCCCTAATGGCACACCTCCATGTACCAGCAAGAGGCCTGTATTCCCACAGGAAACCAAGCCTGGTGTCCCAAACAGACAATGGCAACAGCAGGTATGGTCACGCTGAAGGAGGGCCTCCCTTCTGCCCTTGGGGTTGAACCTCTGCATCCCGGATTAAGACACAAAAATCTAGGGCTAAAAGTCAGTAGTGATTCAGCTGACACTTAAAAGGATGGGATGTTCAGATGCAGTAGGGAAGCAAAGTAAAAGCAAAAGACATTTGCTTTAAAAAGGTGGTCATCACGCTCAAACACACACAGTCTCTCACACACACCCTCATTCACCCTCACTCCCATTTCTCACACCCACCCACGTTTTCTGTTTCATATACACACACACGATCCCATGAGCCCCTGGCATGTGCTGACACAGCAGGAATGAGGCTCTGCACAGAGCCGGAAGTGACACAGGGCCTTCCCAGTATGCGAACCACGTGACCCTGCAGCCAGCAGCCACGCAGCCGCCCAGCAGGCCGCTCCGTGCGTTCAGCACAGTAGTGAAACGGTAGATGGGCGGAGGGAGGCTCCAGCATCCCAGCACGGAAGCATGACAAGTGCAGAGTCGCCCAGCACATCCCAACATTGGGAGACGCAAAAGCATGGAGGCGGTGCCGATCCAGCAGCTGCTGCCCACGTGTACCACAGACTTGACCCTGGGCCCCACGGGAGTGCCCATGATAGGAACGCTGGCCCCACGTGTGTTCTGCACATGAGAGCCACGACCACAGAACGCAGGGCTGGCCCTGGGCCGCACCTGCAAACAGAGGCGATCCCAGGGGCCTGCGTATCCTGGACACGCGGAAAGATGGGCCCGGAGACCATCCTCCCTTGCTGCCCCATGACGGGGCACCCGGAGCTGCCTGTGAGGCGCCACGCTTACCGGTTGGTGGAGCCGTTGTAGCAGTAGTTGGGCAGGAAGTCATAGTTGAGCTCCCAGAAGACATGGAGGGTGATTCTCCCGTAAGGCGCAGACACGTTGTGGTTGGCCTCCCGGAACATGGCATCAAAGCTGTCCAGAGTCAGGTACTTGCTCAGCAGTTTGTGGGTCATGCGGTTGATTTCTAAGAGGCCATCCAGCTCCTACAGGACCACAGAGAGGCACGGAGAGCAAAGCTGGGTGTGGCATGGTGGCCTCCACCCTCCGCCTGGGCAGGGCCGCGGTGGGCTGGAGGTGGGCGGAGCATGACAGCACGTGGCTGGGTCAGTGTGCTAGGCCAAGAGCCCACATGCTGGGGGTCTGACAGGTGATGCGAGCCTACTTCTCACACCTAAGTTCATCACGCCCTCTCCAGGGCTCTTAAAATGGCAGTGATGCCCCACTGTCCGATGCTTATCCTCCAGACCCTCCACGGGGCAGAGAACACGGAGACGTGTCCCCCGCACTGATGACAGACTGTGTCCTCGGGGGTCAGCCTCAGTCGGCTTCCCTGAAACACCTGAGGTAATGCAAAGCTGCGCGGAACCGTGGGCAGCGCGCGAGAGCCTTCCGGGCTCTCACATGGCCCCTCGTGAACCCACCCGGGGCTGTGCCATCCACGTTGGCAGCCACTGACCACATACGGCCACGAGGACGTACGTGGTGGCCTGAACCGCACTGTGCCATTATGTGTGAGATACAGACAGATTTCAGAAACCAAATATGAACACAAGGAACAGAAAATATCCACGCCAATAAAATTCTTATAACAATTATATGTTAAAATGTTGATTTTGGGCTATATTGCATTAAATAAAATAGATTATTAAAATTAATTCCCCCTATTTCTTTCTCATTTTCTAATGTGACTACAAGTAAATTTAAAATGGTCTCTGTGACTTGCATTCTGTTTATACTGGTCAAAGACTCCACTAAGTCATCAAAGACCAAGGACATGAAAACACTGTGACCAGGTCCAAGCCAGGCTGAAGGGAAGGCCACTTCAGCCTGGATCCTGAGGAAGGATGGGGAAGCATGCTCATTACTGTGGCGATGCTCGGCTCAGAGGTGGGCCCAGGAGACAATCCCCACCCACCACTGATTTCTAAGGACAAAGAGTTTTCCTGAAGTTATCACAAATTCATTAGCATGTGCCTGCAGCCATCATTCCTAACCATTATGCCTAATCTGTCATTAATCCTGACAGATTTGGCAAAAAGATTCTTAAATTGCACCTCCTTTTCTGCCAGCTCAGGTCTGAGGACAACTGGATTTTTCTTTCCCTCATCACTCTGCTCAGATATCCACAGGACTTTTCCTTTTCTTCAAAAGTTCAATACTACAATGTTCACTACAATATTCCTTGGTGTTGGCCACTTTAGGTCTGTTTTCCCTGGTATGTGATATTTGCTTCTAGTAAGTATTTATACTGTGTTTTTCATCAAAGTTTTCTTGAAATAGCATTTCTAATGTTTGTTCCATCTCATTGTTTGGTTTTTGTCTTCAGGGGCCTCTATGACACATAATGTTGAATCTTCACTATCTCATCTTCTATACAATTTTCTCTCAAATCCTTTTTGTCTGTCTTCATTTCTTTTTAATTTAAAACTTCTCACCTTTTACTCTTTTACCATATCTTATGAAATAGTGAGATGTAACTATGTATCCTCTGAAGTCGATTTGGAACTGTGGACACTAAGAGCAAATCCCTAGGCAGGCCCAGCTCAGTGCACACTTTTTGAGTTCTATGCAGAAACTTCACCTACAATCAGGTCAATTTATCAATAACGACAAAAGCAGTAGCAGCTCCAACCCTTGCAACCAGTCCTCTCCCAAGTATGCTGCACCTGAAAGAAGGGGGCGCACTTACAACTATTGATGTCAGGTCTTCACTCTCAAATCGCCCAATTGCCAGTTCCAGGGACTTGTACATGGCAGCGGAGACGCGCTGGGTAATCAGACGATTGAGGTCGATGGACCTGCCCAGAAGCTGGGCACAGAGGGTGGAAAGTGTGAGCACCAAAAAACAAACGTGCAAGAGAATACGTACCTACCCCCAGAAAGCTATTCCAAAAGATAAGACAAATAACATACAAAATTTAGATGGCAGTATGATCAAATATTCTATTTTCCTAGAGCTGAAATTCTGCAAGTCAAAGCTGTAAAGTACTTTTTGTAGTGTTCATTGCAGTGAATTTGCACTTATGTCACAGGCAGAGATGCCAAGTCTCCTGGAGAACCTGTGTTTGTCACTTAGTGTACCCCTTGTAATGGGTTCAGGGCCACCTCCCAGCACAGACTGGCTTGTGTGTGCCTTACCTCCACTGTGTCACAGGGATGAATAAGAGAAAACCACTCCAACTCTACTGCAGAGTAGCAACAACAAGGGTCTACCTTAGTATCATTTCAATAGCATAAAGATACAGACAAAACTCTGGTGAAAATGCCCCAAAATATGAATGGCGGTTATCTGTAGATTGGAGAAGGGAATGGCAACTCACTCCAGTATTCTTGCCAGGAGAATTCCAAGGACAGAGGAGTTTGGCGGGCTGTATAGTTCATGGGGTCGCTAAGAGTCAGACATGACTCAGTGACTAACACTATCTGTAGACAGAATGACATGAACTTTCCCTACAACTTTCTGTATTTTCCTTTTGATTATATATACACATATTATTTTTAAAGCAACAAAACAAGCAGTGCATTTTTATTCTTCATGCCGGCCAAGGAAAAGCTCCTCCCCACCACTCTGGAAGTCTGAGTTAATCAGTTGTGTCTGACTCTTTGAGACTCCATGTACTAGGTTCCACTGTCCATGGAATTTTCCAGGCAAGAATACTGCAGTGGCTGCTGCTGCTAAGTCGCTCCAGTCATGTCCGACTCTGTGCGACCCCATAGACGGCAGCCCACCAGTCTCCCCTGTCCCTGGGATTCTCAAGGCAAGAACACTGGAGTGGGTTGCCATTTCCTTCTCCAATGAATGAAAGTGAAAGTGAAGTCGCTCAGTCGTGTCTGACTCGTAGCGATCCCATGGACTGCAGCCTACCAGGCTCCTCCGTCCATGGGATTCTCCAGGCAAGAGTACTGGAGTGGGGTGCCATTGCCTTCTCCAGAGTTATCTTCCCAATCCAGGGAAGCCACAGTGGTAAAGAATTAGCCTGCAATGCAGGAGACACAGGTTTGATCCCAGGGTCAGGAAGATCCCCTGGAGGAGGCATGGCAACCCACTCCAGTATTCTTGCCTGAAAACCCTATGGACCGAAGAGCCTGGTGAGCTGCAGTCCATGGGGTTGCAGAGTCAGACACGACTGAAGCTACCGAACACACCACTATAACAAGTGCCCGAATCTCCTTCATTCAAGTTCTGACTTTTGGGCTCCTGGAGAGGCCCTGCGCTGGGGCCGAGCCTCCAGGGAGCTGCGCCGGGCAGCCGTCCCTGGCTTGTCAGCTTATCCAAGGGAAACTGTTCATCTTTAAAATCTCAGCTATTTACAGGGATGTTCCCACAGCCACATACACACTGACATCCATTAAAATCTGAGAAGCTCTAGGAAAAACCCCACTTTTCCACTGCCGGCTCTGTATCTCCCTGCACCCAGGAGAGGCCTGGCTCACCTGCACGTGCCTCTGCTTGAGCAGTGTCTCATAGCGGTTCGATGGCGGGAGATGGATGGTTGCGCCCTGATTCTTGCATTCTGATCGTAACCGTTTATCAAGAAGCAAACTAGCACGGAGAGGAGAGAGGACAATTTCTCATGCACAGTGAATTTTAATAGAAATGTCAGATCAAATTGCCCAAGATTTTGTACCCAAATTGCTAACCACGTACTTACCTTCCTGCCATAACCTTATAATATGCAAATATCTGGTCTGCCAGCTTATAAACAAATTGGTCAAAACAGAGATTCACCTGAAGAAAAAGAAAGCATGCATTGAATTCTGCTTCTCCAGGGATTCCCCTGGCAGTCCAGTGGTTAGGACTCTGCACGTTCACTGCTGAAGGCACAGGTTCCATCCCTGGTAGGGGAATTAAGATCCCACAAGTTGCATTCTCGCCCCAAATTTTGCTTTTCTGAGTTAAGATCACATTTTAAAAAAACTTAAAAAATTTTTTTTGATTGAGCGATTCAACTTCTAAGTATTAATCTAAAGGAAATGGAAACACTAACTCAAGAAGATATCTGTACCCCAAAGTTCACTGCAGCACTATTCATAATAGCCAAGACATATCCATCATATCCATCAGTTCACTGATGGATAAATGGATAAGATGCGGTATGTGTGTACACACACACACAGTGGAATATTGCTCGGCCATAAAAGATAAGAAAACCCTGCCAATTTTCAACAACATAGATGGACCTTGAGGGTGCTAGGCTAAGTGAAGTAAGTCAGACAAAGACAAATGCTGCATGATCTCACTTATATGTAGAATCTTAAAAGATAAAAACAAACTCATAAATTCAATGAACAGATTGGTGGTTGTCAGAGGTGGAGCATAGGATAAATGGGTGAAGGTTGTCAAAGGTACAAACTTACAGTTATAAAATAAGTAAGTCCTAGGGATTAAAAAAACCTAAAACCACAAACCCTTGACCCTTCCACAAAATCTCAACCCTTTGTTAAGGCAACTACAAGAGGTTCTCATGAGAAAGGATACAACTTTACAGTCTAATGATATCAAATTAAATCCATTTCAGTGGGACCAGGAGTAACCACCACACTATCACTGAAAATTATGTCAGAACCTTTCTTAATGATGGAGAAAAATACTTCAATTCTCCTAAATAAAAAGAAATATTAAAAAGTCTCTCTTTATCATGTACTCCCAGGGGGCTAATGTGCACTGTATTTGGGCTCCGCCAGGGGCTATAGTCAAGGCTACGGCTTTTCCAGTGGTCATGTGTGGATGTGAGAGTTGGACTATAAAGAAAGCTGGGTGCCGAAGAACTGATGTTTTTGAACTGTGGTGTGGGAGAAGAGTCTTTGAGAGTCCCTTGAACTGCAAGGAGATCCAGCCAGTCCATCCTAAAGGAAATCAGTCCTGAGTGTTCATTGGAAGGACTGATGCTGAAGCTGAAACTCCAATACTTTGGCCACCTGATGCGAAGAGCTGACTCATTTGAAAAGACCCTGATGCTGGGAAAGATTGAGGGCAGAAGAAGGGGACAACAGAGGATGAGATGGTTGGATGGCGTCACTGACTCAATGGACATGGGTCTGGGTAAACTCTGGGAGTTGGTGATGGACAGGGAGGCCTGGCGTGCTGCGGTTCATAGGGTCGCAAAGAGTCAGACACGACTGAGCAACTGAACTGAACTGAGGTGGTATATTCCTGCCTCCAGGCTATATGTCCCAAGGGCATCTGCCCATGGCCTCTCCTGGGCTGCCAAGACAATTCAGGAGATGCAGGGTGGACAGTCCTGGGACTTCACCCTCAAGACTATATTCTCACTTGCAAATGGGATTAGCTCACCCCCTAGGCTGTGGCGCGGACACCCTGCACTCAGAGTGGTGCTGCCCCAGGGCCCCCGGGCCTCTCTCCCCAGCCCATCCAGCCTCACCAGGGGGTCCAGAGCAACTCCCCGAGGAAGTGTATCCTGTGGTGTTCGTGGGATATAGGGAATGAGGCCCTTCTGGCATGACCTAAAACAAACCCCTTATGATCAAACAGTAGCAGTGACAAATAGATTCAAGAGATTAGAGCTGACAGAGAGAGTGCCTGAAGAACTATGGACGGAGGTTCGTAACGCTGTACAGGAGGTGGTGACCAAAACTATTCCCAGGAAACAGAAATGCAATAAGGCAAAATGGTTGTCTGAGGAGGCCTTACAAATAGGTGTGATCACGCATCTAGAGCCTGGAGTGTGACGTCAAGTGGGACTTAGGAAATCCTAAAAGATGATGCTGTGAAAGCACTGCACTCAATATGCAGCAAATTTGGAAAACTCAGCAATGGCCACAGGACTGGAAAATGTTAGTTTTCATTCCAATCCCAAAGAAGGGTGATGCCAGAGAAAACTACTGCACAATTGCACTCATCCCACATGCTAGTAAAGTAATGCTCAAAATTCTCCAAGTTTGGTTTCAACAGTATGTGAACTGAGAACTTCCAGATATTCAACCTGGATTTTGAAAAGGCAGAGGAACCAGAGATTAAAATGCCAACATCCTCTGGATCATAGAAAAAGCAAGAGAATTCCAGAAAAACATCTACTTCTGTTTCATTAACTATGGTAAAGCCTTTGACTGTGTGGATCACCACCAACTGTGGAAAATTCTTAAAGAGATGGGAATACCAGACCAACTTACCTGCCTCCTGAGAAATCTGTATGCAGGTCAAAAAGCAACAGTTAGAACTAGACATGGAACAATGGACTGGTTCAAAACTGGGAAAGGAGTATGTCAAGGCTGTATATTGTAACCCTGGTTGTTTAACTTATATGCAGAATACATTATGCAAAATGCCTGCTGGATGAAGTACAAGCTGAAATCAAGATGGCCGGGAAAATCAGTAACCTCAGATATGCAAATGACACCACCGTGATGGCAGAAAGCAAGGAGGAACTAAAGAGCCTCTTGATGAAGGTGAAAATGGAGAGTGAAAAAGCTGGTTTAAAACTCAAACATTCAAAAAACTAAGATCATGGCACCAAGTCCAATCACTTCACGGCAAATAGATGCGGAAACAATGGAAACTGACAGACTTTATTTTCTTGGGCTCCAAAATCACTGAGGACAATGACTGTAGCCATGAAATTAAAAGACGTTTGCTTCTTGGAAGAAAAACTATGACAATCATAGCATATTAAAAGGCAGAGTCATCACTTTGCCGACAAAGGTCCGTAGAGTCAAAGGGATGGTTTTTCTGTAGTCATGTATGGATGTGACAGTTGGGCCATAAAGAAGGCTGAGTGTCGAAGGATTGACGCTTTCGAACTGTGGTGCCAGAAAAGACTCTTGAGAGTCCATTGGACTGCAAAGAGATCAGACCAGTCAATCCTAAAGGAAATCAACCCTGAATATTCATTGGAAGGATTGATGCTGAAGCTGAAGTTCTAATACGTTGGCTACCTGATGCGCAGAGCCAACTCATTGGAAAAAACCCTGAAGCGGAAAAGATTGAGGGCAGGAGAAGGGGGCAAGAGAGGACGAGATGGTTGGATGGCATCACTGACTCAATGGACATGAGTTTGAGCAAACTGCAGGAGATAGTGAAGGACAGGGAAGCCTGGCATGCTGCAGTCCATGGAGTCGCAAAGAGTCAGACACAACTCAGCAACTGGACAACAACAATGGGGGATGAGACCCATATGTATAATGAAATCTGTTAAGGTTAAATTCTCTTATATCCTGAGCTAGAAAATAAGATTTATCTCCTTAATTGCATGTACACAGACTTAATAATTCCACTTAGAGGAATTTTTCCTCAAGAATAACCCAACACAACTAAAAAGTCACATGCAAGGAAGTTCATTAAAGCATTATTTATAATGAGTAAAAAACAAAAAGCTAGAACTAGAGAAATAAAATAGAGATTGGTTCAGTCCATCTGTTTCACAGAATGCCCCTGTTCTAGACTGTGTTCATGCAAGAAAACAGGCAAGATATGTGGTGCTTATGACATGGGGTCATGTGAGACATGGGATCATGTGAAAAAAATGTCACCCAACAGCTGATGGGTGGTTTGAAGCTGATTTGAAGAACACAATCGTCCTGTATGGATGCATAAAAAAAGTGCTGACAGAAGGGTTCATCCCAAAATGTTTATTTCAAACTTCATTCCATTGTTTAAATCTCTTTGTATTACAAAGAAAGTCTGCTTCCTCTAATATTCAGAGGAAAAAGGAAATTAAAGAAAGTCTGTTAAAAGTGCCTGGGCCCTTACCTCTGCCTCGATTTCATCATAGAGAAACTGCTTGTTGAACCTGGTGAGGGCGTAGTGGGCGCTATCATTGTATAGGTCCAGGGAGTAGAGGACGTACCTGCAGAAGGGGAGACACGTCACCCGGCTGCCCACACGGGCTTTCTTGGCTTCCACACCCTCCCCTCCACCAGAAATGTAACACTCACTGTTCTCCTTCCTCATGGGGAAAAAGAATTTCTTACTTCAAATGCCAAATTTGGTTCCGTGAGTGCCCTGACAAGACAGCCCCGTCAGGCAAGCTGGGCTTTTGGCAGGCACGCGTGGCTCAGCCAGGCCCAGGGCACCGGGCAGGTCCATGACGGCCTCCTGCAACTTCATCTTCTCACTTACCGTGTTTCAAAGGTTTCAGGCCAATTTGCAATTTTTTAATAACCACAAGAATGAGTCACTTTCTTATTTTTAAGAATAAACTGCCTGACCTAAAAAGAAAAACTTACAAAGGTCCCGGGCCCCATAACTGACCAAGAGCAAATCTGGTGTGGCCAAAGCCCCTCTTACCCCGGACAAAAGGTGGTAACTAGCAGTCTGCAGAGGTAAGGTCTCGTTGAGGGCTTGAGACACGTGAGCAGCAGGCCCAGCGCAGCCCTCAGAGAGCACGCACGCTCACCAAGACCTCTAACGTCCCGGATAGATGCCACTGCTGCTACAGAGGGAAGGCAGGCTGCTCTCCTGGTGCGCACAGGCCCGGAAGACGGGGAGGACAGCCGGGCGGGGACCCACCTGCTCACCACACGAGACGGGGAGGACAGCCGGGCGGGGACCCACCTGCTCACCACACGACACCCTGTTTGCTATTACCTTCCCTCCATGGATTTCATATTTTCTGACCCCTTCATCGTCTCTGACCCCCAGCCCTGACCCTGAGCCTCACACTAAACAGTTCCTCTCCCAAATCCATCTGGGTCTGAGGCCATGCCACACTAGAGGTCAGGCTACCTCTCCCCTTGCCAAGTTCCCAGGACCTTGCTGGCACCTGGACACAGAACTTATTAATCAGTTTTATTGCTTGGGCACCAGATTTCAATCCAAAGCCAAGACACCTGTTCCTTGTATTGATCTCTGAAGTCTCACCCCAAGAATTATGACTTCAAATGAAGCACTGAGCACAATCGGCCCCGCCTCCACCTCCCAAACACCACCAAGGACTTCAAACATCATGGACAGGAGGCTGGGACAGGCCTCCAGAACACTTACTCCATCATTGATGCCTCTTTGGTTTCCAAGATGTGGTCTGTCAGGATCCAGGGCATGGACATCTCAATGGGGAATTGGATCCTTCTGCCCATTGTCAACTCCAGAAAGAACTCTCGGAACCACAATTGCGAAAGGTCACAGCACTGCTGCAGTGTCTCTTAAGGGATTCAAAGACACCACATTAATCTTCTATAAGCAGAAAAGACTCCACAGGACAATGCAAGGGAGCACGTGCCAGTCTCTCAGCCCTGGGCCTCGGCGAGTGGACATGAGCATGTGCCTTGCACACAGTGTGGCCGCAGACAAAGCCACTTGGATGTGCTGATTCTCGTTCACAAGCAGGAGAGTCAGCGTCCAGCACTGCAAGCCCAGCAACACCCATCAACAGGACATGGTTAACACCGTGCGCCTTCTGGCAGGATTTGTTTTACTTGGGATACAGACACAGTATTGTATTCATACTTAGTGCATGTCTATCTAATGCAAAACAGATTGGAAAAATAATGTTTCCGTCCTTTTATGAAGAGAAAAACAAAAGCCTAACTGTTACTATGAACCTATAGCACTTGCAGCCAAGATAGAGGCTTCGCACCCTGAATAATGGCTCCAGCACAGAAATAAACACGTACAGCTCCATGAAGGCCAAGGGCGTCCACAGGCACCATGGTCACCCCAGGACAGGATGTGCAGTGTGCACCTCAGGTCACCTGCTACTCTCTAGACTTAGCCTGGGAGTGGTTTCTGAAGCCAGGTGACAGCGACACTGGCCTGAGCTGCTGACCCAGTGTAGGTTACAAAGACTTTGCATCTAGGTCACTGGGCCAGCCCGGCCCAATGGGCCTCACCCTTCTAAGGGCCATGCCACATGGAGGAAGTCCCCAGCCAGCCATGCATTTAAAGCAACAGGCGAGGAAATGCCACGAGGGTTACAACATGTGTCACTGCCTGGGAGGACAAAGGGACCACAGCAGGGGCAGCCAGCCAGGCAGGAGCTTTCGAGACATGTTAGTGGTGTTAGAATATGCTGGGGCAGACACTGGTCAGCAGCAGGTCTTACCACTGAAATTTATCAAGTGGGTGTAGAAGAATGACTCTCGATGAAATTTTTCTATGTCCAATATGGTGGGCCCCTCAAGGCTACTTCTCAAGGTTTTCTTGGAACCACTTTTGTCTGCAATGAGGGACTCTAGCATGGTCCTCACCATGTAAAGCTGCATTATCCAAGGAAACATTTGTAGGGGAGAAAATATACATGGCACATTAGTTACAACAAACACAGATAAACCACAAGAAGGTCTGCCCCACTGACACTGTGCTGGCTCCTTGCAGGGGCAGCACCAATCCACACGGCCAAGTCGTTGCTGCTTGGGACAAAGAACTCAGAGCCTCATGTCATAAACGTCAACAAGAAAAACAAATGATGTCTTACCACCAAAGGTTAAAAGGGGCGGATAGACGTAGGACTGCCTCAGAAACGCGTTAACCACATGCAAGAGTCTTTCCGCGCCCACAGACTTGAGCTGCCTGAGCAGCTCGGCAGAGCTCAAGGACTCCGCCATGGTGCGCACCAGGTACAGCTAAACACGGACAGACAGGAGAGCGTTAGTCACGGGGGCATGGGACAAGGACGTACGCAGACGAGCAGGGACATGCACACTGGCAGACGGGAGGGACAGGCCCGAATGGCACCCTCACCCTCCGCCCAGGCACCCCAAGATTTCGTAACTGGCAATTCTCCGAAAGGCTGACAGAAGAGACTCTAAAAGCCCACAACACAGAGCTGATGAGGACACAGTTCCCAAACAGGAGGGGAAAAAGCAGAGGGCAATGAAATCAGACGTGAGGATCAGAGGAAAGCTGCTTGAAGGGGCAGGAGGGAGCTGAGTGTGCAGGAGAAAGACTAGCAATGGTAGCTGAAGACCAGGGATATAGCAAAGCTATGTTTCCAAATTTCCAAAAATTTTATCTTTAGGAATCATCATTTTTTAGACTCTACATAAAAATGATAACCACACATTTAAACACCCACCAGGAAATACAGTGTAAATATGGACACACAGACTTTCATCCACATTTTGGGGATAGGAGTTGATGCAGTCAAATTAAGTTCTGCATGCAAGTGACCAAACCTGGGACTCATGGGGCGTCTATACCCTAGATTCACTTGGACAAGGAATAAAGGAGCAAAAAAGACCCAGATGTACTTGGCCACGGTGAGGTCATTTCACTCCGAGCCTCCCACCAATCCCCAGCTCACGGTCACCCCACTCAGTAGAGCAAGGAACGAGAACCTGGGTGCTGGAGGGTCCTACAGCGCGCCGCGGCACTTTAATGTCGAAGCCACTCTTTGGGTCCTTCTCGCCCCGCAGGGCTGGGTCGTTGAAGGGCTCATGCCCTGTCTCCCAGTCACACACAGTCTTCCTGATGGCCTGCAGGACACTAAACCACCAGTCAAGTTGTTAGGGTGTGACAAAGTATTGACATCCTCAGCACTTTTACAATCACAGTATCCTAACTTAACTCACAGCCAACTCTGACACGAGTTCCCTTGTGGGCAGTGGGAGGACGTGGCAATGAGACAGTTCAACATCAAACTTTCAAAATAGACCATTTTCTTGGGGACGTTACCACCCTCAGAAAATCTAATGTGCTGGCATTTTGCATCAATTAGTCCAGAAGTGGTGTTTGATTTCTTAAATACTGAGTCATGCTAAGGGCAGCAAGAAGACAGGCCCTAAACATCCACTCAGAGTTCAAACAACCTTCTCGAGACTTATCCCATTTTCTCACTTGAATATGGTCACCAACACAATCCTGGGGACTCTGTCCCCACCTCATTTGGACATCCGGATTCCACCACTCCCAACAGGGCTCCACCATGTAGAGTCCCCCACAGGCACCACATTCAGGGCAGACACACCCACACGCCCACTCTGATCACTTTGAGCTAGACTGCACTGCACATTTCCCACACAGTAGCAGTGAGGCTCCTTGCAGCAATACTGAGGCTCACTGAAAACATGAAAATTTTCACTAAGGCTTCCAGGTGAGAGAACAAAAACTAGGAAGCCTGACAGCATAATAAGATCTTATTAGTGACATTTATATCAACTATAAAGCAACAAAAAGAAATCACTATCCATGTGAGCCTCTCTGAGCTTCATTTTATATAAATGTCTCTGAAAGACGACTTTAACTAAAATGCTGAACATTAATAGAAACCTAGCTTAAGATTGCTGTACGATCTCTGAAATACGTATGAGGTTTATGACTAATTTGTAGGACAGGCCATAGGAATAGAAGCAAAAATACTGTAGATAATAAATTTTGAAATGGGAGACGAGATGCTGAGTTGTGTGTCCCTACAGTCCTGATAAGCAGAACTGTTGCACAGATTTTGAGACACACCTACATCTAAGATACCAAACCCTTGTTCCTGGGTCTCTAGACTGCTTAGACCTTTGTATCTGACTTACTGTGGGTTGTTCAGGTTAATAACTGGACCCATTACATCACATTTAGAGGAAATTCACCAAACAGGTGTCTGGAGGTTGAATATAAGTGTACTGAGCATATTTATAAAAATGTGACCTAAGCTGACCCTTCCGTTATGGACGGTTGTGCAGGGAGGTGTGTGCAGCAGGGCTGACCTCTGGATGACATTCTTCTTCTTCTTGATGGCCTGCCGGAGTGGCTCCCTGAGGGTGACCTGGGAGAAGTCCTGTAGTGCAGCATAGACGGTGTGGCGGATGGCATGATTGAACACACTCTCCATCCTGCCCATCAGCACCTGCAGGCCTTTGATCATGGCAATCACCTGCAGGAGGACATGTGACCTTCAGTGTGTGGAGGGTGGCAGGTGAGCCTGACACACGCAGGCGACTGCCTCCCCTGAGCCCAGGCCCTCCTGTTTTCTCCTGTGCATCTGCAGCTTCCCTGTTTCTGGGTCTGACCCCATCGCACTACAAGTGCTGAGGGCAGGGACAGATCTGCTTGGCCTGGAGCTAACAGGAGCATTTGGTAACTGACTCAAAACACTTCTCAATCTACTAGGGTACATCTCTCTGTGAAAGACTTCAAACATAAAAGAAGAAAAAGATTGAAGAGAGCAAATCTGTTATTATCTGGAAAAGAAAAAAGAAATTACAAGTTTGTAACCCAAATCCCATCTGTTAACAATGGCATAGTGAATTAAAATGCATAGAAAGTCAGAAGAAAATGCAGTGAACTGCTTAAAGTTCATTTTTGTGATGGCACCAGAGACAGGATTCTATCCTCATTTCACATGCATGTTTTCTCTGTTTGCTTGGAGGATTTATATAATGAACACGGGTTGCTTTTCTAATGAGGAAACAAAGGGAAATTTTCTATTTAAAAAAGCAAATTCTCCAACTGAAATTGAACTGATTTCAAGCTCACAGCAATCTAAAGGAAATCTAATCCTAAGGAAATCAACCCTGAATATTCACTGGAAGGACTGATGCTGAAGCTCCAATATTTTGGCCATCTGATGTGAAGAGCTGACTCATTGGAAAAGACACTCGTGCTGGAAAAAGTTGAAGGCAAGAGAAGAAGGGGATGACAGAGGATGGGATGGTTGGATGGCATCACTGACTGAATGGATATGAGTTTGAGGAAACTCAGGGAGATAGTGATGGACAGAGAAGCCTGGTGTGCTACAAGTCATGGGGTTGCAAAGAGTCAGACATGACTTAGTGACTGAACAACACTAACAACATATTCAAACTATGGAATGTAGGAAAGGTGTGCTGAAAGGTAAATCTGGAGCTTTGGACTAAATATAACAACAACAATACTCATCACTAATTTATAAAAAGATAAAAATAACCCCCCCAAAGTAGAAGGAAATGAATATCTAAAAGCAAAAATTAATGGAACAGAAAACATATACTAGAAAGAGACAAACTAAGAAGCAGCTGTTTTATAAACAAACAAATGCTCAGGAAGACTGATCAAGGAAAAAAAATCAGACAAGCATTATGAATAAAGAGGGGACATTAGCACACAATCCATAGATACTAAGAGATGATGAGACTGTATTGGAACAGGATAAACATACAGATTGATAGACTAGAATTAAGAGTCCAGAAATAAATCCTCACATTTATAAACAATTTGTTTTCAACAAGGGTGTGAAACAATTCGATAGGGAAATACTATCTTTTCAACAAATGTGCATGCACTCAGTCATGTCTGACTCTGCGACCTGAACAGATAATATTGAGGCACAACTAGATATCCTTATGCAAGAGAATTAAGCTGGACTCTTGTGAAGGAAAGGGTCATATCAGTAGCCTGGGATGAACAAACCCTGCACATTCCCAGGGAAATCTGGCCTGTGGCTGGCTCCTAGGAAACTACTCCAAGCCACTGGAATACTCAGCCCGAAGAATATGTATCTGAGGCTTTGGGCCATTTCAATAGCAGTTTCACCAGATATTTTATGCTAACAATGTGATTTATCAGAAGCAGCTGTTTTTCTTTTAGGTCTCCAGTCTGAGTAGCTGAGTGCTATAGCAATTGTGCTACACGCCAACATTACTGACCCTCAATAAAAACCCTGGACACCAAGGCTCGGGTGAGCCTCCCTGGTTGGCAATCCTCTGCATCTGTGGTCACCCACCACTGCCAGGAGAAATAAACACACTCCCTGCAGCTGCAATAAGGAGGGGGACATCTGGAATTTGCCCCTGGCTTCTCCTGGATTTAACCCAGGTGTCTTTCCCTTTGTTGATTTTAATCTATGTCATTTCTCTATAATAAATCATAACCTTGAACAGAACAGCTACTTAGTTCTATGTAGCTTAGTCGAGCAAAATCTACACTAAGGGTGGTATTGGGGACCTCTGATATAACACCCTATCTCATAGCATTAAAAAATTAACTCAAAATGGACCATATACATTTAAAAATATCTAAGACAAAACAAACAAACAAGACAAATCTTTGTGACTTGGGTTAGGTGGTGATTTCTTAAGATATGACACCAAAAGCACAAGCAACCAAAGAAAAAATTGAAAAACTGAACTTTATTAAAATGAAAGACTTTTATGCTTCAAAAGATCCCATTAAGAAAGTAAAAAGTATATGGGGGAAAATGCTGCAGATCATATGTCTGGTAAGAACTGCTTCATAGAATATATAAAGAACTCAATAATAAAAAGACAAATAATTCAATTAAAAAATGGGCAAAGGATCTGACAATTCTCCAAAAATATACAAACTGTCAACTGTGTCACTCAATTGTGTCTGACTCTTTGTGACCCCATGGACTGTAGCCCACCAGGCTCCTTTGTCCATGGAATTCTCCAGGCAAGAATACTGGAGTAGGTTGTCATTTCCTCCTCTAGGGGATTTTCCTGACCCAGGGATCGATCCCAGGTCCCCTGCATTGGCAGGCGGATTCTTCTACCACTGTACCATCTGAGGAGCCCAAAAACTGTCAGTAAGCACATGGAAATATGCTCAACAGCATTAGTTATTATAAAAATTCATATCAAAACCACAATGAGACACTACTTCACATCTAGTAGGATGGCCAGAATCAAGACAGGCATCAGGCATTGGCAAAGAGTTGGAGAAAGTGGACTCTCATGCACTGTTGGCAGGAATGTAAAGAAGTGTTGCCATTTTGCAAACTATCTGGCAGTTTCTCAAAATGTTAAAGGCAAAGATACCATATGACCCAGCAACTCTACTCCTAGATGTATTATAAGAAGGAAGGAAAACTAGTCCACACAAAAACCTACACACACAAGTTCATAGTGGCATTATTTATAAGTAAAAAGGTAGAACAACCCAAGTGTCTGTCAGCTAATATAGATGAATAAAATATGATATATACATAAAATGGAATATTATTTGGCAAGGAAAAGAATGAAATATTGATATATGTGGGAACCTTGAAAATATTATTAAGTGAAAGAAATCAAGCACAATCACATATTGTATGAAACGCCCAGAATAAGCAAATCTACAGAGTCAGATCGAAGATTGTTAGCTGCCATAGGATGAAGGAAGGGGAAAATGCGGGGGTGACTCCCAATGGGTATGAGTTTCTTTTTGAGACAACAAAAATGTTCCAAATTTGTCTGTGATACAATTCTGTGTCTATATCCCCTCAAAGCACTGAATTTTACACTTTAAATGGGTGAACTGTAAATATGTGGGAAAAAGCTGTTACCAAAAAAGATGAAAACTTATAAAAAAAACTGTGTCAAAAATAATAAAATTTAGAAAGATTCTCTGAAAGAGACACGTGTACCCCAATGTTCATCGCAGCACTGTTTATAATAGCCAGGACATGGAAGCAACCTAGATGCCCATCAGCAGACGAATGGATGAGGAAGCTGTGGTACATATACACCATGGAATATTACTCAGCCATTAAAAAGAATTCATTTGAATCAGTTCTAATGAGATGGATGAAACTGGAGCCCATTATACAGAGCGAAGTAAGCCAGAAAGATAAAGACCATTACAGTATACTAACACATATATATGGAATTTAGAAAGATGGTAACGATAACCCTATGTGCAAAACAGAAAAAGAGACTCCTATGTATAGAACAGACTTGTGGACTCTGGGAGAAGGCGAGGGTGGGATGTTTCAAGAGAACAGCATCGAAACACGTATATTATCTAGGGTGAAACAGTTCACCAGCCCAGGTTGGGTGCATGAGACAAGTGCTCGGGCCTGGTGCACTGGGAAGACCCAGAGGGATTGGGTGGAGAGGGAGGTGGGAGGGGGGACCGGGATGGGGAATACATGTAAAAAAAAAAAAAAGATACACTATGGTTGTGAAAAAAAAAATAAATAAATAAAATGTATGATTTACTAAAAAAAAAAGAAAGATTCTTAGAAAAATCTTTGAAAATACAACTTACCAAACCTGATACAAGTAATAGAAAATCTGAATACTTCTACAAATAGCAAAGAAACTGAAAGTTTCAAAAGTCATTCCATACAGGAAAAGCTTCATAAGTAAATGTTGGAAACCATTTAAGGAAAAAATAACATCTTACACAAACCACTACAGACAACAGAAAAGATGGGAGTGTCATCAACCATTTCATGAAGCCAGAATCCAAAAATTAGAATGGAAGGTTATCAAGGTGTGGGCTAAGCACAATAACCTCCTCCCTAAAAACACCCTGTGAAAGTGGGTGTTGGTAGCTGGTGCAGGTAACCTCACAACAGAGACACCTGGACATGCTCTCAGACAAATGCCCAAGGTCAACACCAGCATGATGAATCAATAACACTGACAGCATGGGCCTCTGACGTGATGTTATTAAAATGGCATTTCAGCTCTGTGCTCCTCCTTTGCAAAAGCTACAACCCCAGTCTAATCATGAAAAAAACATCAGATAAATTCCAGTTGAGGGATATTCTAAAGACTAGCACTCCTCAAAACTGCCATAGTCATCACAAACAAGAAAAGTCTGAGACAGTGTCATGACCCAGAAGAGTCAAACATGATGACTACATGTGATGTGAGATCCTGGATCAGAGGAAGAATGTTATAGAAAAAGTGAGGATATGTGAATAAAGCATGGGCTTTAGCTAATAATAATGTATTTACATTGGCTTATTAAAAATATAACAATACTAAAATAAGATGTTAGTAATAAATGGAAAAGGGCACAAGGTATATGGAAATCCACTGTACTATCTTTGCAATTTTTCTGCAAATCTAAAAGTGTTCTAAAACCAAACATTAAAAGAAAAAAGTATTATTAAAAGCCACTCTTACTCATGAACTTCAATGCAAAAATCCATATAAAAATCTTAGCAAACTGTATCTTGCAATATATAAAAAGGATAAAATATCATGATCAAGTTGAGTTTATACCAGGAATGCAAGGCTAGCTTAATATTAAACCTGATCCAAAAAACCCTATCAATGTAAATCTAGCACACTGATAGAATAAAAGAATCATAAAACTATCTTAATGGATAAAAAATGTTTTATAAAACTAGTATCTATCCATGATAAAATCTCTTAGCAAATAAATAGAAGGCAATTTCCGTGATCTGAGGAAGGGTAGTTACAAGGAACCTATAACAAATACATCGTATGGCAAAATGTTGAAAGCTTTCCCTTTGGGATGGGAAACAAGACAAAAAATGCCTAGAGTCTCCTTCTATTTAATGAGTAGGGATCCTACCCAGTGTGATTAAAAAAAAAAAATAGAAGGGGGAGAAATAAGACTGTCATCATTTCCAGATGATATGATTATATAAGAAAATACAGAAGAATCTATGGATAATTTATTACAATTAATAAGTGAGTTTAGACAAGTTGGTAGATACAAGGAAAACTTAAAAAAAAATTTTGATTTTAAACACCAGTGATAAATATTTAGAAAAAAATAAAGCCAACGAAAGATGTGCAACTGTTTTACAGATGAAAAGAGGTATTAGAGAATCTTAACAAATGGATGGACATATCAGATTCATGAAAGACTTACTATGATAAATTTGTCAATTCTTCTAAAAATGGTCTATAGGTTTATTCATACCCTTATAATAAATTTTAACAGGATTCACTGGGACATAAACAGATGGTTCTAAAATGTATGAAAATGCAAAGGGTGAGAAGAGCTCAGAACTCTTGAAGAGAGAAGGATGTACCTTACAAGACACACTTAACTACCGTAGTTAAGACGGAGGGATTAGGAAAGGACAGACAGATTGACCAATGGATTGGAGCATGAGCAGGAACACACCTGCCCGGGCATGGTCAGCTGACACACAGCAGACAGAGATAGCAGGCAGAGCAACTTGGAGGGCTGGAGGAGGTATTTCGGCTCTAAATGTGAAAGGCGGAATAAGACATCCGGAAGACAATGTGGAAGACTATCTTCATGACTTTGGGGGTATGCAGGTCGGAAACGTACAGCTACAAAACATACATCCAGAAACTAGAAGGCACAGAAATGAAGACCTGTCCATCACAAGAGTCCTAAACATGATGCAGAGCTGGGAAGCACACAGCTGTGAGAGGGGATCCTCTCCCTCCAACACCCAGGTCTCAACTCAGTCCTCTTGTGTTTGCCAACAAAAGGCTGCTGAGGCTCCCAAGCTCTCCTCAGAACACGCTCTGATCTGGCTCAGGGGGGTGTCTATGCAGTGACCAGGAACCCACAACCTGTTTTAACCTCTATTCTGACACCTGTGACAGGTTCAAAGAGCTGCCCTACACAGACGAAACTGCATAAAACAAGTAGTGCATTCATGTTGTTGCCTTTCTTTGTAAAGCAAAGACAGTCTGAGGTCAGAATCAAAGGAGGAGAAAGCAGGTAAGCCATACCTCCACCAGGGCAAACTTCTCCTCGCTGGTGTAGTTGTAGCGGGTGGCACGCTCATACTCCTCAGCATTGTCAGGGCAGTCCTTGTTAGAGTACTTGTCCGTTGGGTGCACAAGTTTCCATGAATACTGGTGTGATCAAAAAAGAGGGGCGACAGTCACACTGAATGCAAAATGTTTAACTTCTGGTCTGACTTACAGGACTACTGCCAAAAGCTACCAAAGGTCAAAGGTCAGCCTCCTCTTGTTCAATGGGTCTGAGAATCACACACAGGCATGAGTGCTTGCATGCACACACACACACACACAATGCATGTACACGCGTGTACATGCACACTACATATGCATGCACACACAGTCCATCACCATAAAACTGCGTAACATTCTGGAAATGTGACTTCAGTTTCAAGTAATGCGTCAAAAATTTAAGAAATACATCAGGTAAAATGGTTTGGATATTTTATGTGGAATATCTAAGACTATAAGCACTTTATCACCATTTCTAAAAGAATTAGCCTTTCAAACAATCAAGTATCCATCCAAATATAAAAATTCTTGTCTGAGCAAAATAAACAACGAAACAGAAAAATCTTCTGACTTATGCGTATCCAAACCTTTTTATGCATCATAAACCACTTTACTAATCCTAAACAAAAGAAACTGATGGCTAGAAATACAGAGTGTTGTCTTTTAAAAAATGAGAATTAAAAATCATCGTAACAATACAAATGTAATTCTACCAATGTGTTTTAAAAGATAAGGATCCTGAATTCTAATATATGTCAATGAAATGTACATTGAAGCATCTTAGAAACATTTAAATTAATATATACTCTTATTTCTAGTGCCGAAGATAAAAAGCCAATTTGTTTTTGATCCAATGGCCAAGTTACAGCAGAATAAATATAGTTTAGTCAGTTTATTGACAAGTTTAGGAAGAAAAGCACTTCTAATTAACTAGGGGGTGCATTTCCAAATAAAAGTGAGAGGGCCCACCACTTCCATCACATGAGCACTCCACTGGGACAGCAGCTGAAGCCCTTGAAGAGCCAAGTCAAAGAGCTTCCGGTATTCAGCGTCCGTCTTCTGAGCCTCCTGGCGGCCTGAGCCCGTGACCACCTAGAGATGATAGAGCATTAAGAAGTCACCAGTGTCCAGGAAACCACTTATCAAACCCATTCTAGGAGCCTACTCCAAATGTACACTGGCAAAAGTAGTTCTAAAAAACTAGCTATTACTTCAGATGATGCTAGGGAATCAATTATTTTAATAACTGATACACAGAGAAAGGAATCCAGCTCTGGAAGGAGCAAGGAGCTGAGGGGACCACCAGGCTGAGCCTGAGTCATGCCTCAAGGCAGTGGATGCAGCTGTCCACATCCCAGACAATCAACTGGATCCCCCAGCAGACCTCAGCATGGCTGCCCAGGGCCAAGTGGGCCTGGAGAACGGGAGCTGTGTTTGACGGGGCCTCTAATCTGGTAGTGTGCAGGACACACAGGGGAAAGGTCATGGCAATTGATGGCCCAGAAAATGAGGGTGGATGTAGGCATGAGAAGGGGGATGGTCAGGTCAACCACTGCAGCTTATACACGGAGGCACAGAACCCTGGGAAAATAAGCCACTACTGCCAATAGCAAACAGGGTAAAAATGAGCAGTGACCAGCTGTTTACTACTAAGGAATACATACTTGGTTCTTCAGGTGTGATGCAATTATGGCTATGTTTTAAAAGGGTTCTTCATTTGTTAGAGACACATGGGAAATATATTCAGAGTGAGTGCTATGTTATCTTGCAATTGCTTCAAGCTAACCTGGAGGAGTAACCGAAAAGGGGTAGGTGATGAAGCCTAGTGTGGCATCTGAGGGGCCAGGACTGGTCTCTTCACTTGTGTGCTTGAAAATTTATGTAATGGAGAACTAAAACACAAATAATAAAAACGGAACCCTCCTACACTGTTGGTGGGAATGTAAGTTGGTGCAGTGACTATGGAAAACAGCATGGAGATTCCTTTAAAAAAACTAAAAATAAAATGTCCATATGATCTAGCAATCCCACTCCTGGGCATATACTTGGGACAAAATTGTAATTCAAAAAGATACATGCAGGGTACTTCCCTGGAAGTCCAGTGGTTAAGAGTCCACACTTTCAATGCAGGCGGCACAGGTATGATCCCTGATCAGGGAAGATCCCACATGCCTCGCTGCATGGCAAAAAAAAGATACATGTACTCCTATGTTCACAGTAGCACTATTCACAACAGCTGAAACACACAATCATACTACTCAGCCATAAAAAAGAATAAAACAATAACACCTGCATCAACATGATACAACTAGAGATTATTATACTAGTAAATTAAGTCAAACAGAAACAGACAAACACCATATGATAACACTTATATGTGGAATCTAAAATACGGCACAAATGAACCTATCTACAAAACAGAAACAGACTCTCAGACACAGAGAACAGATCTGTGATTGCCAACTGGGAGGTGGGTGGGCCTGGCAGTTTGGGATTAGCATGTGTAAACTATTATTTATAGAATGGATAAACAACAAGGTCCAACTGTATGGCAAAGGGAACTATATTCAACATCAAGCGATAAATCATAACGGAGAAGAATATTAAAAAAGGAATGTCAGTATGCGTATAAGTGAGCCACGCTGCAGCACAGCAGAGATTGGCACAACACTGTAAATCAACTATATTTCAATTTAAAAAAGCGAGTGTGGTGCTGGCCTAAGGACAGACATGAAGGTCAATAGTACAGAACTGAGAATCCAAAAGTGAAGCCTCAGGATTATAATCGACTGATTCTCCTCCAGCCAGTTTTACTGAGATATAACTGATACACACACACAAGGTGTACAATATGATTTGATTTGATAGGGGTTTTCCTACTGGCTCTGACGGTAAAGCATCCACCTGCAATGCGAGAGGACCTGGGTTCAATGGCATGGAAACCCACTCCAGTATTCTTACCTGGAGAATTCCATGGACAGAGGAACCTGGTGGGCTACAATCCATGGGGTCACAAAAAGTCAGACATGATTAAGCAACTGAGACAAGTGCAAATCCTGTGAAATGACTACACAATAAGTTAACATCTACCAACTCACAGTTACAATTTTTTTTTCCTTTGATGAGAACTTTCAGGATTTACTCTCCCAGGAACTTTCAAACATATAATACTGTACTATTTAACTAAGGTCACCATACTGCATATTACAGCCCCAGAAATTATTTATCTTATAACTGAAAGTCTGTACCTTTTGGCCATCTTTTCTCACTTCTTTTACCTCTTGTCTCTGGCAACCACCAGTCTGTTCTCTGTATTCACGAGATTGGTTTTCAGATGCCACACAGAAGTGGTATCACACAGTATTTGTCTTTTTCTGTCTGACTCACTTCACTCAGTGTGACCCCCTTAAGGTCCATCCACGCTGTCACAAATGGCAGGACCTCCTTCTTTTGTATGACTGAGTAATAGTCCATTGTGTACTATATATCACATCTTTATTCATTCATCTATCTGTAGACACTTAGGCTGTTTCTTTGGTTTGAGCATCATAAATAATGTTTCAATGAACACAGAAATGTACAGGCAATTGATTTTTGATGAGGGTGGCTTCAGTGGAGAAAGAATAGTCTTTAAAAAACAATATTGGCAAAACTGGATATCCACATATAAAAGAATGAACTTGAACCCCTAAATTATATCCTACTTAAAAAGTAACTTAAAGTGGATCATAGATCTAAATATAAGAGCTAAAACTTTTACAAAACTCTTAGAAGAAAACAAGAGGTAAATCTTTCTGACTTGGGTTAGGCAACGGTTTGTTCATTATGACCAACAGCACAAACAACCAAAGAAAAAATAGATAAAAGTGGACGACGCCAGGGATTCCCTGGGGGCTCAGCACTGAGGCGCCTGCCTGCCAGTGAGGGACGTGAGTGTGAGCCTCAGGGCAGGAGGATCCCACATGCCCCAGAGCAACTAAGCCCGTGTGCCATAATCACTGAGCTTGTGCTCTGGAGCCTGCGAGCCACGACCAGTGAGCCATGTGCCAAAACTACTGAAGCCTGCATGCCCTAGATTCTATGCTCCGCAACAAGAGAAGACACCACAGCAAGAGCAGCAGCCTTGAGAAGCCCCTGCATGCCGCAGCTAGAGAAAAAGCCTGCACAGCAATGAAGACCCAGCACAGCCAAAAGTAAATAAATAAAACAAACTGGACCACATCAAAAATAAAAAACTGTCCTTCAAAGAGCATCACTGAGACAGCAAAAAGCCAGAAGAACAGGAAAAAGAAAGGAGATAGAACTCCAAAAGAACAAGAGAAAATATATGAAAATCACAGAACAGAATATTGAGAACCTAATAGTAAAAAAAAAAAAAAAAAAAAAAAAAAAAAGATAATACAATTTAAAAATGGGAAAATACTTCAAGAGATGTTTCTTAAAATTGGCCAATGAGTACATGAAAAGATATTCAGTTTCATTACCCATTAAGGATATAAATCCAAACCACAACCAGGTACCACTTCACATTCACTAGGATGGTCAGAATAAAAAAAACAGAAACAAGGGCTGGCGAAGATGTAGAGAAATCAGACTCCTCACAGACTGCTGGTGAGAATGTAAAATAGTTCAGCTGCTTTGAAAACAGCTTTGCAGTTCCTCAGATGTTCAACAATGAGTGCCATATGACTCAGCAGTTTCATTCCTAGATATCTACCTAAGAGAAATGAAAACCTAGGTCCACACGAACACTTGTACACGGATGTTCATAGCAGCATTATTCATAATGAACTAACAAAATGTGCTATGTCCAAGCAATGCAGTATTATTCAGACATAAAATTATTTTAAATATTATAAGCCATAAAATTATTGATGCAGGCTGTAACATGGATGAACCTTGAAAATACAATGTTAAATGAAAAAAGCCAGTCACCAGAGAGCACGTATTATATGATTCCATTTATACGAAATGTCCAGTAGGTAAATCCATAGATAGAAAGTAGACTGCAGGTGCCAGAAGGAGGGGAATGGGGAGTGACTACTAACGGGTGCAGGGTTGCTCTGGGGATGCTGACAGTGTTCAACAAGACTGTGGTGACAGTTACAGAACTCACTAAATATACTAAAAATCTTTGAACTGCATAATTTAAATGGGTGCATTGTCTGATATGTGCATTATGTCCTCATAAATCTGTTTAAAAATAAACTGAGCAAAGCTTTCAAAGGTAGATCTCTTTTCTCTCATTAAAACCATCATCTGATTATAAGGGCACTATGGCAGAGCTCGGAAGGCAGACAGGAACCATGCTTGCTGTCAAATGCTCCATTTGGAAAGGCAGACATGAGCTCTCTGTGCTGTCTGAGAGCTCCTCATGAACTCAGCTGACAACTACATGAAGTGCAGAGGGCTGGCCCCCGTCTCTCTCAGTCGGCCACCACCTGGGGTCTGCGCGGAGGTAACAGGCCCTGAGTGTTTGGGCTATCTTTCAGTCATTTTGGTTACATATTGACTAGTGCTTGTGGCTGAGGGATGGAGTGCTCATGGTCCTGCAGTGGGCAGAACCAGCACACAGAGTTCTTCCTCCACATGTAATGGTCCTCCTGAGAACCCCAACGTACTACAATCTCAAAAACCAGACCTCTCTATGTGGCCCCAAGTCCCTAGGTCCCTCTATACCATTTGCAGCACCCATCCATGCCACTGACCACTGCTCTGACACTGATCTGGTGTCTCGTCTACCAGGACGTGAGAATGACCCTCCCATTGCTGCTTCTGCTCCCTTAGACCCCTGACCCACCCTCCCCATGTGAGTAATGCTGGCTTGGAGCCAGGCATGCAAAAGGTAGGCAATGTGACTGGCCCAAACAAGGACACAGAAAACCCAGCTGCAAAGCTGGGGGGAATTAACACGGCCCGTGGCCCAAGAGAGAGCACTACCTCCCACACCCATCTTCAGGCCTTTTTCTGGGCACTTGATGTTTCTTCCCATCAACTTGGAAGCTCCTGTACTTCCTCCCTCTAGACAGGAAAGGGCACAAGTCAAAACCAACCTTCTGCTCCTGATGTCCTCCACTCCACTCTCCTTTCTCCTAGCAGTTTGGACCACGGAACTAGACTAGAAAATGCACTTAATTCATGGTCCCAACTCAAGTCATTTTTTGGGGATCACTGCTAATATTTTTCCAAAAAAAAGAAGATGCTTTTTGGACAACTGAACAGATCCAAACAAACTCCATTATATTGTATCTGCACTGCCTCATCCATTACAATGACAGCTTGTTAAGTACATAGTGCTTAAACTATGCTTCTCAAAGTAGATGAAGGGTGTAAAATTCAAACTAAATTTGGGTGCAGAGAGTACAAGGACATCTGACATGGTGTTGCCAGGTGTGCACTGCAGGCAGAGACCACTCACCTCGCTATTGCTGTAGCGTGCCAGTTCCGAGATGAAGCGCATATGGTCCTCCCGAATCTGGACCATCTGCTCGCAGATGTTGTACTGTGGGCTGCTGCTGGAGGATGTGCAGGTCCATCTGGGGGTAAAGGGGAAATGTGCATGACCTGAGGGACACCTGCAAGGCAGGCCCACCCCCAGCCCAGCAGGCCCACTGAAGCCAAGGTTGAGGTGTAGAGCAAACGCGGCATTCTCTGCATGGTAACAGCTGGGTCTGCCTCAGCTCCCCGTGTTGGGTCAGAATACGTGGCTGTATTCTGGAAAAGGAACCGTAATTTCTCCTTAATCAGTAAACTACTTTCCACAAAGCTGAGAGTTGCTGGATGCAAGATACTGCATAACCCTTCCAGAGCCCCTTGACACATTGCTGCACAGTTGGCAGGAACTAATATTTCTTTATTATTCACATGTGAAAATATAAACTAGTACAAAACAAGTCAGCCAAAGGCTCAGGAACAAAAGTTATCCTTGATGGGAGAGTTCAAACTGACATGACTTGGAAATTAGACAGTGTTGCCATAACTAACTACGTGTACAACACACCATTTCAGCAGCAAACAGATACAGTCAACAGAGTGGAAAAAAGGGTGTCAAAGCTTAAATCAGGAAAAAAAAAAAAGACGAAATCTGTTGGCATTCTTGGACAGAAAGCATGGGTCTTCGGGCTCAGAGCAGTTCCCTTGGTTTCCTCACACCCAGCACCAACTTGTACAATGTTTCTAACAAGTTTGCCCTCTTTGCCAGATGGAAAGGATGCAGATTACCAATTTTCAGGATGATCAGTACACTATCTCCAGCAGCATCACTTTTAACTTTGATTCCACTATAAGATGACGTGACGATTACAGAGGCACTGGCCAAGGCGACTCCTTGAGTCTGCAGCAAGCACACAGGCCAGGCCCCGCGCCAGGGTCCACTCTCAACACACTGGCCTTCCCTGCAGGCCCCAGACAGCATGTCCACCTCAGGAGAGGCACACGTGTTATCAGATTTAATGGCAGATGTGTTAGGAAATAAGCTGGCACAGGAGCCAGATGCCAACATCTGCCACTTGCACCAACCCCCAGGGGCCAGACACAGGTGCTAGACTGTTGGGCTGAGCTCTTAGAGCTGACTGCTACAGGCTTAGGCATTTGCCTCAGTGGCTGTGAAACAAAGAAATTAACTGGTAATAATGGCCAATGACGTACACCAGATCATACTAAAAACAAAGTATGCAAAACTCCTTGCTTCCTGATTCTTTCATTGATTTCACCATTACTTATGCTATAGAGATGATTGTGTTTGTTACAGTAGGAGGTGTACACTGCTAACTTACATTTAGGCATTTCTATTTATACCATGGAAATCAGTACACCCTCCAAATCAGAGCTCAAGTCGATGTTGAAAGGAAGAGAGGGTTCAGTGATTTTGAGGAAGCTCATCACATATCAGATTTAATGGCAGATGTGTTAGGAAATAAGTTGGCACAGAAGCTGGCAAGCTGCATACAGCACAGACCCAACGTGACCAGTTTTTATGTGCCCCAGAGCCACACAAATGGTTTTTACAGATTTAAAGAGTAATGAAAAAAAAAAAAAGTAACAAGGGATAAGAGTATGTGACATATGTGGCTAGAAAGACATAATATGTTTATAATTTGGCCTTCACAGAAAAAGACTGCTAACCTCTGAGTAGCCAGATTGAGGTCCAACTGTATTTTTCAAAACCATGGCTGAATGGAGACCACAGATCTGGCGAAAGTCAACAGAAGCATCCTATGAGACTCAAGTGACAATGTGGAAGGCACAATAAAAGAATTATATATTTACTATCACTTGTAACTAAAAGCTGCAGATTCTTTATAACAGGGATTGGTCAACTGTCTTAGCACAGGCCCAGAAAGTAAGTACTTTACAATTTGGAGGCTACACTGTCTCTGTCATATCAGCTGTAGAGCCATCATCTTAAAAACAAACAAACAAAAACAAAACCTCTTTAAAAATGTAAAGACCATTCTCAACAACTGAGACCTTGCAAAAATAAGCCTGGTTGGGTTCTGGCCCTCGGGTGATAGTTCTATATAACCTCTGTAAGTTGCATACAAACATCCAGCCCCTTCCCAGCAGACTGGTTGTTAAGCTTTTATCAGCACCCAGAGGATTTGTTTATACTTCCATATATGTGACCAACACTGTCTAACAGAACTCTTTGGGATGATGAAAAGTTCTATATCTGTGCTCACCAAAACAGTAGACCCTAACGATTAGATATCTGAAATGTGGCCATTCTACTAAGAAAATAAATTGCACCTGTAAATGAATTTAAATGTAAACATCTACACACGGAAAAAGACTACCATATCAGGCATGTGACTGACAATGTCAAAGGTGGCATCTCTGGATAGATAAGCAGCATGTCAGGAACCACAGTGAGAACACTGAAGAATGCTCTGACTGGGCAACTCACTCTCTGCCTACCGAGATTTATTTTCTTCATAGTGGGCGCTGGTCTTGATGTACCGGGCCAGTTCTATTTGCATGTCTCCAAACAGCGGAACCACCTGGAGTTGCTGTATTCAAAGAATAAAAGTAAAAAACCCAGGGTCATTATATATTGTATTTAGTCACCAAATACAATCGAAGAAGAATGAGGAATGCTAATAATCACTGCAGGTTGAATGCTATTTGTACAAATCACTTACTGCAAAAAAGCTGTAAACAACTTCTACATTCACTAAAAGAACCAATTCAAACATCAAAATTAACCTATCTTGTTATTAGAACCATGGTCATTAAAAAAAAAAAAACTGCATTTCTATATACAAGAATCAATTAGAAAAAAACTAAAGAGAAAAAAATTGCAATAGCATCAAAAAACAAAAGTATGTATTATTAAATCTAACAAAATATATTAAGACTTCAAAACAAAATATTACCAAAAATTCTAGAAAAATTTTTAAAAGTTCTAAGTGAATAGAGAATAATGTTAGGTTCATGTATTGGAAAACATTGTATTTTAAAAATATCCATTTTCCCTAAATTGATCTACAGATTCAACAGAATGCCAAACAATATTCCAAGAGGAAAAATGGCTTATGGGTAGTGCATGTGTGTGTGTAAATCAGCAAGTCAATTCTAAAATATATTTCAAAAGATAGAGGGACAATGCTCAAGACCACTGTGGAGGACATAACTTGACGACCTGCTGGAGACTTACAGCAGCTAAGCCAGCACAGGTGCAGACCAGTGGGGCAGAGAAACTTAAGGCAGAGTCACTGACATAGAGACGCCTACTTTATGAACCAGGTGACTCCTTGGAGCAATGAAGGGAAAACAGAGTGAGCTAGATATCCACAGGGGAAAAATATCCAAGACTGTCAACCCCCTATCTCACAGCATACATTACATCAATTCCAGGGGGATTACAGATCTAAATGGAAAAGGAAACGATGATGCTACTAGACGGTAATGCAAAAGAAAATTCTCAAGATTAAGAACCTCAGTTCACCAATGACTCTTCAAGAAAGTGAAAAATAAGAGCTACATCGGGGAAATGCATGTATTTTAGAACACATGTATCCGACAAAAAACACATACCCAGAAGACGTAAAGAACTACAAATCAACATGGAAAAAAAAGAATGAGAGACTTGAAAGGACAGTTCACAAAGAGAACATACAAAAGACAAATAGTACTGTAAAAGCAATCAGGGAAACATCAACTAAACCACAAGGAAACACTAGCCAATAAAATCTCAAAGACACACAGGTACACCCTTCAGGATGCCCGCTTCTCCCCAAAGAATGACAGAGCCAAGTGTTGGTGACGATATAAAGCCCCAAGAAGGCTCACTCACTGCTGGTGCGATGCAAGTCAGCACAGCCATGTGAGGGAATTCTGAGGCTGTATCTACTGCACTGAAAACGTCCATTCTATTAGAAGAATACGCAATCCACCACTGGGTACTCATCAGTAAAAATGTGCACAGATGTGCACAAATCAGCACTGTTCAGACAAGCCAAAACGCAGAAACAATCTCATGTTCATCACAGAACGGATAAGTAAATTGCAGTTTAGTCATAAAATGTAGAGCCACACCACAATGAGAAAGTAAAAACTATAGCTGCAGGTTCCCATAGGGACAATCTGACAAACTAAGTGTGCGTAGCCAGACACAAAAGAATACATATGGCATGATTCCTTTAGACAAGGCTCAAATTCAGGCAAAGCTGCTGCAAGGGCAGGAGACAGTCTACTCACACCCACCCACCTGCCAACACTGCATTTCCTACTATGGACCAAAGTCACAGAGGATGACCTCCCGAAGCTCAAACTGCATGCACTTCAATAAGAAGGTTTATTTAGAAATGGCAACTCACCTTGAAGTATTTGTCTATTTTGGATAAGTTTATTCTTTTCTTGGCATCTAGTTTATAAATGTTGCTGACACTTCCATCCATTAAATATAGACCAAATCCCATGACCTGAAAATCACAAAAAGGCACATAAAAAGCTTAGACCTGCAGGTTTAATTATCCATAAACACACTGCTATAGTTCATTACTTTGAAATGATAATTCATTCTTATTTCAAACAGCACTTTTAAAAAATACTGTAGTTGACCTACAGCCCTATGTTAGTTCCAGGTGCACAACACAGTGAGTTGGTATTTCTATACATTCAAAAATGATTACCATAATAAGTCTAGTTACCACTGGTCCACCACACAAAGACAGACAATATTAACAACGGGATTTCCAAAGCAGTACATTTCATCCTACGGACTCACTTATTTTGTAGCCAGAAGTCTACACCTCTTCATCTCACCTATTTCATTCACTCCTCTATACCACAGTTGGGAACCTCCTGTCTGTTTGTTTCTATGAGTCTGTTTGTTTTATGTTTCTTCATGTTTTTAGATTCTACATATAAGTGAAATCATATGGTATTTGTCTTTCTCTGCCTGACTTATTTCAGTTAGCATAATACTCTCTAAGTACATTCACAAATGGCAAGATTTCATTTTTTATGGCTGAATAACATTCCATTATATCTAAATGTATATCTATGTAGATATATATAATCTTCTTATGCAATGTACACTTAGGCTTTCATGTCTTGGATATTGTTACCAATGCTGCATATATCTTTTTTAATCAGTATTTTTCTTCATATAAATATCCAGAAGTGGAATTGCTGGATCTTATGGTAATTTTTTTTCATTCTCTGAAGAACCACCATATTGTTTTCAGTTGTGGCTGCAGCAATTTGCATTCCCACCAGATTTCAAACTGTACCAGCATTCCCTTTTCTCCACTTGCTTGCTAGCAATTGTTATCTCTAGTCTTTTCGACAACATCCATTCTGACAAGTGTGAGATGATACTTCACTGGGGTTTTGATTTGCATTTCCCTGATGATGAGTAATATTGAGCATCTTTCCATGTAGCTCTTGGTCATCTCTATGTCTTCTTTGTAATTAATGCAGATTCATATCCTCTGTCCATTAAAAAAATTTTTTTTCACATTGAGTTGCTCAAGTTCTTTCTACATCTCAGATATTAACCCTTCATTGAATATACTGTTTGCAAATACCTTCTTCATTCAGTATGTGGTCTTTTCATTTTGTTGACAGTTTCCTTCAAAGTTTTTGAGCTTGATGTAGTCTCATTTGTTTATTTTTGCCTTCGCTTCCCTTTTCTGAGGCGACAGATCAAAATATGTATATATTGCTAAAACTAATAATGTCAGAGCTTTCTTTCAGGAATTTTATGGTTTCAGCTCAGTTTAGTTCAGTCACTTAGTCATGTCCGACTCTTTGCAACCCCATGAACCACGCACACCAGGCCTCCCGGTCCATCACCAACTCCCGGAGTCCACCCAAACCCATGTCCATTGAGTCAGTGATGCCACCCAACCATCTCATCCTCTGTTGTCCCCTTCTCCTCCTGCCCTCAATCTTTCCCAGCATCAGGGTCTTTTCAAATGAGTCAGCTCTTCGCATCAGGTGGCCAAAGTACTGGAGTTTCAGCTTCAACATCAGTCCTTCCAATGAACACCCAGGACAGATTTCCTTTAGGATGGACTGGTTGGATCTCCTTGCAGTCCAAGGGATTCTCAAGACTCTTCTCCAACACCACAGTTCAAAAACATCAATTCTTCGGCGGTCACCTTTCTTCACAGTCCAACTCTCACATCCATACATGACCACTGGAAAAACCACAGCCTTGACTAGATGGACCTTTGTTGACAAAGTAATGTCTGTGCTTTTTAATATGCTGTCTAGGTTGGTCATAACTTTCCCTCTAAGCAGTAAGTGTCTTTTATTTCATGGCTGCAATCACCACCTGCAGTGATTTTGGAGCCCAGAAAAATAAAGTCAGCCACTGTTTCCATTGTCTCCCCATCTATTTGCCATGAAGTGATGGGACTGGATGCCATGATCTTAGTTTTCTGAATGTTGAGCTTTAAGCCAACTTTTTCACTCTCCTCTTTCATTTTCATCAAGAGGCTGTTTAGTTCCTCTTCACTTTCTGCCATAAAGGTGGTGTCATCTGCATATCTGAGGTTATTGATATTTCTCCTGGCAATCTTGATTCCAGCTCATACATCATCCAGCAGGCATTCTGCATGATGTATTCTGCATATAAGTTAAATAAGCAGGGTGACAGTATACAGCCTTGATGTACTCCTTTTCCTATTTGGAACCAGTCTGTTGTTCCATGTCCAGTTCTAACTGTTGCTTCCTGACCTGCATACATGTTTCTCAATAGGCAGGTCAGGTGGTCTAGTGTTCCCATCCCTTTCAGAATTTTCCAGTTTATTGTGATCCACACAGTCAAAGGCTCTGGCACAGTCAATGAAACAGAAATAGATGTTTTTCTGGAACTCTCTTGCTTTTTCGATGATCCAGCAAATGTTGGCAATTTGATCTCTGGTTCCTCTGCCTTTTCTAAAATCAGCTTGGTTTAAGGTCTTAACAATTAAATCTTTAATCCATTTTGAGCTTGTTTTTCTATATGGTATGAGAGTAGTCCAGTTTTCCCAGCACCACTTATTAAGAGGCTGTCTTTTCCCTGTCACATATTCTTGTTTCTTTTGTCACAGGTTAACTGCCCATTAAGTGAGTTTATTTCTGAGCTCTGTTCCACTGATCTATGTGTCTGTTTTTGTGCCATACCACCCTGTTCTGACTTTGTGGTGTCGTTTGAAATCAATTACATCAAACTGGAGTGTGATACGTCCAGTTTTGTTCTTAAAGCTTTCTCTTATAAGACTGTTTTGATTATTTGGGGTCTTTTTTGTTTCCTTACAAATGTTATAATTATTTGTTCTAGTTCTGTGAAAAATGCCATTGGTATTTTGATAGGGGTTGCATCAAAACTGTAGATGGCCTTGGGTGGTATGGGAATTTTAATGGTGTTAATTTTCAATCCCCAAAACAAAACAGATCTTTCCATTTGCTCATGCTGTCTTCAGTTTCTTTTAACAACGTCTTATAATTTTTCCGAGTCCAGGTCTTTTACCTCCTTGGTTAGATTCATTCCAAGGCTATTTTATTCTTTTTGATACACTATAAATGGGATTTTTTTTTAAAAATTTATCTTTCAGATAGCTTGTTGTTGGTATACAGAACCACAATGGATTCCTATATATTATTTTACCTCCAGCAACTTTACTAAATTCATGTATTAGTTCCAAAAGCTCTTTGTGGGTATCTTTGGGATCATCCATGTATAAGTATCATGTCATCTGCAAACAGTAACAATTTTACTTCTTCCTTTCCAATTTGGATTCCCGTAATTTCTTTTCTTTCTCTGACTGATGTGGCCAGGACCGCCAATACTAGGCTGAATAAAAGTGGTGAGAGTGAGTGGGCATTCTTGTTTTGTGCCTAATGTTAGAGAGAATACACCTTTACTGCTGAGTGTGATGCTAACTGTGGGCCTGTCACACACAGCCTTTATCATGCTGAGGTATGTTCCCTCTATATCCACTTTGTTAAGATTCTTTATCATAAATGGATCCTGAATTTTGTCAAGTTTTTCCCACATCTATTGAGGTAGTCATATGATTTTTATTTTTCAATTTGTTAATGTGTTATCACATTAATTGATTTGCAGTTATTGAGTTATTCTTGCATCCCTGGAATAAATCCCAGTTGATCATGGTGTATGATCTCTTTAATGTACTGAATTTGGCTTGCTAATATTTTGTTGAGGATTTTTGCATCTATGTTAATCCATAATATGGGACTGTAATTTTTGTGTGTGTTATATCTTTGTCTGGTTTGATATCACAGTGATGATGCCTCACAGAATGTCAAAAGCCTTCCTTCCTCTTCATTTTCTGTGGTGGGGGTGGGGATATTTTGAAGATAGTTATTAACTCTTCCTTAAATGTCTGGTAGAATTCACCAGTAAAGCCATCTGGTTCTGGGCTTTCATTTGTTGGAAGTTTTTTGATTACTGCTTCAATTTCATTAGTTGTAATCAGTCTGTTCATATTTATTTTCTGCTTCTTCCTGATACATCTTGGTAGAACGTACGTTTCCAGCAATTCATCCATTTCTTCTAGGTTGCTCCATTTTATTGACATATAATTGTTCTTGGTAATCTCTTATGACCCTTTGTATTTCTGTGGTGTTCCCTGTAACTTCTTTTTCATTTCTGATTTTATTGATTTGGGCCCTCTTGCTACTTTTCTTGAGGAGTCTAACTAAAGGTTTATTGATGTGTCTATTTTTTGAAAAGCAAGCTCTTAGTTTTACTCTTTTCTATTATTTTTAGTCACTATTTCATCTGTTTTTCAGTCCAATCTTTATTATTTCCTTCTACTAACTTGGGGTTTTGCTTATTCTTTTGCTAGTTCCTCTAGGGGTAAGTTTAGATTGGTTATATGAAATTTTTCTTGTCTCCTGAGGTTTATATTGCTATAAACTTTCCTCTTAGAACTGCTTTTGTTATGTCCCACAGATTATGGAACACTGTTTCCGTTTTCATTTGTCTCCAGGTATTTTAAAATTTCTTCTTTGATTTCATTAGAGACTCCTTAGCTCTTTAGTAGCATATTGCTTAGCCTCCACGTGGTTGTGTTTTTTTTGGGGGGGGGGTGGTTCTTATAGTTGATTTCTAGTCTCATAGAAGCTGAAGCTCCAATACTTTCACCACCTGACGCGAAGAAATGACTCACTGGCAAACACCCTGATGCTGGGAAAGACTGAAAGCAGGAAGAGAAGGGGACAACAGGGGGTGAGATGGTTGGATGGCATCACTGACTCGATGGACATGAGTTTGAGCAGGCTCCAGGAGCTGGTGATGGACAGGGAAGCCTGGTGTGCTGCAGTCCATGGTGTTGCAGAGTTGGACACAACTGAGCGACTGAACTGAACTTGCTTCTTTATAGCCTGGCATCAACTTTTCCTCCTTACTGATGTAACTTTGGTCTGGCATCCACTTCCAGGACAGTCCTGTCTCATCCACATTACAAACCTGCTCTGGTAAATATAAGCCTTTATTGATAATTTCTCAAAGCATTTCAGGAAATTCCCAGGCAGCTACCCTATCTGCACTAGCTATCTCGCCACTTGTTTTTATGTTGTAAAGGTTGACTCTAGCCTTGAACGGATGAAACTAGCCATGGCTGGCATTAAAAGATGCACCCTCTGATTCTTTACTGTGTTTCTTCCTCCAGTCTTCACAAAGGCTTTTAGCTTTCCTTTGAATCAGCATTGAGTGGCTGACCCTGCATCTACACACTGAGAAGTTCCTCCATCTCCTCTATCATTTTTCTATACTTCTTCGACATTACTGTTGACATCATAGGCACAGTGAGCTTCCACGTTTCATGATTTTGTCCTTGTTCTTTAGAACTGTGCTGTTAAGTCTTTGTTTTAGTCTATTTTGTCTCATATAAATATTGCCACCCTAGCTTTCTTTCCACTTCCATGAAATATCATTTTCCATCCCCTCACTTTCAGTCTATGTGTCTTTAGATCTAAAGTGAGTCTCTTGAAGGCAGCATACATATGGATCTTATTTTTTAACCCATTCAGCTACTGTGTATTTTTGAGTGGAGCATTTAATCCACTCACATTTAAATTAATTACTGATAGGTACTTCCCCAGTGGCTCAGCAGTAAAGAATCTGCCTGCCAATACAGGAGACACGGGTTCAATTTCTGTGTCAGAAAGATCCCCTGGTGAAGGAAATGGCAACCCACTCCAGTATTTTCGTCTGGGAATTCCCATGGATTGAAGCAGCCCACAGTCCATGGAGTCACACTGAATCAGACACAATTAGCAACTAAAAAACAACATGCTTATTGCAATTTTATTCACTGTTAAGTTCTTGAGTTTTTCATAGTTCCTGTTCATTCCTTTCTCCTTCTTTTGCTCTCTTCCCTTGTGATTTGATGACTATCTTTAGTGTTAGGTTTAGATTTCTTTCTCTTTTTTGTGTATCTATTATAAATTTTTGGTTGTGGTTATCATGAGGTTGATATATAGCAACCCATATATATGTATATATATGATTATTTTAAGTTACAACTTAAGTTTGGACTCATTCTAATAACTGCATTTTTATTCCCCTACTAATGCTTAATGTTTCTTTAATCATGTTTTATATCTTTTCTATATCCCTTAACTATTTATTATGAATATAGGTGATTTTACTACTTTTGTCTTTTAACCTTGCTATAAGTTGATCTACTACTTTTACTGTTTACTTGTCTTTTCCAATGAGATTTTTCTTTTTGTAACTTTAATATTTCTAGGCTTGGTAAAAAGTATTTTTGAAAGCTCCTCAGAAATTAACAGCTAGCTCTTCACATGAAGCTCTTTTATGTCACCGCTTGTGTCCTCTTACATGTATACACATCAGCTCCCTCTCTCCTGAAGCACAATGCAATAATAATGTGAATTTCCAAAAGCACCTATTGCCAGGGGGCTCTTGTACCAATAGGTGCAAACAGAATGTTTCCAGTATCATAAAGCACTCCACTGCACAGTGCCCTTTTCCTCTGACCGCCCCCCCAGCCCATGCTGTTTTCCTACATGGAAGAAATCCTGGAGCTGGGCCCACTTGCGTTGGGCCACCAGGACATCCAGCACAGGGTCCCACAGAGCTGCCCTCTATGAAGGTAGAGGGCAGAGTGAAGAGAATGGCAGAACCATCTCCTCAGAGCTACTCAGTTTTCCTGGGTTCTCTCCAACGTACACATTATTGAACTTTCATTTGATTAAAAAAAAAAAAAGTTTCTCATTTTCCCAATGAGAAACATCATTGAAAACCTCCCCTATTTGAAACAGAGTAACAATGAGGAATATGTTAAATGGCATGATTCTTGAACAACAAAAGTCTACTACAATCATGGTGACGTGCATGTATGCTAAGTCGTTTCAGTCATGTCCAACTCTGCAATGCTATGGATTACTGTAGCACGCCAGGTTCCTCTATTCATGAGATTCTCCAGACAAGAACACTGGAGTGGGTTGCCATGCCCTCCTCCAGGGGCTCTTCCCAACACAGGGATCAAACCCACGTCTCTTACGTCTCCTGCACAGGCAGGCGGGCTCTTTACCACTAGAATAACCTGGGAAGCCCAATCATGGTGACACAGTATACTAAATTTCTAGGAACTACATCCCTGCCAAGTAAAATCTGGCACAATCTCTGCTACGAGAAGCTTTATGCTGAGAAAAGTCCTTGACCAAAACCTCCTTATCTACAAGCACTTTCTCCAGGGATGGGCATGAGATCTACCTGGCACTGGGCTCCAGCTTGGGACACACTCATGGGAATATGTCAAGGATTTGTAGTGCAAACTGCATGCAGGGTGGAAGATGCTATATGTACACACACACACAAGCATGAGAGAAAAGGTTGGCAAAACAATCATAAAGTTCAGCCCATTCACGGAAAGAAGGCTGCCCCTTTCTCATGGTGCTCTTGGTAGTCTTCCCTCAATACACGTACTTTGAGAAGCATGTGTTTCTCACTGGGCGTCAGGTACATTCTATTCTCATAGTAATCCACACAGAGATTCACGATGTCTGCTAGGAGCTCTTCATAACCAGAAATCACTTCAAGCTGCTGTTGCAGAGACTGAAACACAGAGTGAGATCTATGTCACTGACCACTCTCTGCCCCTCCACCCCCTAGCAATGTGCCCCATCAGCAAGTGTGAATTACTTGTGTGATCTTGTTGTGGTTGGCCAGGAACATGGATAGATTCTGTGATTCCTGGATGGACTGTGGATCTGCCATTTTACGTAAAAACTGAGCAGCCCTATAAAAGAGGGGGAAAAAAGGGTTAATCAACCAACATGCTTAATGATATTAAAAAAAAAAAACAGCCTGGGAAAATCAAAATTACTTTACTACTGCTATAGTTATCTGCAGAAAGGTGCCTCACAGACGCTGGTTTCAATTTCAGCCTCCTCCAGCTTCTCCCCTGAACTCCAGGTGAGTCTCTCTGCAATGTGGACAGCTCATGACCCCACTGTCCGTAGCTGGAGGACCTCCTCAGAGACGTGGAGCACCACTCACAGGTTCTCCTAAGGGGCACCGACACAATGGCCTCTCACGTTGGCTCCATCCCCAAGTCTGAAAAGGGCTGACACTCCCTCCGTGATTCCAGTGCTGAGAGACACAGATGGCCAGCACCGTTTAGGTTCTCTGTTGAGAAACTTATGGGTAGCCAGACCTCCCACCAGTCAGGGACCACCCCACACACAGTTCTGTGCCAAAGGTCTGAGACAAAATCCTGATTCCACCACCAATTTGCAGCTCCATCTTGGACAAACCTAAAGATCTGGTACCAAGTCTAACATGAGGAGTGGGTTTTCCCACACCATCAAGCAACAGTCTAACACCAGCTAGGTGGCCTGCAATGAACTCAGTGCTGACGCTGCAGGAGGACAGCATCAGACCCCATGAGTAGGACAATGTATGGGAAAGAATGGGGGCTTCCATGACCTCGGCAATCACCACTCGACCAAACTTCCACATGTTCATCAACCTGGAAGCTCTCTGAACCCTGTCCTTTGGGCCTTTAATGGAAGATTCCTCACATAAATGTGTTTGATTAGATTACTGGACGCTGGCAATGGGTTCAACCTCTAACCCCTCTCTCCCCTGAGGTCAGGAGGGTAGGACTAAAAGTTTCAACCCTCCAGTCCCAGGGCTGATTCCTCTGGTGACCAGCCCCATCCTGAAGGTACCTAGGGGCTTTCCAAAATCACACTAACATAACAAAAGAAACTTTATTGCTTTCATCATAGGAAATTCCAAGGATTTTAGGAGTTGTGTCAGAAATAAGGATGAACACACACTTCTTATTATAAATCAATACATACCCCCTGACAGGCTGACAAGAAAACGGTGGACACAGAAGGACCTGGACACTGAGGTCCAACAATCCTGCACAACACGTGCTGAGTCTCCAGTTTTTACAAAGCAGTATGAAAGCACATAAGAGGACTCTGCACATCTAGAGCTCCCCCCAGAAGGTTTAGGACCTGTCTGTGCAACCTAAAGTTGCACGGTTTTACTAAAGAAAAGCTTTCATGACAAAGACTAGTAACCTATCCCAACTGTCATTTCCTCTCCTTCCTGCTTCAAAATAAACCCTGAGTTTCCATAGTGCAGCAGTGTGCCTCATCTCCACCAGGGATCAACTGCTCAGCCATGAGATATAATGCAAAACTTTGCAAGGCACTTGAAAGTTTACTGATAAGAGATATTGTGGGGCCCTCAACTCTCCTTCCTTCCTGGTGACCTGAATGCAGAGATGACACCTGGAGCTCAAGTAGCCATTCTGGGCTACAAGGCAACACATAAAGACAGCAGGAGCTCTGGTTCCTGAATGGTGCAGAACCCACTTAGCTGCAGGCCACCTACATCAGGACATTTCAGGTGAGAAATAAACTGTAATCTTGCTTATTTCTTTCAGTTTTTTTAAAAAAAATATATGCAGTAAAATAATATTAACTAGCATGTTTACATTCTTTTTTAAAGAATGTATAGTATTCACTTTATTGACTTGAGTGATTGTTGAAGCTGCAAGAATGGAAATTAAGCAAAGGACCAAAAATACCTGTTTTTATGTTCCTTAAGCCTCACCATAACAATATGGGTTGTCTGGAACTTATACTTAGAAGAAGCTGTAACTACCAGCTAGGTGCAAATAAAGTGTTTTTTGATTTTTTTTTTTTTTTTTTTAATAAAAAAGGTTTTGAATGTTGACTGTGGTGTGAGGGCTGGGGATGAGTAAGGGTTATTGTCTGGGAAAGTGAACCAACAGAGGGTCCATAACAGAGATCATAGCAAGAGGATGCTGGAAGGATGAGGGGTGCCTCAACCCTCTTCTGCGCTCAGGGGAGCCTGGGGGGTGGCAAAGATGGTGGGCAACTTCTGAAGGGGGTGCCCAGGGGCCCTCCAATGGCCTTCCACAGAGCAGTCCCATCGTTAAACTGTTTTCCAGATTGGGCTTTGAAATAAAGGTGCTACTGCTGAGAGAGAGAAAAGAAACCTTTTTAAAATGAAAAACCACTGGTGCTGTCTACCTCCCCATTTCTCTGATAGAGTCAGAAAGGCTAAGAAAACTGATCAGAATCATGCAACAAGGGATTTGTGCCATCAGGAGCAGAAGCTGTCCTCCTGGACTGGGAAGCTCAGAAGCCCCATGCTCCACCAAGAGTCCCACACACTTGAAATCCCCGAACACTGGCATCAAATGGAGACAACTCCAGACTCTCCTATTGGAGAGGAGTTAACAGGACAATTCAAAAGATGTTGTCATTCTGAAGATCTACACTTGCATGCAGAGCCAACTCTTGGTAATGAACGGAACACCTGAACTTATTTCACGAGAACAAGGCTTGAAGTCTGGGAAATCTAGCTCCACCCCCACTGCTGACCCAAGCTCAGATCCATTTCGTGCTGCATCTCAAGTTGACTTCATTTTAAAGACACAGCAATGGTTGCATGATTTTAGATGTGTATTAGGGTTCAGGGTAGGCTGCCCCCAAATATGCCACTGTGGCATACTGATTTATTCAGAATTCGTTACTTAAACAGCTGCAGCAAGTACGTTCTGACTTTCTCTGTGTCCCTGAAAGCAGGAAACAAACCTTCCACATGAAACGTAACCTCCTTGTACCAGGAGGTCAGGAGGCATCCTCATCACCAGAGGCTGTGTGAACAACCTTCCTACCTCCTCACTCACTGACCACGCCAACTCAAACTTCTCTGACTTATCAATTCTTCACAGTTTACTTTTTCTTTGTTTAAAAGGTTACTTCTCTGAGTCTCATATCTTGGGACCCCCCCCCCCATATTTATTAAATTAAATTTGTTTTGCTCTTAATTTCTGCTTTCTTAAAGGCAGTTCTCAGGCAAGAACCTAGAAAGGCACAGGAAAAATTACTTTTCTTTCTCTACAAATGAAACCACAGCCTATTCAGATGCAAAGTAAATCTCTTCTAATTCAACTGTATGGCTAAGATTCATTGTCTAACAAAGGAAACAGAAGTCAGCATCTCACTGCAGCCAACTTGTTTTAACAGTCTAGGGCACAGACTTTCTCTAGAGAGTTGGTTACAGGGCAGCTGCTCCGCTCTACCTGCCACCAACACACTCAGTCTTACAGACACACTGCTGTGACGTGCCCTCCGAGACCAGACATGCAGGCTCACGGCAGCACATTGTCCTCTAGGGTGATGGGAGCCCAGAGCCCACTCCACACACAGACTACAAGAATGCTTCGCAGGGCTCGTGATCTGTCTCAGGCCCAAGAATGGATGGCCCTGGTGGGTGCCGCAGCCACCAGGCAGGGCTGGCCAGGAGCCCAGGGGTGAGGCCCAGGCGCGCTCACCTCTTGTAGGCCGAGTGGTCATTCTTCACACTGCACTTCATGTTCTTCAGCTCGTCCAGCACAGCAAACATGTTGATGAACTTGCCCAGGGTGATCAGGTAGGCTTCAGACACGAAGTCCTTCCTTCTCTCTGCGTGGCAGAGGCGCCTCACCTCCCCACAAAAACGCTCAATGGCGTTTCTCTGTGCAGACAAAGCAGGACAAATACACTGCCTTCAGGGACGGGCCCACCCCAGACCCAGCTCCAAGCACAGGGTCCAGACTCATATTACTCTCTGATGAAATGCCCAACCAACAGGTGCGTATTTACAGCTCAGGTAAAGAGACATTTTCTAGAAAGTGATTTCCACGTGTCTTTGCTCTGTAACAATCATCATCGATTTTGCACTTTACCATATATACATACATAGTATGTCCCCAAAGTAAAAGAATTTTGTTGACTATTCCAGCAAAGTTACTGAGCAAAATGCTGCAAAAGAACATCTGTAAAGCAGATTGCTTTAGCTTTCAGAGTTGAAAAAGGGAGTGGGAGGATTTCCACTTGACAATTTTTTAAGATAAAGCAAAAACTCATCACCTAAGGAGTTGAATCTTCTCTGTTTGCTAAAGGAATCTATAATAAAAAAACTCACACACATTTCTAAAGTATGTCTTTAAAAATCCCGAAAGTCCCTCCTGTGGCCACCCTGCCTAACCCAAGGGCCAGAAGGAGTCAAAACCAGGGTTAAGCCCACCAGAGCAGACAATGGGATGAAAACATGTGAAAACCAGATGAATCAAAAGTGCAAGCACACTGATAGAAAGCAGTCTTCATGCAGGAAACACAAATTCTCTCCCAAGGGAAGAAGAGAAGTGAAACACAAAAGCAGCATTTACTTTGAAACAGCCAGTCAAGCTTTAGCCTGTCAAAGGTTTAGTTCCCTTTGGTCTCAAAGCTGTTGTGAGCATCTGAATTTACATGCAGTTTGTTTAGTACATGGTGCCAGCGTCCCACTCCTCTGCCCTAAACCCCTAGGGTCATTTCATCGTTTTACCTGGAAGTACATAAAATTCATCAGTTTTGTGACCTCAGGCTCAAGGACCTCCACGGTTTTCTCATAAATTTCAACTCTGTTAGGCTGTTCGTTACATTTCACCTGGAAGTAAAGGAGCATGACAGAGACAGGCTTCAGTCCAGAGAATGTGAGGAGCTGCTGGAGGCGGGGTGTGGTGTGACGGGTAGGGATGAGGCCCAGTCTGTCTGGAGTGGGGCGTGGCCAGTGGGGATGGGCGGGGTCTGGCTGGGACGGCACCTGTGGGATGGCCCGAGAGCAGCTTCTCCAGGTGTAGAGCATGACAGCGTACTCTTGGCCTTCCTCCAGCATCTCATTCTGCAAGGATACACCGGGCAAATCAAAGGCAAGCAGAACAGTCACAAACTGCTAATACATACAGCCATAAACCAGAGGGAGAGGCCAGAAGGCTGACTACAGTCTGAAAATACGTTTAAGATGCGTTAAAATGCTCACAGGGTTTGATCTAATAACTTCACTTGTACAAATCTAGCCAGGGAGAATAATTATGTATTTAGGAAGAGATTCATCATTGAACTTCTTACTATAAGAAAGCAAGGCAAACTAAGTAAACACGCAAAAATTGTTAAATTTTGAACATTTATAAAATGGACTAGACAGCTATTAAAAATTACTTCATCTGGTGTAATTTAATGACATCCAAAATGTTTGTTAAATCATTAATATACATAATTATAACAAAATGCAATTCATTTCTGCAATCTAAATCCCATACGGGTGTGTGCCTGGTATGCTTGAGCACAAGCATAAGCAAAGGAATGCGCTGGCTGATGTGACAAAGGTTTTCTCTGGGCCACAGAAGCCAGCTGTTCAGAAAGAGCATGTACTGTTCTTAGTAACAGAATAACACACACATACAAAAGACATTTGCCATTCAGATGTGTCGACCCCTGGCCTCCCACTGAGGAAACCATGTAGTTACCATGCTAGAGTGGACAGTTGCTTGTTCAATGTATCTTGCGATGCCGGTAACAAATGCATTTCTGTCTTCAAAATTAGTGTTGAAATTTGGCTGGAAGGAAAAAGAAAACCATCACATGGAGGTCGGCATCACAGGTCTCATGTCCTGCAGCCGTCCAGCACCCACCTGATAGAGCAGTGAGGACGGTGGGGGCTCAATGCAGGGCTGCTGGTCAGGCAGAGGCAGCTCTTCCAAGAGGTCCACGTTGGACAGTGCATCCTCCAGCGTCACCTGGGCTGCCATCCTGGCCTAGGACCAAACACAAAGCCCCTGCACTGTGAGGAAGGGCATGACAGTCCCTCCAGGGTGGGGTACTTAGGGTCCTGCTTCCCTGTGCCTTCTCCTTAGGGAGCTGGGGGTGGCAGAGGCATCTTAGACTGTCCCTGGGGCCTGGCATCTCTCTCGGGCCTCATCAGCAGGGGAGTCACAACACAGCTGCTGCATGTCGTGGTATAGGCCACAAGGGTCTACACACGTGCCAGGGCTTCCTGACACCCTCCCATCTCAGGGCCATCATCCTGGAGGGCTCTCTGAGAGGGTCTGACAACCCTTTCACTGAGCTGGGGGCAGGAAGGAGTTCCTCCAGGACTACATCTGTCCTCAGGAGGCCAGCACAGCCTCGGATGGGTAACAGTGCTTCCAACCGATGACGCTTCCCAGGCGGGTCCTCCGAGCGGGGCCACACGCTCGGGATGAAGATGCACAGAGCCAGTGCCCTGACTCCAAGGATACAGGACAGCCTGCAGGGCCCAATAAGGTGAGGGCCTATGGCTACGGAAAGAAAAGAGGGAGAGGGCTACTGGCAGAGGACTGAGAGCCTGAACTCTGTGACTGCCACACGGAAGCACAGAAAAGCAGATGGACTTAATCTGATACATCTATGCAGGCTCCAGAAGGGAGGAGTCAACAAGCTCCAGCTTGCCTCCAGCTGAATGTTGCTGTGATCCTGGATGGGACTCAGGGAGCAACTCTTAACTCCAGATGGACATGTGAAGCAGCCCTGACCCCAGCAGGATACGTGGGGCAGCTACGTGGACAGCTATGTTCATTCTGAGACTGGAAATAACAGCAGGCAGGCTGCGAAAGAACACTGAAAGAAAAGGAAGAGGTACCCAGCTGCTCCACTTGGCACCGGTCACCAGACAGGCATGGGTGAGGAAGTATGTGGCGAGGCAGGTTTCCAAGCCTCAGCACGCTGGTCAGAGAACCAAAAAGGGAAGCCCAGGGCACTGGAAAGCCCCAGGGACAATGTGGAGAGGAAGAAGCTTGGAAGAGCAAGCCCACAAAGCTGGTCAGAAACGTCATCAGGCTCCCCCTCAGGCTGCACATGCGTGGATCTGATCCTCATATCCCAAGCCCTGAGACCACAGCCAGGTCCCAGACGGCTACCGGAGACACACATAGAACAGATCCAAAAAGCACTGCTGAGCTCCAAAGACAGGAGTGACACTGCACCATAGTCCAGAGAGGACAGGTCAGAGCTGTCGCCTAAATCAAAGCAGGTTGTTTGCCAGCTAAAATAAAAACAACATTTCCTAGGATTTCAACAAGATCCAGAGTCTCATACTATAATATCCAAAATGTCCAGCTGCAATCCGAACTACTCAGTAAAGAACCAGTAATGTCTTAGCTCCTACAGGAAAAGATGAGCAACAGATAGCAATGCCAAAATAATACAGATGCTACAATTATCTACAAGACTTAAAGTACCTACTATAAAAATGCTCTAAACAAACATGGCACTCCTGAACTGAACAAAAAAACTGAACGTCACAAATAAATAAATAAATAACCGAATGGAAATTTAGAACTAAAAAATACATCATCAAAAAAATCTACAAACAATAAATGCTGGAGAGAATGTGGAGAAAAGGGAACTCTGTTGCACTGTTGGTGGGAATGTAAATTGATAACAGCTACTGTGAAAAAGCGTATGCAGAGTCCTTAAAAAACTAGGAATAAAACTACTATATGACAAAGCAATCCCACTACTGGGCATATACCCTGAGAAAAATCATAATTTAAAAAGACATCTGTACCCCAATGTTCACAGCAGCAGCATTTACAATAGCCAGGACATGCAAGTATCGCAGACATCCATCGATAGATGAATGGATAAAGAAGCCATGCTACATATACACAATGGAATATTACTCAGCCATAAAAAGGAACAAATGTGAATCAGTTGAACTGAGGTAGATAAGCCTAGAACCTATTATACAGAGTGAAGTAAGTCAGAAAACAAATTATCACATATTAACAAATATATATGGAATCTAGAAAAATGCTACTGATGAACCTATTTGGAGGGCAAGAATAGAGACACAGACGTAGAGGATAGATGTACAGACATAGAGGGGAAGGACAGGGTGGAACAAACTCAGAGAAGAGCACTGCCATGTACACACCACCACGTGTAGAGAGAGCTGGCGGCAAGCTCAGCGGGGTGCTCTGTGATGACTTAAGAGTGGCGGGATGGGGTGGAAGGGTGGTAGCTCAAGTAGGAAGGCATGTACGTATACACATGGCTGATTCATGATATTGTATTCCAGAAACCAATACAACACTGCAAAGCAATTACCCTCTAATTAAAAATACATTTAAAAAATACAATACTGAAATTTAATGAACTCCCCACATGAGCTTAAAAGCAGAGGAAAGACTCAGTGAATTTGAAGACAGAGCAACAGAAATAAGCTAATGTGAATGACAGAGAGGAAAAAATGACTGAAAGAAATGAAAAACCTTGAGGACCTCTGGAACAAGAGGAAAATATCGCACACTGTCTCATAAAAATACAAGAACAAGAACAAAGTGTCTCAGCTGGATAAACAGTTGAAAACAAGACTGAAAACTTTGCAAATGTGTCTACAGATTCAAGAAGCTCCGCAGACCCCAAACAAGACAAACCTAAAGAAATCCCTACCCAGACATATCACAGTCACACTGCTGAAAAATAAAGACAATGAAAAAATAGCTTAAAAATAGCCTGAGCAAAGTGGTTCATGACCTAGAGAACAATAATTTGTGAGAAATAACTTTCCATTGTTTATAAGTCAAAATGAAAGAGAAGGAGAGGGAGGGATCTAAGAGGAGTTAAAAACACTGATGAAAGAAATCAAAGAGGACACAAACAGATGGAGAAATATACCATGTTCATGGATTGGAAGAATCAATATTGTCAAAATGGCTATACTACCCAAAGCAATCTACAGATTCAATGCAATCCCTATCAAACTACCAACGGTATTTTTCACAGAACTAGAACGAATAATTTCACAATTTGTATGGAAATACAAAAAACCTCGAATAGCCAAAGTAATCCTGAGAAAGAAGAATGGAACTGGAGGAATCAATCTGCCTGACTTCAGACTATACTACAAAGCCGCAGTCATCAAGACAGTATGGTACTGGCACAAAGACAGAAATATAGATCAATGGAACAGAATAGAAAGCCCAGAGATAAATCCACGAACCTATGGTCACCTTATCTTTGACAAAGGAGGCAAGGATATACAATGGAAAAAAGACAACCTCTTTAACAAGTGGTGCTGGGAAAACTGGTCAACCACCTGTAAAAGAATGAAACTAGAACACTTTCTAACACCATACACAAAAATAAACTCAAGATGGATTAAAGATCTAAATGTAAGACCAGAAACTATAAAACTCCTAGAGGAGAACATAGGCAAAACACTCTCTGACATAAATCACAGCAGGATCCTCTATGACCCACATCCCAGAATTTTAGAAACAAAAGCAAAAATAAACAAATGGGACCTAATGAAACTTAAAAGCTTTTGCACAACAAAGGAAACTATAAGCAAGGTGAAAAGACAGCCCTCAGATTGGGAGAAAATAATAGCAAACGAAGCAACAGACAAAGGATTAATCTCAAAAATATACAAGCAACTCCTCCAGCTCAACCCCAGAAAAATAAATGACCCAATCAAAAAATGGGCCAAAGAACTGAACAGACATTTCTCCAAGGAAGACATACAGATGGCTAACAAACACATGAAAAGATGCTCAACATCACTCATTATCAGAGAAATGCAAATCAAAACCACAATGAGGTACCATTACACACCAGTCAGGATGGCTGCTATCCAAAAGTCTACAAGCAATAAATGCTGGAGAGGGTGTGGAGAAAAGGGAACCCTCTTACACTGTTGGTGGGAATGCAAATTAGTACAGCCACTATGGAAAACAGTGTGGAGATTTCTTAAAAAGCTGGAAATAGAACTGCCATATGACCCAGCAATCCCACTTCTGGGCATACACACCGAGGAAACCAGATCTGAAAGAGACACGTGCACCCCAATGTTCATCGCAGCACTGTTTATAATAGCCAGGACATGGAAGCAACCTAGATGCCCATCAGCAGACGAATGGATGAGGAAGCTGTGGTACATATACACCATGGAATATTACTCAGCCATTAAAAAGAATGCATTTGAATCAGTTCTAATGAGATGGATGAAACTGGAGCCCATTATACAGAGCGAAGTAAGCCTGAAAGATAAAGACCATTACAGTATACTAACACATATATATGGAATTTAGAAAGATGGTAACGATAACCCTATGTGCAAAACAGAAAAAGAGACTCCTATGTATAGAACAGACTTGTGGACTCTGGGAGAAGGCGAGGGTGGGATGTTTCAAGAGAACAGCATTGAAACACATATATTATCTAGGGTGAAACAGTTCACCAGCCCAGGTTGGGTGCATGAGACAAGTGCTCGGGCCTGGTGCACTGGGAAGACCGAGAGGGATTGGGTGGAGAGGGAGGTGGGAGGGGGAACCGGGATGGGGAATACATGTAAAAAAAAAAAAAAAAAAAAAAGATACACTATGGTTGTGATAAAAAAAAAATTAAAAAATAAAATTAAAAAAATAATAATAATAATTAAAAAAAAAAAAAAGAGGAGTTAAAAAATAAAATGTGGACCTAAACCCAAACATATCAATAATTAGATTTATCAAAGTAAGTTGAAACACACCAATTAAAGACAGAGATTGTCAGAATGGATTTAAAAACTCCTGACCCAAGCATATGCCAGCTATAAGAAACTCATTTCCAACATAATGACACAGGTAGCGGATAGTAAATGGGGAAAAGAGAAACCACGCAAGACTAGTCAGAAGGAAGCTGGACTGCTCAAGCAGCAGAGAAAGCTGGCTTCAGAGCAGGAAATGCCCAGGGATAAAGGGGGTGCACGACGGAAGACCACTCAGAAAGGGAGCAGCCACGCTCAGTGTGAGTGTACAAGCGAGGGTCACACCAGGCAGAGGCCCACAGCCCGAAAGGAGAAGCAGCTCAACCCTGGAGACAGCGACCGCGCTCAGCCAGCAGCGCGGGGAGGACAGACGCCCCTGCCTGTCCTGCCAGCGCTGCACAGAACTCCCCCACCCCGACAACAGCACAAGACCTCCTCTGCACGGTGCTCACCAGACACGTTAGTGTTGAATGTGGCAGATATTTGTCACAGCAATGAAAGAATCTCCCTTTCATTACCAACCTCCTTCTGTCATCAGAACTTCCTATTCCACACACTCAAGAAAGGAGTACATCCAGGACAGGGGTGCACAGAGCCGAGTCCTCCTCCCGGTCACTGCCCGGCAGAGCCAGTGCAGGGGCCCCAGCGGAGCCCACACAGGGCACCTCAAAACTGATGGCCTCCGAGGAGCCAGGCTGCCCAGCAAGGTGCCTGTGGGCCCACGGGGCTGCCTGGCCTTACCTCTGCGCCTCTCACCTCCACAGGTCAAGCCAACCACCCAGGAGCAACCATGAAGCCCACAGGACCAGCTGCCCGAGCTTTCCGCTTCGTGCCCAGGGGACCCCCTTCCTCCCCACCCTCTGCCCAGGACAGGCCCGATCACCCGCTGACGGAAGAGGTGGTGCAAGAGAGTTGCAGAAAGGCTCTGTGACACACTTGGGTCACATCCTAGGAAAAATGTCAAACTTAGGAAAAATGTTCAACTTATTTCAAATCAGTGTTTAAGGACATTTTTGTTCGCTGTGGTTTATATGTACAATGGACTATTATTTGGTCTTAATGAGGAAGGAAATTCTGACACATGCAACAACAAAAACGAAGCCGAAGTCATGCTAACTGAAATAAGCCAGTCACAAATGGAAGAACACTGCATGATTCCACTCATAGGAGAGGAGTCAAACTCAGAGAGAAAAAATAAAACAGTGGTTACCAAGGGGCTGGAGAAGAGGAGACTGGGGAATTACTGTCTAATGGGCAGAATCCAGTTTGGGAAGATGGAAAAGTTCTGGAGATGGATGGTGGTGATGGTTACACAACAGTGTGAATGATCAAAATGGTAAATTTTATGTTCTGCATATTTTACTGCAATTAAAAATTAGGATAAAAAAATTATCAATATTTATTGCAGATAAATCAGAAAATAAAGAAAAAGTAAAGGAAATGATCCATAATCCTCTGGTCCCTCACAGAAACAAGATGATATAAGTTATTCTGTAAGCTGCTTTTCCCTTCCAACTTCCACAAAAACACTCAAGTTGTTGCACATCCTTTCACAGCATGCTTTAATCTTTGTGTGAACTACCAGTCAAGGCTGTGTTATCACACAGAGAGGCTCCTTCCTAATTGTTGCATTTTCCTCTCTCTGCTTTTCGATCATGAACACACCCTACAAACATCCAGTTTCAGGGCCATGGGCGCCTCCATGACTCTCCAGCCTGTGCTTCTTCCACAAAGAAGCAGCAGGTGTCTGCCTCATCTGTTAAGGAAACCTGGAACTGTCAGTTCTGAATTCAAGTCCCCAGTCTCCATCTCACTACTTTCTCTGACACCTCACGATTCCATTTACTTTTCTCCATTTCTACTGGCCACTCCCTTGTCAGGGGTGGCCCACTGCCCCAGGAATAAAATCCACACTCCCTGTCCCTGCTCCAGCCACCCCAAATCCAGAATCTTGCCAGCCTCACCCGCTTCGGCCCACTGGGGTTTCCTCTCAGCACAACACAGGGGCCTTGTGTGCCTGGCCACCCACCGCACGGCCGTGGGACAGAGCCTCAACTACACCTCAAGGACTGACACGCCTTTGCATGGTCAAAAGCCACAATGCCAAAGCCCAAGAGTGTAACAAAAATAACACATCTGGAACACACTCAAAACCTCCCCTGCTGCCACGCAGGACTTCACAGTTCAACAACTCAATTACATTTCTGTCTCCCTTGGCTCAGCTCAAATCAGCTCAATACCCTCCACGGCTTGGGGCCTGGTCACAGCAGGATGGCACATGACCATAGGCACAGAGGGAAGGCCATGTGAGAACACGGTGAGAAGGTGGCCGTCTGCAAGTCAAGGAGAGGCACCTCGGAGGGAACCAGCCCTGCTGACACCTTGATCTCAGACTTCTATCCTCCAGAGCTAAGAGAGAATACTTTTCTATTGCCTAAGCTGCTTGCCAACAAAGGTCCATCTAATCAAGCCTATGGTTTTTCCAGTGGTCACGTATGGATGTGAGTTGGACTATAAAGAAAGCTGAGCACTGAAGAATTGATGCCTTTGAACTGTGGTGCTGGAGAAGACTCTTGAGAGTCCCTTCGACTCCAAGGAGATCCAACCAGTCCATCCTAAAGGAAATCAGTCCTTTAGGACTGTTCATTGGAAGGACTGATGTTGAAGCTGAAACTCAAATACTTTGGCCACCTGATGTGAAGAACTGACTCATCTGAAAAGACCCTGATGCTGGGAAAGATTGAGGGCAGGAGGAGAAGGGGACGACAGAGGATGAGATGGTTGGATGGCATCACTGACTCAATGGACTTGAGTTTGAGTAAACTCCAGGAGTTGGTGATGGACAGGGAGGCCTTGGTGTGCTGCAGTCCATGGGGTCACAAAGAGTCAGACATGACTGAGCGACTGAAATGAACTGAAAGCTGTCTGGGGTATGGGTTTTGTTCCAGTTGGGCTTCTCAGGTGACGCTAGTGGTAAAAAAAAACAAAAAACAAAACTCGCCAACACAGAAGATGGGGATTTGACCCCGAGGTCGGGAAGATTCCACTCCAGTACTCTTGCCTGGAGAATCCCACGGGCAGAAGAGCCTGGCGGGCTATAGTCCATAGGGTCGCAAAGAGTTGGACATGACTGAAGCAACTCAGCACACACAGTCTGAGCAGACCAACACAGCTAAGACGGAGTAGAGCAGAATTGCCCAAAAAGGGTACCCATCCCCTCGTGTGGACTGGCCACCACAACCACCCTCATGCTGGCGTTTTCCTGATACACACATACTTGATGCACAAAAAGCAGACTGCTGGGAGCAAAACAAAGACTGCCTGACCCACCAGGGCCTGGGTCTCAAAGTCCAGCATCAGCACGTCTAGTCTGTGACCCGCCCCTCCCACTCCCAGCCTGCCCCCCACCCGTCGCATCCTTCCTTCCTGTGGGGGTGAAACAACAAAGCAAACAGATACTGTCCAGGGTTTCTGTCCTCCCACAACATAAAAGCCAGGTATTTTTCTTCCTTGATTGATTTCTTTCAACATCAGTTTTCAACCCTGTTTCTGATTCCTATAGTTTGCCAAGTTATACAAACGAATTTAAATATGTCAGGGGAACTGTCTTTTAACAAGCTATTAACTAATTTATTTTGGAAGTTTAAGTTTTTAAAACAAAGATTTCAACTGGGACTTCCCTAACAGCCCAGGGGTTAAGACTCTGTGCCTTCCACTGCAGGGGGCACAGGTTCACTCCCTGGTCAGAAAAATAAGATCCTGCATGTGCCCAAAAAAGAAGAGACATACTGATTTTACTTTGTTTGAGTGCCCCTGACTCAGGGAGCTCTGGGGCTCAGGGGACACCCAGCTCTGGACAGCTCCTCAGTATCTTCCCCATGGGTAGGGTGAGTGAGCGCAGAGCCAGAACGCCAAAGCTGATAAAACCTCATGCACACTGCGCCACCATCCATCCTGCTTGTTCAGTTATCGGCACGTCCTGGGGTCCCACAGCTGGGCCCCAGCACTCGGACAGTGTGCCTACACCCATGAGCTCGAGAGGAGGAGAGTGGGCAAGATTACTGGCAAGGCCAAGGTACGGGATGCTATGCTGTGACACCTTACAATACTTGGAGCCAGTGAGACCCAACTGCTTCCTCCTGCTACACTCCCTGCCCCCTGCCCTTGAGTGAGCGGCCCCTAGGGCCCAGGGGCCTCTTCTGACTTGGCAGACACACCTTCTTGCACCTAGACTCAGGCTCAGCTCTGTGCAAGGCAGGGTTTAAAATCTTGCCTCCCTTCCTGCCATGACACGGACCACTGCGTGGAGCTGCACCAACCCCTCTCTCCCAGGACCAGCACTGAGACAATCCTGGCGTGGCTCACAAGCAGAGCCAGCTAGTCACCCTCCCTCTAGTCCCTCACCTGGACTTGGAATATACGAACGACCAGAACTAGGGCCAATGAAAGTGCCCTAGAACCTCAGGTGGCCACCACACGTGGGCATCAGATGACCTTCAAGTGGGACCAGGAGACCCCAAATAGGGGCGAGCAACCTCAAGTAGGTAGGGGGGCAAGGTTCCTGGTGCCAGGCTAGAAATCCCCGGGCTGCTGACCCTCACATGATACTGTCCGCCCCCCAGCCTAGATAACCCTACATCTTCTCAACAAGTCATCCTCAGTCACCCTTCAGGTGGGGTCGTCCATCACTCTGACAGCTGAGCAGAGAAAGGCACAGAGCCACAGCCACGGGTCAGGGGCAGAGCCAGTGTGACCTCAGCAGCAGACGCTGTGCGCACTTGGGCAGGGGACAGGGGCACACAGAGGGCAACACAGTGACTTTCACAAGCACAATATCAGTGGTAGAGGAGCCAGCCAGGTCCGAGGGCAGGAGAGGGGCAGCAAGAGCCCCAACCCCCAACCAGCAGTTGGGTGGAGGGGGCCGTGTTGGGGGTGGGGACAGGGAGACGCTAAAAGGACTTCTGTGACTCACAGCAGTCACCACACACTTCAAAACCAGGAACAGTGGATAACAGAACTTGTGTTGTTTAGTAAGTACGATTTGACTATTTCCCCTGTCTCTGGACATCATGAGAGTTGGTGGGCAGGAAGAAAGAGAAGCCTCCTCTGTTTGCTGGCAGTAACAGACAACGTAGTAACAGACAGCGAATCTTTCCTTATATAACTCAACACTTTTTAAAAAGAACACTTAGGCTAGGCTCCAAAGCACTGATTGAAATTCAAGGGGAGAGACTAATTTTCAACCTGGTGGCAAGGGTGGCACCAAAATATGAAAAGGAAAAGGGAAAAATGTGCATGCGTTGTCAACAAGCCACTGTGATGGAGAGCACAGACTTCCCCACCAGAACACAGGCTGCAGGGACAAGACGAAACAAAGGCACAGGACTGAGACAGACGCCTCAGGAGACGCACACTAAAGCTGAGGACAAGAAAGCGCTGGGGGGGCGGGGATGCCCACCCATGGGCAAGCAGCTGGGGCCGCGGTCCGTGTTGGTCCAGACTGGCAAGGCAGGGCAGGCAGGAGGCTGTGTCAGCCCCAGAAACATGGAGCGACGGCATCCAGCACAGACAGGGCCCAGGGTCAGACACCAAGATAGGAGAGGCTGTATCCCAGCTGAAAGCCACTGAGCGGATGCTTTGCATAGGCTTTAAAATAGAACTGCCAAGGCAGCTTGACGCCAAGGTTGCATAACATTGTATAACAACAGGACAGAAAATGCAGAACTGATGGTTCATGCCCATCTAAACATCCTGCCTTGGGGCACCACTGCCTGTGTGCCCCTGTGACCCTTCAAGCCCATGTAACCTGAGGCAAGAGGGTGGTCTGCCTGGAAAGAGGGTCTCCCCAGCAGCTCCAAACCCGTACTTCTGAAATTTTACAACTGGACAGTGTGTTACTTGTCAAACAGCACAGCATAACCAAACCACAGCAAACTACAAAATGTTTCTCACTGATTTTCTTCCTCTTCTATATACAAATAATGGTACTTCCCAGAAAACTACATCCAAATTTTTGTGCAGTCTGTTCACAAGTAAAATAAATCATCTGAGGAAGAGAAGTACACTTTATTCAACTGTGTCTTTCTATCCTGCATTTTAAAACAATGTGTTTTTCCAATTCCAGCTTCTTTTTCCAGATTAAGCAGGATGGGGAAAAAGAATGGGGCTGCTATAATTCCTAGGAAAAAACTTCATAATTAAAACACAAACATCATCTTCTGCCCAAGAAGAAGAGTATAGTATATTTCTTTACTATTGAAGAAATTCAGTTGCACGAAATATTAACTTCCATTCTCAAAAGCAGCACTGGTCTCTTCTTCAATTACCTCAAAAGAAGCATTGCATCAACAGAGAAACAAAAACCAAGTTTGCTTGAAAATCACAATAAGGTGAAGTCTAAGACAGAGCCCCAAGAGGAGTCTTGAGTCTGTCAGTCCTTAGGTCCTGACACTGCTCTCCTGCCCTTCATACTCTGCCTGCAGACCTGGGACAGGGTTTTCTGAAGACAGAGTGGTCTCTCTGCCTCCTGAATGCCTTCTCTCCAGGCTTCCTGTTGCTGCTCTACTCAGCCTGACTGGCCCCTTCCCAACCTAGAGCACTCATATGCCACTCTCAAGCCTGCCACACTCCTTTTTAATTCCTTTTAACTATGCAAGTAGTACTCTGACCCTGTGGCTCTCCTGCTTACATGCCTACAGCTGTGGGCTTCAAACCATGTGGCCTGGAATTCTGGGGTACCCCATGATGGCAAGGGAGAGTAGCACTGCATTTATCCATTTATGAACTGGGATGCCACCTGAGATTTTATGAAAAACTAATCTGAGGCAAATACAAATCAGTCAACAAAAGGTGGGGCTGGGTGTACGATTCCACAGAATTAGTCTCACAGCGTGCAATGCCCACACCGGGCCCAGACTGATACCCTGTGCTGAGATCTACCACTCCTGCCACCTCCAGTGGGTCCTTGGAGGGAAAATGGAAATGTTCTGCAGCTGCTGCGCCAGTACACCAAGCACACAGGTGAGCCCGGTGGGGCCAGCTGGCTGCAGCGGGATGAGGTTGGGACAGTGGAAAGTTGGTTTCCTCCATGGTCTGGGACCCTCTGGTCCACCAATGCCTGACCATTTCTTTGTCACTGTGGTGGCCTTCATCTTTTACATAGACTCCAGTGCATGTTTAAGACACTAGAGAAGATGCCAGTAGCAACTCAGCATGTTCTTTCTAGGATGGAGTCATGCTTGGCAGTCTCTGGCACTGGGGGGTGGTCACACCACCCAGAGGTGCCACCAAACTTCCAACCAGGCTGGGGGCTCCCCATCCACCGTGACGGTTTCCTGCCCCAGAAAGGAGGGCCCGCCTGCCAGGTGCAGAGACATCCCCACTCAGCACAGGGAAGGCCTGGCCCCATAAACACGAACCTAGATGCTTCCTGTCCAGGCTCCAGCCATCCCATCATACTGGAAGGTGGCTAACCTTGCTTACACAACCTTATAAATGCTCCCCAAGAACTCTGACCCAGCAGTCCTTCTGAGCCTTCCCTTCATGTGAGCCATTTTATTAATAACAGATTTTTACCTTCTAGATAAAAGTCTAAGATGACAACATCTGGGCAGAAAGGTCCAGTATAATCAGTCCTCCTTATGCACAGATGCAAAACCTGGGATACAGAGGACTGACTGTGTTCATGGTACAACTTCTATTTTATACAAATGACTTAAGCATCTGTGGATTCCAATATCCACAGATGTTTCTGGAATCAATCTTTGGTGGATACCAAGGGGTGTCTGTGTTTTCAGATGACTTTCTTGGCAGCACACCCCAAGAGTGGATTCTTTTTTTTTTTTTTTTTTAAATTGAATGATAATTGCTTTACAATATTGTGTTGGTTTCTGCCATACATCAAATGAATTAGCCATAGGTATACATATATCCCGGAGAAGGCAATGGCACCCCACTACAGTACTCTTGCCTGGAGAATCCCATGGATGGAGGAGCCTGGTAGGCTGCAGTCCATGGGGTCACGAAGAGTCAGACACGACTGAAGCGACTTAGCAGCAGCAGCAGCAGCGTACATATATCCCCTTCTTCCAAGAGGGGATTCTTAAATCCCATGAATGTCTGTCTTCAAAGCTGCAGGAGATGATCCATCAATCCTACTTTCAGCCATTTATCCAAAGGAAACAAAATTACTAATATCGGGACTTCCCTGGTGGCCCAATGACTAAGACTCTGCACTCCCAATGCAGCGGGCAGGAGTTTGATCGCTGGTCAGAGAACTAGATCCCATATGCCACAACTGAGACCCAGCACAGACAACAAAAAAAGATATCTGTACCCCATGTTCACTGTAGTATTATTTACAGTAGCCAAGATATATGTGATGGTAAGTGAAACAAGTTAGAGAAAGACAAATACCCTATGATCTTACTTGCATGTGGAATCTTAAAAAGAAAACAAAGCTCATAGATAGATAATAGATTGGTGGTGGCCAGAGGTGTGGAGTGGGAGAACTGGGTAAGGGGGTCAAAAGCTACAAACCTCTAGCTATAAAAATAAATAAACAAGTCATGCAATGTAATGTATAGCATGGTGACTGTAGTTAATAATACTGCATTGTGTATTTGAAGGTAGGTAAGAAAATAGATTCTTAAAAGTTCTCATCACAAGAAAAAAAAATTTTTTGTGACTGTGAAGGTAACAGATGTTAACTAGATGTACTGTGGTGATCATTTCACAATAGGTACATATATCAAATCATTATATTGTATACCTGAAACTAATATAATGTTGCATGTCAATTATTTCTCAATTTTTAAAAAGCTACAGGTGGATTTGGGTGAGGACCCCCACAGTGTCCCAAAGATACCAGCATGGACAGCATCCAGGCATCACTTTCATTTTTACAACTTAATAAGCTGAACCACATCTAAATGTGCTTATATATAAAATAGATAATAAGTAAGAACCTGCTGCTGTAGAGCACACTCTAACAGCCTACAGGGGAAAAGAATGTAGGAAAAAAAGAGTAGATATATGTACCTGTATAACTGATCCACTTTGCTGTATCCCTGAAAT